TTACAAAACAACTGACATGCATACACTCCAAAAGAATTCGTGCAGTTCCTCGCGACATTCAGGGAAACATTGGAAATGTGGTGAAAGTAGGCAACCAGGGCACAAGGGAAAATGTGAGGCAGAGAAAGAAAGCCAGACTGACTGGAGATATTTTCGAAGTTTTCGGAATTACAGTTGTAGTCGGATCACATGAGTAATATGTTTTCAATTTATTTTCGTAAGGCCGTAAGATAGCCTATCTAGGCTATCTGCACTAGCAATCAAAACCAGAATTCTCTTGACCAAATCAAAGGACAAATTTTGTCATGAAATATTCTTGTCTCGACTTTTTCATCCCCTTAAAAATTGCAAAGCTGTCAATTTTTGTCAGCGCTTGATCTGCTCGTGAGACTAGTCGGTATAGTTTGCCAATGGACTCTAGTTGCCAGGGCTCATCGTATGTCGTTTCAAAGCTTTAAAATCCACGAGCTTCGCAAGGAAAAAATTCATGCCGTTCCGATAAATTTTAGTCAGTTCAATAACAAGCTGGTGGCAGCTTCTACGACAATTGGCGTTGAACAACTCTCCTGCACTGCCTCAAGTTTTCCTTTGTGCTCTGGATGCTAAAAAATAATTTTACTGAACTGTGTCCTAAACCCTTTTTCAGGGGCAAAAAACAAAAGAAAATGTTTTTCGAAGGGAAGTCGAGAGGACTGCTCTTAACGACAGCGACGCCTTATAGAGGAACCCAAAGAAGTTTGGTCATAGTTTAGTTACAAAATCAAACTCATTCAGATGAAAGATAGATTAAGTTGATGCGTGTGGACTGAGGGCCGAAGATCTGCTTAAATCTAAAAATATGGAGAAGCACATGACCAAAGACTGCTCCTCTAAAAGGAACAAATTCATTTTATGTATTGCTCAGGTTCTTAAGTACAAAACAATTTGCGGGGGGAGATGAAACAAACACCCATTTCAATAAAGATGTTAAAAAATTTACCATCCCGAGAAATGCATACTTTTTTTGAATATCATTAATACTGTGTGTTTTGATACTGTATCGACATTTTTAACTCAAATAGTTACAATTTTTCTTTTAATTTCGTACCGTGAGTTACACAAAAATGATATAATCAAGACAAAGACACAGACCCCAGCCAACAAACAAAAATATGAGATATTTACTGAGATATTAGTAAAACTAAATGCTTAGCGTAAACAACTCTTTTAGGAGAAAAGATTGAACGGTACTAACATACCTTTCTTTGCCTCAACAGACAAATCACAGCCGTCTAGAAGCCAAATGGATTCTCTCGAACAAGGGCTGACCTACAAGGAAAGATTGCCAGACATTTGAAACTGTATACAAGGTAAACAAGCTGCAACAGTATCTATAAACGATATGAAATCGCCTCACGTCAAATCATTTAGATCAGTCTCAGCGCTGACACGATAAAACACCCCTTAATGCCCCTGAGTACTTCCGACACAAAAATAAACTGGAGTTAGTCATAGAACTTGATTAAAATATCATCTGCTCAGTAGTTATCAGTTCTAAAATCAACCTAGGATGCGTATTAGTGCTTCTTAATATGTAAATAACCTGAGCGGGTCGTTTTTGCATTTCTTAGCAGATTGCTTTTCTTACCTTGAACAAAACTATTTTTATCTTGTATTTCGTTTGAATCTGATATCGACCACCTGTACCGCAGTCTGGTATTTTTCTTTCACTCCTCAAATTGCTCTAATCAACTGAATAACAATGGTGCACTCTACCTTAAAGGTTTAAAGTCTCTTGCAGTATCAAGTCACTTTTTGATTCAAACAGATTTTTTTCTTTTTTTGTGAGAAATAGTTCATAAAAAGATTATCATTCTCAAATGTAAAGTGTTATGGGTTTTATAATGAAGTAGTTAACATGGTATACGAGCTCAGTTTTGGAACAAAGCAGTTTTGATATTATGTGATCACGTGATGGTGTTGTTTAGTCCAAGACACATGATCCTTTTAATACCCTTTCCGTCTGAAACGTTACCTATTTGTTATTTGATGCAACATCCTTGAGTGTTGTTATCCTAACTTTAAGTTGAAACAGAAAAAGAAAAAACATTCTGACGTGCTGTGAGCTCTGTGAGGGTTTAAGAAAATCTGGCATAGTAGTGACAGTTGCTTTCAATGTGAATGACATTGCTGTGAACACCCAAGAGGTCAATTTCGTCGAGGCAAAGTTGAACTATCTGACAACAGTTTACCAGCCAGAAACACTGAGGAGTAATAATTTTGGTAAGAAGGCTTTTCCCTTTCCCTTCTTTTTATGTATTCTAACTGGGGAATAGATAATTTAATTGTAGTAACTCGATCAATTCGGTTTTCCCCGCGCTTTTCATTACGAATAATACCCAATGTTCCATAGGTGTAATTCAAGGGATATGATGGAACATGATGAAAAGTCATAATAGATCAAAGTAATGCAGTTCACCCTCTCGATTCACTGACAATCAATAGCGTTCTAATATGCCCTACTGATGGTATTAATCATCCAACAAGGGTAGTTACTTAAAAGGACACCTTTAATAAATGAAATCTGGGTCTTAAACATGTTCACGATAGACAGTTATCTAATGATACGCAGATTGGCGAAGTTAATGCAATCTATGATTAAAGACTAGGCCCCCTTTTCCTGCTCTCCGTGACACTAAATATGCTCCCGGAAAAACTTGTCCCACTGGCCTGAAACACAAAATTACTTTCTATCTAGATTTCTGTCTCGCTCGAACCCATGGGCTCTCAGAGTAAACGGAAATCAAACATTAGTTTGGTTCACGATATGGCACATATCATAGCCCTATGCTCCTCAAACTTTCCTTCTCGTCGGAGAATACAGATTGATTCTTTTTTCTTCTTTATTTGAAAAAAATTCTCCTCGCTGAAAGTCTTGGTCTCGAACTGGAACAGTCTGGGGCGTAGGAAACCCACAATACCGTAGACCCTGACCTACAATATTTTCCGCCCCCTTTACTTTTATAAATGCAAATTTTGAAAAAAAATGAACTTTCTCAGGGTATTAACCTCCAACAATTCGGGAAGTTAGCTACGTCCCTGATAATGGCGCTACGTCTGTGGGGAGGATTTAAAGATACTTTGGCTTCATCATCCGAGTTACAATGTGAATGTCTCTTTTTTCGAAATGGAGGTCAATTGGCCATCCTAAACTAAGTGTCAGGAAGAATTGGCTTGTCTTCTCTTACTGTGACTTTGCTGTTTGTCTCAATGTCGTTGGATGGCTCTTATTTCTTCAGGTTTGGGTCTCTCTCACCCCTAGGAAGCTAACAATAGCATTTTTTACCCCTTTTGTCACAGTTTTGACCTCGAGCTTGACAGGTATAGCTGGAAAGAGGGGTCAACATTTGTTGAAACATTTTTTTCCGGATTTCCTTTTAGATCCATTCTCAGGAGTTTGCCCAACGGCATTAGTACTATCTCCGAGTTTTGACTTGGAATCACCATCAGGGCTTGCTTGTTCAAGTTTTAAACTCCAATCTACATTTGCAACTCAGGTTATAACGCTTAATTACTCTGTTATACTCTCCCACCGTCACAGCACCACAGTCTCTTTAGAAACTTACCCCCTTTGTTCAAGTAAGGCCTCTCTCTCTCGAACTTTATGCAATGCAACTTCCATAGCAATATAATTGATTTTAAATAATTTACTCCTCAAGTCGGCATCAGGCAGCTTTTCAATCAATTGATCTCTTGCGTTTCGTCAAGATTGAGAGATTCATTAAAATTGCAAAGACGGACTCGTTTGGATGCGTGACCAGAGTTTTTCTATGTTTAGGCGGAAGGAGCATGTCATTTGTGCGGTTCATGGGCATCTGCAGGAAAATGAGCATCAAGCCTTTGAATCAATGTAATACATTCACTATCCGTCTCGCATCAATTGGCCCAGGAGCGGGAATATCTTCGTCAACAACGTGGAATTTAACGCCTGCCAAATGAAGTACGAAAGCTTTTTTCAGAAATTCCCTTGCTTATTATAATTAAGATATCGAATATCTCATTATAATAAGCAAGGGAGTTCCTGAAAAAAAAAAAAAAAAAATAGGCACTGCTGGCCTTAAACGCTGCAATGTGGCAGCCTCTCCATTGACGAGCCGCATTTTAAAGAATTCTTAGTTCTACCGCCTTACTGTTATTTCGTGGTTTCTTCTGGCAGATTCTTTTTCGCACAGTTTATTCATGCCCGCTCGCAAACACCAGATCAAAAAAATATATCATTTCTTGGTATACTTACCTCTGAAAAATATTTAAAATCTTTTTTCGTCAAACAGTGGTATGGTTATTTCCTGGTAAGCAATCAGAAGAGAGCTCCACCACTGAAGATTTACCTTTTAAGCTTCTCTTTGAAGAACTGTCTCTTCCCTTTCATGATTTAATAGGCGGAAAGAAGAACAATGATGCAAGCTGTGATATCTTACCTGCTTCTTTTCCTTTTAAGCAGCAATCACGCAGTACGATCATTAAAGGGTATGTATCACTTTGGCTCTGGTTTGTATGAGAAAGTGAGTACGGCCTTTTAACGGCATATTTTGTATGATGAAACATCTGTGAGTCAACATCGGTAGGAGAAAAAAGGTTAATTTACCAGTACCAAAAATTTTCAGTGGTAACCTAGAAAAAAATGTGCATCACTGTCATTGCATTATGATTGATTTGTCTAACATCCTATAACTTAGGTCAGGTATACAATGTTTTTTTCTCTTGACTGTATTTGTTAATGAATAATATAATACCTCACAATGTGTTAAATATTTGTGTGACAATCGCTGCATTCATCGAAGACGAAGCTGATTTTGGAGCGAGACGAACTCGAGGAGAGAAATAGTACAAAAATATTCCCTGTGCCTGAAAGATCAACTCTAAACATAATTAGTCGAGTAATTCACAGAGCAACTGCATTTTCAACTCTGTGATAACATGACCAGTGATACCCAAGTAATTAATTTCTGTTTCTATTTCAGGACCTAGTAAGGTTTTGCTGTTTAATGACAGTCAAAACAAGACTACAAATGTGATTGACTTAGGTGAAGAGCCGTTTACAGCCAAAGCTAAACTTTATCACCATGGAATACAGACGCCAGCTTCTTTGGATTATTTTCCTGAAGAGGACAGAGTGTATTATTCGGATATTCGACAGGGTATGATCCTTAGTGTCTTCTCAAATGCAACTTCCTTAAAAGTGTTGTTCAGTTGCAATGTAATAAAACCACTTGGTTTGGTCATCGACAAGCCTGGCAGAAATATTTTTTGGACCGACGCGGGAACTAGACGTATCGAAGTGGGTCGTCTCGATGGAAAGAAAAGAAAACTGCTGATAGAAAAGGGGATCGAACAACCTGCAGCTATGGTTCTCGACATACCGCGAGGGTGAGCATTTACCTCTCTTTTATTAAGCCTCCCTATTGGGGTGACCAATCTGTATACATATAGTTTCACTTCAGTCTGTCTTCAATACTGTTTTTACAGTTCCAAATCTGTTTCCAAATGCCACAAAAAAAAAAGATATGACAACAAAACTGTAGCGATCAAGACTCTTCTGTTTACGATTAACATGTTGCCTGAATCCACCACATCTCGCCTACGATACCGTTTGTTACACATGGACCTTACTCATGAATAAACTTTGCCATTAGCCGTCATATAGTGCGAAAGCGAATATTAATTATTGTGGGTCTAAAGTGGTGCGAACGTCAAAAGAAGAGACAACCGATCAGTTGCCTTTATCTCAAGGATCCACAGGACCCCAAATTTTCTACTGTATCATTGTTTTATATTACTTCCAGAGAAGGCATGAATTAAATGTCCGTTATGACCCTCAGCTATGACTTTGCAGAAGATACAAGCAATAGCTTCTAGAATTTTTTAGTCAAGTAGTGTATGTAGAACAAATAAGATATCGGCCGAAGCAAAGCAAATATTTAGTAGTCATACCCATTCTTCATTTCTCTCTTAAATCTTTCCATTAATGCTACTGCAGAATGTACTATTCTATAACCAATTTTACCAATTTCATTGAGTTTGCTCTTTTTAATCGTGAATTTTAGAATGTAATGTTTTCAATTTCCCCTTGGCAACCACTTTTGTCTCGTTTTTTCTTAACACCAACTGTCTCTTAGCACATAATTCTTTGCCCATGGAAAGGTATAAATGTATGATAAATGAGCGTTACTAATTTTTCAGACTTCTTTATTGGACTGATTTGGGAAAAAATCCAAAAATTGAAGAAGCTGCAATGGACGGAAGCAACAGACGAGTGATTGTGAGTGGAAACTTAGGTACTCCAACAGGAATAACTATAGATCATTCGTTGAGCCGTCTATTCTGGATTGATGCTAATTTGGATAGGATTGAAGAGTTTAGTCTTAAAACTAGACAACGGAAAGTCTTACTTGCATTAAAAATTGGCGCTTTCGGTTATGGGCTGACAATTCATCAGGATTGGCTGTATTGGTCTGAATGGGAAACCAAACGTATTTCACGAGCTTCGGCCAATGGTAGCAATATGGAGATCATGGTTACCGGACTCAAGAGACCAATGGACGTGTTGGTCTATGATCCTGCCTTTACCAGTGAGTAAAAAACTTTTTTTTTTCTGAAAATCCTCAATGGCTCTCCCTCTCCACCACTATCGGCATTTTTTTTCTCGTATTGCATGCCTAATCGCCCGCGACTAACCATGAAAATTAGTCTTTGGGAAGGCTTAAATTTCTTTTCTTTTTCCATTCTCTGTTAAGGAAATGGTACATTGTGGGATGACAGTCTGTTGTAAATAGCCAATGAAGACATTCGGACCATGTGCATAGTAACATGGGTCTTCTGATCCCTTACAAATGTTTTGTAAAAGCTTTCCAGGGTGTCATCTTTAAATGAAAAATTGGTAAATATTAAATGGCCTGATCTACAATCGTTTGGATTTGTGTTTTGGGGTTTAAGGCTACTGTCAACAAAATAGGATGCCTTACAGCAAAATCGCCCTACGCGCGGTGCTATGAAAGAAACCATAGAATTAATCTAAAATTCAGAAGTAAAGATTAACTCTTTATTGTAGACTTAAAAAAAATGACAAATGATGGTAACCTTTTTCTTAAATTTTTTTTTGTCAGCAGTATTTACACTAGTGATTAGTACTATATCTCATTTGAAAGAGGACAAAATTAGCTTTTCAGAAAAAATATATTTTGCCTCCAAAAATTCATGGATTATAAATCATGCTAAGAAAATGGCATACAATTTGCATAAATTATTGTACAACTTTTGACTTTGAAGCAGCCTGGGCCTGAATGGATTGGAGTTAAAGGGAAACATTTCTTAGATAAAATATTCCTTATCTTATGGGCAAGACATCCAGAGACTCTGGCTGAAAAAGAACAAATACGGAATTAATTAGAATTTTTTTCCAAACTGTACCCCAAAACCATAAAAATTGACCCAGATTATTGAAAAATTTATTCCTCACCAAGTATTTACACAAGGGATGTAAGCTATACCTCACTTGAAACAGCAGTAAATAAGCTTTCCTGAAATGCATGTTTACTCTCCAAGAAAAAGGAAACAACCTCATTGAATGCTTTCAAACTAACATTAATTGGCATAAAATATCATCAAAATTTAAACTGTGAATTAAGTGATACCCAAATATTATAAAGTAATGAGGCAAAAATTAACTAAAGAGGTTCCTTGTTATATGGGCAACATCTCCATAAAAAATTGGTTGGAAAATAACAAATCTGAGATGTGTTACACATATTTAGTGAACACTGATTGACATACTGACTAATTAGTCTGACCTCATCATCACCCCAAGCCCAAATTTACTAATCCCTCTTGAAGTCTACAATGCAATCATTGGAACTATATTTCTTTGTTTGAGCTTCTGAAATTTTGCCTTGAAACAGGGACAAATGAGATAATCAACCTCAAAATACATAAAGCGCAACATATATAAAAAGCCTTTCACTTGCAATGCACCACCAGTATTTTCAAGAGTAAACAATTCAGAAGTGAAATCGGAAACTGTCATTTTATATCATTCCACTCATTCTTGAGCATAATTTGTTTGTTTTGTGAATTTTCAGCATGTAACGAGTAGAACCACATCTAAAAAACATACACAACATATAAGATAATGTACATGTCGACATATATTCAACTATCGTTTTAAATAAAAGATTTTATTTGATTTAGTTCGATAGCACACTGCGTCATTCGATCTGTCATCGGCTGATAATTTAGGTCGTTGCGTTCTAACATTCCATTGAAGATTATTTTCTCTGTCGCTTAAAAATCATGTTTGATTATAACATATGTTGCTTTTCATTCACAAATATACATTTACAGGTTTGTCTCAAGGCAAAAAACAAGGATTCGTGCGCGAATAGTAAAAGTAAATGTTTCAACACCACATGCGTCACGCATTTAAATATCGCAAGAATGTTTATTGATTACTTACCTCGATGGTGAATTAACAGCCTTCGTCTTACGATAAATTTATGAAAGCGTCACGCGATGTGAAACAACATTCTCTTCATCCATTTATAATAAGACTGCGGTGAAAATGCGTTGATCTCTCTCCAAAATCGTTTCTTTGGACTTTGAAATTAATTTCCTTCTAGCAATATATGCCCTGTGGCAATCCCAGAAATCTTTGCGAAACGCAAGGATCCGATTGCTGGCAACTCACTCACTTGAATGCATTAAAAGGAATAGTATGGGGGAAGGAAACATGGTCGATAACAACGCTAAATATCCCGAAATGTGAACATTTTACAAGTAAGATCGATAAAAATTACTCATTCCTTGAGTGTTCGTCGTGGTTTCTGGCATTCTCTATCGTTTTCTTTGAAGCTTGCTTTGCCATTATTGTTATACCTGTCAACAGGATTAATAGGGAGTACAAAGTAAGTCCGTTAACACTCTGCTGGAGGCCTTTCCGATTGACACTTTTCGCTCTTCGTACAGGAAAATCTTTCAGTCGTATCTCGCGTTCTTTTCAAGATTTTACATTTTTTTTCCCGGAAATTTAAACTTAACTATTTCCTCTAACTGAAGAGCAAAAACACGAAATTTTCACCAGATTTTGTTGATAGCAACCTTAAAGATGGCCATTTTGCGCTTTGGAGGGCGCGAAGGGATAAAACAGGGCAAGCCATAACGACCTGAAAATGATACCATATTTTTTAAGACAATTTGAACTTCTTTAAATAGAAATTAAAATGATTGATGATAAAGAAAACGAGGGATCGGTTTTTTGCTCTTTGCCACTTGAGGGAGCCCAGGGATTATCTCCTAAAACGATTTCGCTCGGAAGTCCTCGTTTAGTGATATGGAGTTGTGACTAAGAAGCGGGCCAGGAAAAAGGCATAATTATTTTTTTCTTTTTTTTCTTTTCGGAACGTATTTTCTCTTTTACTTTCTAACTACTGTTTTAATCTTAGTAAGCAGCAGTTGTTCCTTGAAAAATGGATTATGTAGCGATTTTTGCTTGTTAAACCCGGCGGGATATCAATGCAGTTGTCCAATAGGAGTCCCTCTTCTTCAAGATGGAAAAACATGTGATCATGGTGAGTACAAAGCCAAATCGTGTTGTGTTGTGAAAGTATCCAAAAATGGTATTAATAATGGTTCCTCGGCCTATTTAGACAAAGAATTGTGGGTAGTTGACTTTTAGTTGAATTTAAACTACTTTATTCGGTATTTTACAAATAATACCATTCGAATTATTTACAAAAATAGCGAGCAATGTCTACAAAAATAGCCGAGGAGGTATTTCATTGATTAATAATTTTTTTGGAATTGCGTGATTGATCACGAAGCGTGCACTGTCGCCGTAAGATGGGAATGAAAAATTATTCACGGCAAAAATTAATGTCACGTCTTCCTGAGCCTTATGGATGATTTAATTTCGATATATGGTAAGATTTCACGTTGTTTTCTGAAAAAAAAATTATTTTTATTTTTTTTTAATCTTGCCTTCATTTGGGTTTACAGATTTTTTTAATGAAGCAAGCTCGGACAATTTTCTTTTGATTGCTGGTTCTTATTCCGCTAAAATATACAAGATACCACTCGCAGAAACAACTGAAAGGTCGTGCAGCCCTTTGGATATTAGGAGTAGCATCACATATCCGATCGCTCTTGATTATGATCCATTGGAAGGTAGAGTTTATTGGACTGATGGTCGATTAAAAGCCATTGTTCGAGCGTTTCTTGATGGGTCTTCCGTAGAAGTAATTGTGCGAGAAAATATCCGGACCCCAGATGGCATAGCAATCGATTGGGTGGCAAGAAATCTTTATTGGTCGGATGCTGGAACGAAAAGAATAGAAGTTTCAAGACTTGATGGATCATCTAGAAGAAGCCTTATTACTAGAGACATTGACAAACCTAGAGCAATTGCCCTTAATTTTGGAGGAAGGTATTTTTCGGTTGTATTTACTAGTAAAAGCAAGGTAATCTTAGATATTTGATATCTAGTAAACTAAGAGAACAACAATTCCCCCCAAATGATTTATCTAAATATTGATATTTGCCAGTCCATGAACGATTTTGCCCTATTTTCTTTTCAATCTTCTTTTTAATAGAATAATTATTAAAAAAAAATCAACCTTTGCTTCGATAGTGGTATCAAAAAAAGTTCCAAGATAAGGACTCAAAAGATTGCCCTTCTCTTTTCTTGAAAAGCTACGACAGTTACACTTCACACTTTGTTTTAGATTCATGCTCCTGCAACTTAAAACGACAACGTTGAACCCCTTGATGACGGAATCCAAATTTCATTGAGCAAAGAAACCATTCAAAAAGTTTGTTATCGGACATTTACAAAAAAGAAATTAAAAAATTATTTATACTTTCTTGCAGCACGATGTTTTGGAGCGACTGGGGATCAATGCCAAAGATTGAGCGTCTTAACATGGATGGCACTGGAAGGGTTGCGCTAGTGAGCTTTAAATATGCCTGGGTGAACGCACTCTCCTTAGACACCGAAAAAGGACACCTATACTGGTTTGAAGCCTTGATGAGAAAAGTGGAAAGGATTAATTTTGACGGAAAAAATCGTCGATTTATTATCTCATTCCGCCATGCGGTAAATCTTTTTCCATTTTCATTTGCCGTTCGAGGAGAAATTATTTATTGGACTGATTGGTCCAAAAAAGGGGTGGCTCGGTACAATCGCACCTCAAATCAAGGTGAGCTGGTCTGGAGAGGCTTAGCAAGACCAATGGGCTTGTATCTCCATGATTCTCAAAAGCTGTATCAAGGTATATGAACTATTTCAAAAGAAATTTTTCATGATCCCCTCCGTAAATTAGATGATTTTAGACAAGATAGATCGTAGGTAACATCTTGACAATCATTTGATTCAAGGGACAAGTAAATGTTCACATTTAAATGGAGGATGCAGTAACCTTTGCCTACCAAACCCTAGTGGCCGTCAGTGTTCCTGTCCTGAAGGAGTCAGATTTGTACTTGGAGACCCACACACCTGTGAAGGCGGTGAATGTTTGTTTCACTTCTTTTTTCCAACAATTTTAGTTTCATATAATAATAAAAAACAAAATAAACAATTTCTTGAACAGCTTATTACGGAAGGCAAACCTGGTGTTCACCAAAGAAACTGGTTGAAATTTGCCCGCTGAGCTTTAAAATAAAGAAATATCTTTTAAAACAATACTCCAATGTCAAATCGTTTCATTTTCATTCATTTCAAATATGATTTTAGCAATTGCGTACATCTCTAAAGTTTACTTCAAATTTGAAAAAATTGCGTTTATTACTTAACGTAGTGCTTAAATAGTGAATAGCCAGATTTTTAAAGTTCGTAGATGTGATATCATTTTTGTTTTCGTTTTTTTGGTCTAGCTGTGAAGTGCCCTTCCCTTGCAACACCTGCAAATGGCATCCGACAGGGCTGTCAGGGAAATACCACAGAGGACTACTTAACCACTTGTAGCTTCGCGTGTTCTACTGGATATTACGGCTCTGGCTCTAAAGTTAGGAAGTGTTTACGAAATAGCAGTTGGAGTGGGCATGAATTTACATGCCAAGGTACTTCGAAATAATCAAGGCCAACTTTGCTTCTCTATTCCATCCCTCCTGGTGATCCAACCCCTGGATTGTAGTTAAACATGGCACAATGTGACAAACCGGCTTGCCGAGAATTGATGGGGTGAAGTGGGAGCTGAGACCATTGAGCTGCGAGTTCTCAGAGGTCTTTCTGAAAGCATTATTAATGAACTCACGCTTGCTACCTGATCGCCTGATTCATGCTTGTGTGTGCGTCGTAAGATTTCTATTCTATTCTTTTATTTGAAAGTTAAAGAAGAATGATGACACGTAAGCATTTTCCTATTGTTTTACAAAGCCTATAAAACGTTTTTTTTTTAACCGAATTAGCTGTCAGATGTGGCCCTTTAAAAGTACCCGTAAACGCACTTCTTGTCACTCCATTTTGTGGAAAAACCTTCGGAGCATATTGTGTACTTGGCTGTCGATACGGATATGCAAGCAGAAATGGAAACGTCACTAGATCGTGTTCCCCATCGGGCAAATGGATTGGGCAGGTTATAAATTGCAGAGGTAAAAATAAACTGAGAGATTAATGAATGCTTGAAACTCGCCGCAAATAATTGCAAAGATCTTCAAATCTTTGTATAGATTTTTAAATGTTTGTTGATCTTACAGTATAGATTCCTCCACAGATGTAACTCCTCCATCATTTGGAAACACCTGCCCTTCAAGACCACACCTCGTATTTGCAAGAGTGAATGACTTCTCGGCTGTTGTGAATTGGATGGTACCTGTTGCCAGAGACAATTCTGGCAATCATCCCAAGATGCTGGCAAATTTCAAGCATCCTCCACAAAGGTTAATGGAAGGCACTCATCTGATAATCTATAGTGCAACAGACACTTCAGGGAACAAAGCAACATGCAGCTTTGTTATCAACGTCACAGGTAAGTGATTCCTGTTATGAAAGACAAATGTATGCTACGTATGAGTTCAACTTGTACCTTTCGTTGAATTCTACAAATGTTAAGCACAACAGCCTTTATTTGAACCGGTAAACTAACCCCTTCAGTTTCATAACTTGCTTGAAACCTAGCTGATCGTCAATCCCACCAAATTAATTGACTGAATACCCAGATTATATTGCCGAACTTTGCCTCTTCGGTATATAACAGTGTTTTTATGAAGATGTCGAAGGTCTATATGCAGACGAGTGACCTATTTTTAGGCCTGTTGGGTTTTGTAAGACTTTTGCCAACTTTGGAACACCCATCTCTACCCTAAAAAATGATTACAAACCATTAACCATGCTTAAAATCGTAACTTAAGAAGCAGATCATTGCTGAACAGAATGCCATGTGATCAGAGTGATGTAATTTCTCCAGTAATTTACTGCAAAAAGCTGAATATCCCACCTGAAGGTCCTTTACGCGTTAGTGACTGTGGCTACCACAATGGAGCTCAGTGTTTGTTTTCGTGTGCAATTGGTCATCGCTTACGAGGTTCGTCAGCCAGTAGGTGCATATCTGTTGGTGAAGGACCCTCAGGCATTTGGAGTAACCCTCTACCGTCCTGTGAAGGTAAAATAAAATGTATATTGAGCTATAATTACTATAGCCGTTCCACTTAATAAGGAAGAAAGGAAGAAAACATCTAATGAAGTTATGCCAAGAGGCTCCAACTTGTATAGGCAATAACATGTTTTTGGGCGCAATTTGATGTTAATATACTCTGGTAAATTTTTAAAAGACAAAATTGCACGAGCCCGAAGGGCAAGTGCAATTTGAAGGTGCTTATTATACCAAATTGCACGATACATCATGTTGTTACTTGTTGATAATGTACATGAAAAAACATCACAGACAGTCTTGACAGATATAAATTTTGGAAGCGCGCACGCGTTAATTGGTAATTTGCACTCGTGTTACGACTTTCCACTCGTGTTACATGAGAATGTACTCGTTTTTAGCCAATCAGATGCGCGTAATTTTTTCAAATACAGAGTAATAATAATAATAACAATCATAATAACAATCATAATAACAATCCGCATAATAATTAAGGCGGAGCTCGCAGAGCGTAGCGCCATAATTATACAAAATGGTAGTAGTAACCTACCCAGCCGAAAAAATTTGGACTTATGACCGTACGACCGTACAACCGTACGACCGACCGTACAAGATGCTACTTTTAACATGCGTGGTCAACTGTACCGCGGGTACGCCAACGCCACGGCTTTGTCCAATAGTCTAGTGTTCAGGTTCTCAGTAAATAAACATAGTGCTTCAATAAAATTTTAAGATTAAACTATTTACAAATAATAATATTTATCCCTAAATCATTGTTGAAAGTTATCCCTGTAAAACTGTTCAAACCGAGCCAATCGAGCAAATTTTGCCGTTCTGTATCATTATCTATTATTCGTGCGAGTGATAAATATAGCATTCTCGTTTTCTTATCCTTATCTTAATTCACCTTGTTTAATACATTCGCACAGCGCCAGTATAGGTGCGTGGTGACAAAAGTATTTGTGCAAGATATGCAATATACTGATTTATTCTTCATTATCTTTCCATAGCTATCAAGTGCCAGTCTGTCCCTTCACCAAGAAATGGCAGAAAAACTGGATGTTCGGGTAACACTACAGAGCTTTATGGCGTACGATGTAGTTTCTCGTGTACCGTCGGCTTCCGTCTGTTTGGCTCTGTATCGAGGCACTGCTTAGAAAACGGAAGTTGGAGTGGACAAAACACCACTTGCAAAGGTAAATGGTTTTGAAATGTGATATAAATGGGTTATCAGGTTGTTATGAAAATTTCAGTAACGCTTAAGAAAACTTGAAAAGCCCATACCTATGGTTTTCTTCAATAAACCTTTTTAGAACAGTTACGGTATTGGCGGCGATAGTGCGTCAAGCACTTGATAAATGAAGTCGATTAATTCTTTAATTTTGTCACATTTTCCCCTGAAGAGTGAGTTGATCACGAAACAGGTTTGTCGGTATGAAAGCGTAGTCTATTTGTTTTTTTCCCCAGCTCAATACACACGCACATATATATATATATATATATATATATAATATGGATAAAATATTTCTAACGCATTTTCATCTCGCCTGAAAGTAATGTCACACTCAACTGTATTTCTTTGATATTTACAAATCAAACTTTTTACCTACCTACACCACGCCTTGTTTCTCTTTATGTTATATGTACAGATGGTCCACAATTTCTTTTCTCTGCCTTTGTTTTAAGGAGCAAAGACGAAAAAGGCACTTTAGATGCCAGGAAAAGAACTGGAAATATAAAAAAGTATTTCAAGGATTTTCCGCAAAAATTTGACATCGGAGAAACTAAAGGTGCAATTCGAAAAAAGACTTGCATTACGAATGGGATTGATTTTTTTAGATTTTATATCCTTGCTCGTGATGTATTGGCAAAAGATAATGTATAAATCTAATAATAAAGTGCTATCATTTGTATGATGACGTTGTTATGTTATCGCGGCGTTTTGTTCATGTGGTGTATGCCTTAACTAGGTTCTGTATGATTCCTTTCAGCCATTGAATGCGAGGCTCTAGTTCCTGCCAAATATGCCACTGTTTCACCATCTTCGTGCCTTACAAGGAGTACGTTCGGCCAAGAATGTTCTTTTTCCTGCCAGGAAGGCTTTACACTTGAAGGAACGGCATCCAGATTGTGTTCCTTCTTTGGAAATTGGACTGGAAAAAACGACACCACTTGCAAAGGTAATGTTATGTTCTTCAACTACGTACTTCTCTGTGCTTAAAGAGAATAAGAAAATGGTAAATTTTGATCTTAGTAAAGTAATAGAGAGGTGGTTATCTCATTCTATCAAGATCGCGGACAGAGAAAAAAATTCTGAGGAACTTCCGACCTTTGGATTTCGCGCTCGTCACTAGACAAAATAAACATCTTTCTCTCAGTTTTTCTTTTTTTTTCCCAGTTTCTTAAAGGAGTTAACATCACCCCTCGGACGAGATTGTGATTCTCCCTGGCCAGGGAAGTCATAACGAAAACCAGCATAATTTGAATTTTTAATTAATTTCGAAACTTCCTTTCAAGACTTTACTCCGCCAACGTTTAAAGACTCGTGCCCCGGCAATTTGGTATTTTACACCGATGCGTGTCAAGACAGGGCCACCGTGTCATGGCCAGAGCCAGTTGCTACTGATAATTCACAAACCGTGGATATGACGTATCCTACAATCAGGCCTCCCATTAAACTCACAGTCGGTCTCTATAAGATACTCTATTCAGCAAAGGACACAAGCGGTAACAATGCAAATTGCAGCTTTGTTGCGCAGGTTGCAAGTAAGTGTGTCGTTCTTAGGAATATACCACGTAATGACTGGCTTTAGTAGCATATATACGATCTGAATCACGCAGACATTAATTATAAAAACAATTCATCTCGCTGGTAATTGCTGATAATTTTTGGACTTTCTTTAATGTCGTGCACTAGTAATTTGTTCTCAATTGCTAACTTCTGTTGTACGACTTCGCGATTATCACTTAGTAGACCCTCTATACTTCTCTTTGTACGTTGATGCCCATGAAGCCAATTCCCAAAACCATCATTGCCTCCGGCCCGCTGCTCATCATCTTCGCAAAGAAAATATTATGTTTTCTTTCTCCAGGAATTTCATGCCCTAAACTTCAGCCACCTTTGGACGGGACCATAACTTCAACTTCATGTGACTTATTTATGGGATCGACTACTTCGTTCGCATGTAATCTAGGCTATCATCTTGCTGGATCGAGGACGCGGTCTTGTCAATCAAATGGCACTTGGTCTGGAAACACAACGTTTTGCAACAGTAGGCAACTTTTTAATGTTTGATTATTCGATCCGCCATTCAAAGGTGTATTGCCATTGAAAATGTACTCTGCATAGACTTCGCTGCGTTTAATGTGTGTTGGTATGAACGGAGTTTTGTTGTTGAGTGTTACTGTTATGGTGCGATTCTCAAATTAAGCTTTCGTTTAAAGAGGCAGGCAAATATGAAATGGCAAGCTTTATTGACTAAAATGAGCTGTTAAAATGCTTTAACCTTCCCCTTCTTTCAATGAAATTTAAAAAGATTTTAAAACAGTCTCTCATGAATCTTAATCGGGGATTGCTTTGGTTCTGCTTATGCTTTGGAACGAAGGGATTTTTAGACTTTAAAACGTTCATCTCCTCAAAAGATTTCATATTATTGTCTGCATATACATAAAACTACCTTTAACCTCCAGTTGTTAAATGCCCTGCGATAAAAGTACCTGTTCATGGAGATGTAAGTCCACAGGTCTGCAAATCAGTGTCTGGCGTACAATACAAGACGAGATGTCTTTTTACATGCGATTCTTTGAACGGCTACATGCTAGAAGGTCCAAACAATGTTTCTTGTCAAGAGAATGCCTCATGGAGCGCAGACGAAATGGAAACCGTCTGCAAAGGTAAACATTTTTATGGCTTTCTTTTCTGAGATTGCGTGCGGAAGTGTGAGGCACATGTAGGAGAGGTGTTCTCAGTCCTAATAAAATGATTATTATTGAACACATTATGAGCCATACTACTCTTTGTTGAGCCAAAACATAGTCTTCTTTCAGTTTTGTTCCAACAATCCTCTTTGCTAAATTCAACGATAAGAGGCCTAGGACGATAACACCTTTGGCATCTTCAGATCAGATAAAAGAAACATAATTAAACGTTTTCATCTACTTTTGTAGACATCCAGACACCGAAAATCCAGTGCCCTTCAAATATCGTGGTTGATGCTGAAACCAATAAGTCATATGCAAAGGTTAATTGGGCTGTTCCAGTTCCAACTGACAATTCCAACACACCCATAAAGGCTGTCGGTTTGTATCCACCACAAAAGATAAAAGCGGGTCGAACAGAGATAACTTACTACGCAACAGACTCTTCTGGGCTTAGCACACAATGCAGATTTACTATTCTTGTCAAAGGTACTAATCTCTCATTAACTAATGCGAGCTAAGGGTCTATCGGCCTACCCATTCCGTTATAAATAGCTAATAACCAGATAGAGGTTTAACCTTACACGCTTAATGTGTCCGAGAACGCCATTTTTCTCCTCTTCAGGGAAGATAACAGAGGAAATCAATATAAATAAACATATAGCATATATAAGATTTGAATCATGCAGACATTATAATTAATTATACAAACAATTCATCTCGCTGGTAGTAGCTTTATTTTTTGGTACCTTGGCTAAAGGAAACTTTTGAAATGATATTTATATCTCTTGGACACTGGTAGTTTTGATCTGTTCGCATTCGTACCACTTTCCAACTCAACCGTAAATATTTTTTTTAGACTATGTAAAAAATCTCGATCTGTAGTTGCTTCTATTAATATTTGCAGCTATCAATTTTTTAATGCTATCTCTGCGGTGATTTAATTCATTTTTGCTGGGATATTAGGGGGAAAGAGCTTGACATCTTGAACTCGCTGAGTGGAAGACACCAAGAGTTTTGGACTTCAAAAGCTTTTTCTTAAATGTACCACTATCTTGCTGGTATAACTCTGGGAGTATTCCTCTTACTCACTCCAAATTGAACTCTAATTATGATTACCAAAATGCTACGCGCATACTCTCACTTGGTGGTGTTTTCATCATCTTGGAGGTTGACCTATACGAGATTAAGGCACACAATTATGACCGTGCGACTAAACTAAACAACACTTTATTTATTTCGCCTTAATCTACAGACACACAGCCACCAAGATTTCTTTCATGTCCGAGTAATATGCAGATAGTTTCTGGGAAGAGGTGGAGTGAGATCGCATTACCTCCAAGTTATCATACAGATAACGTCGGTGTCGTTTTATTTACCTCTAATATTCGGAACGGTAGCGACCTACAATGGGGAGAATATAAGATCATATACACCATTTCAGACGAGGCTGGAAATACTGCGAATTGTTCTTTTCATATCAACATAGCTGGTGAGTACACTTACATCATTGTTTGACCTGTCACGCAGGCGAACGAGCCAGTCATACTTAATAAGCGGTAGCTAGGGACATTATTGAAGGAAAATACCTAACTCACTGGAATGCATTTTACTTTTCCGTCTAAGGATCTTCGTGTGAAGATTTACCAGCACCATTAAATGGAGCGAAGGCTTGCGAAACTTGGCTCGTGGGAATGCACTGTACTGTTCATTGTAACAAAGGATATGGTTTTGCTACGGATCCTCAAAAGTTGTATTTCTGCACTCCCACAGGGCGGTGGGTTAATGCAAGAGTTAAAGGAAATGAAAAGCCCCACCTTCCCGATTGCTCGAGTATGTATATAATTTTACATGTTTAGGCAATTTGCCAATGAAAATAAGAATTGTTCATACACTGTCCTGCTTTTTATCCTCTACTGGATATTTGCATATATAACCTAGTCATTATCACTGTCACAGTCACTCTCATTGTCCCCAGAACTTAAAAAAGGTGGTAATTGCCTTACAGAGTGTATTGATTAAATTAAGAAAAAAAGGCTCCCCTTGTGTTGCTAAAAGGCCATTGACTCCCCACCAGCCCCTATATAGTCAATAAGTGGTCCCTAAATTCTAGGGAATAAAACTCTACAAGAGCTAGTGAGGAATTCTGATAAACTGAAGAGCTGTAAGATAAATTAGCTCCACTCCACTTTTAGGCTATGCTTTTGAAACAATTGCATTCAAGACATTTATTTTATCCGTAACAGAGAAGCAAAACCCGACGGATGTCCGCGTTGAAGGAAGGGTCCAGTATCTTACGGACAAGTGTGACGGAGAAGAAAGTAAGAAAGTTGTGGCAAAGAATTTTATAGCTCTGTTTAAGCAGCACCCGATCGGCCTTTTTGGCGGCTGTCTCCGCAATGACAAGTGCAAGATTGAAAACGTGAGGGTTGAATGTGGAACAAGAACAAGCTCGCGAAAAAGGAGAGAAATTTTCAAAACAAAGAAACCTCCAAAAACTTATCTTCGGGTGGAGTTCACTGTTACTGTGCCACTAACAAATACCTCTAAACAAGAATTAAACAAAACTACTGACGAGATTTCTCAAAACTTTACGTCCGACCTAAAAAACATGGACCTGGGCATAAATATTAGTGGGGTTGAGATGACGCTTGACAAGACCATACCGCCTGTTATCGCTGTCCAAGATTATGTCTGTGACAAAGGACAAGTGAAAATCGGGAGCCATTGTGGTGAGTTTCTTTACAATCTTTTTCTTTTTCTTCTTCCTCTGTTATCCTACATTTTGTTTTCACCCTCATCTTTGTTGGAAATAGTACACCCCTAACTCATTGAAAAAAAGTTCAACGAAGAGTATTTATCAGTTCGAGCCTTTTGGTCACGTTAGGTAGTTTTCAGCGACTAAATTAATGTAGGAGTCCAAGTACCATATTAACTTAGCTTTCTTACTTTCCAGTTAACTGTCCGATGGGCCATTTTTACAATGACAAAGAGGATGTATGCGAGAAATGTCCTGTCGATTACTACCAGGATAAAGAAGCCAAGTCTTCGTGTGTTCCTTGTTCTAAAGGAACTTCCACCCTGGGACAAGAGGCATCAAAATCAAGAAAGGAATGTTTAGGTATACCATCCTTGTTGTACTTGTAGCAACAGCTAAGCTCCAAAATAACAATTAACGAACGAGCAGTAGGCGTGTCTTGGCTAATGGGTGGGACTTTACAGGTCGTCTTCAACGACATAGTAAACTACGGAAAACCAAAGTTGACGGTTATCGGAAGACTACTTTAAAAGGGCGCTTATTCAGCTTTTTCATTGAAACAAAAGTAAACATGGTACATATGCTCGGAACTAAGATATAGAGACAATTCTTAACCGTTCAAAATTGGCCTTTGTCTAGTATCCTTAACAACCCTTATTGCATTGTATATATTGCGTGATCTCACCCGCTCATCAATGATAAAGAATGTTCAGCAGTTGCATATGAATGCATAATGTAACTTTACAACTCCATATAAATGATTCAGAAAGAGCTAGCAAACTCCTCAATGTGATACTAGTGAGACTTTTGTAAAAACCTTGTGCTAGTTGCCGCTGGTCAAATATAAATGTGTATATATATATATATATATATTCTACGCGCCAAACAAAGTAATCTTTTAGTGATACTGGCCTGAGAAAAAACCCAAAAAGACCCCAAGAATTATAACAGAATGAAAACTGGTTGGACAGTGTTTCATCACTGAACTGTATCTATTTCCATTATTCAGAAAGCTGTCAAGCCGGCCATTTCTATGATTTCGATAAATCTTCCTGCCAGAAATGTCCTGTGAATCATTACCAGGGTCGAAAGGCCCAAGTTTCCTGTGTACCTTGTCCTAAAGGAACGTACACTCGCGGAAGGGAAGCCTCCAAGTCACGTCACGATTGCCATGGTGAGTTACATTTACTTTGATGTTTTTCATTTTGCTGCTGCTTTCTACACCTTGACAGTAGCCTTTTCCTTTTATTATTTGATTCCATCTCTTGAAGCTTATCTCAATACGCACAGGCGATAACCATGCTTTCCTATCAACCTAAAAAAATACTTCAGTCATTCCAAAAGAATACGACCTCAGAGCTGTCGGTTGTTCACTTGACTGAAGACAATCACATGGCATAACTGGCATTCCACCTAATCTGTTTTGTTTCGGTACTTTCACCAGGCAAGAAATGTTTTGTAAAAAAACCACCCAAAAATGGGGCAATTGCCTGCACAACCTGGTCGCTTGGACGCTATTGTACACCATTTTGTAACATCCGTTGGGATTTTCCTAGACCAGTGAGTGTGTTTGGGGTTTGGTTTTGCAATGAGAGAGGAATATGGGCGCCTAAACACTGGCCTAATTGTTCAAGTAAGTAGTATAAATCATAAAGTAATACGAATTCTCTTGAAAAGCTCGAACTTGACTTAAGGACACAAGTTATGTTTTGAAAACTTCATGATGGAATGAGCTGCAGCAATTCCAATTCCAAAACCTTCCAAAACGCCATGCACTACTCACTGTAAATCGACATGTTTTGAAGATTATAAAGAGCTTGTGCTTCTTACCCTCGAACATGCTCTCATCGGTATTATGCAGTTTAAATCAGCAAAGTAGAGAAAAAATTTAATAGTCATTTTATCTTTCATATCCAAAACTGCGTTGCCTTAAATTGCTCTTGAGTGATGTGAGTTTCAAAGGGATCAATTTATGTTTTGGCAAAAATTCAGTGATTCAGTGAACGACAAACGACGTGAGAACTGAACTCAGAAGTTGCTACGCCAGGGATAGCATTTGCAACCACTTGCTAATGTTGAGTAATGCGTGAAATCTCTCTCAGTGCCATACCAGCCAAATACATTCAAAATGGCGGGTGGGATGAATTATTACAACGGGGATTGCAGAACCCCTGAAGCGAGGTCACAAATACAGCAGCAGTTCATACAGGTACTGAACTCATCAGTGTTTCGAATGGTCTGCCAACTTCCTACCTTTCGTGACAAGTGCAAGGCTGGGAATGTCGACGTTGAGTGTATTGACGATGACAGTAGCATTCACACTAAAACGCCAAAAGCAGGTAACATTGATTTTTATTTATTTGTCCGTGATTCAATTTTACGTAGGAGGAACGTCGGTTTGGGGTGCATGCTTTGTAACAGTGGAGTTTGACTTTCCTTTCACCGGTTAACACTATGTTATTGAACAAGCTTCTTCCTCTTCGTCTTTTAACCTTTTGTGCCCTGATTGGTTTTTTAACGTGAATAAATCTCTCAGTGAGAGCTGGCATTTCCTATTTTACTCTCACTCCGCTAAAAGTCTTTTAACCATGCCTTGAAAATGTTGTCCAGATTCTCCAACTTGCCGATGATAAAAATATAAACTATGGAAAATAAACAGTGTCCTTTAATTTAATTGAAAAGTCACTCATGATAACAGGTATGTTTGAAAAATTATGATCAGCCATTTCTTTTAACGCTTTTTCTTTTCACTCCTATACAATTTAGTGGATTGCCAAGCTGGCCATTTTTACGATACCAGCACAGCACTATGCCAGAAATGTCCAGTGGATCATTACCAAGGTAAAAGAGCCCAATCATCTTGCATTTCGTGTCCCAGAGGAACGAGCACTTTGGGAAAAGAAGCCTCTAAGTCACGCTATGCGTGCCGTGGTAAGTCGTCCGTCTTACATTGATGGCATCTAGCGTTTTAGCTACAAAGATCTTAAGAAATACAATGTTGCCGTGGGTCTGCTCAGTATTAGATCAGAGTTGACGTCAAAATGTGGTGAGAATGAAAAACTTGCAGTCGAAGTGCGGGCTAGCATAAAAACATCTGAACAGATCACCCTTATTAAAAGGAATGTCATAATTATTATCATTTCGTATTACACGTGGAAAGTGACAAGGTAACAGTCTGGAAAGCTCCGACCACCCTTGAAAACAATGAATCTAGTCTTGGACTACCACATTCTGTAGGACCAAAATGCTCTTATCACGCTCTCGTAAGATCTATCTGCTCTTGATATGAACCATCCTTTTTATTTTTCTGATTTAACTCCCTGCTGTAAGCTGTACAACTATGAATACAATATTGCTTTTTTGCTTTTGGTTGTGTGACTGCCTTTGCCTTATCTTCATCAAGCTGATAGGCCTTTTACACCTTTGCAGAAAAATGAGGGCACTGCCAATCCTACAGCCTCTGGAACTGAGACCACCAGAACCATATAAAGGCGTGACAAAAGAGAAGATTAGGAAAATCTAACAGATAATGAGAAAAATTACTCCAACTCCTTAAATTTTTCTAGTATCATTTGTAAAGAGCTGTTAGTTTTTTGGCAAATCCGATGCCAGTTCATAAATGAGTTGTATCGTTAAATTAGTTTTGATCCGCATATTCGATGAAGAAGTCGTTTAGTTTTTGACGCTGATTTCAAGTCCGATTGAGCTGATGCCCTTAAGCTGCCTCCTGGAGCGGAAAAGAAGGATCAGTTTTCGAGCTGGGTTTTACGAAACGCTTGCTAAAGAAGAACTTAAAAGTTTCTTGATTCCAGTTGAGAAATTAAACGATAAATAACGTTATAAAAACTCATACAAATTAAAAAGTGGTAACCACATGTATTTAGTCATAAGGTCTTTACGATAATTAAAATCTTGATTCAAACCATCATTCTGTTGATTTGTAGATGTTTTTTCTTTTAATTTATTAACTCGAATGTGACAGTTATTCTACTGAAAAGAATTTTCAATTTCAAATTCGAGTTGCTATTGGGTAGTTAATGTCATGAGGCACTCCTAATCTGGAATTTCCAACAAACAAATTCAGGTTTTAAAAAAGGCAATAATACGTATATCAGCTTCCTTCAAAGGAAAAAAGAAGGAACAATAAGAAGAAAGAAGATAATCACTGTCACTATTTTCAATATGATGAGTGTTATCAGCGAGACAAAAGTCAGAAAAAAACACTAAAAAGAGAGGCAAAGGAGGGGATTGGGGGATCAAGGAAAGTGTCTCCATAGTATCGTTTATGATTGGGAATCACTCGGTGTGCCGAAATTTTCCTCAATAACAACAAAGCATGACCCACTCTGCAACAGTACTTAGCAAAAATGTAATGCAATGAAAAACCCTATTTTCGGTTCTCTTGCTCAAAGGTAAAAAACGGTGACTCGTTAAAAAACATTCTTTATTAACGCATTCTTATGGTGCTGAAAAAAGTTAAATGCCTGCATTTTAAAAATATACCAGGTAATACTAATAGCCATCAAAAATATATATTTAAAACTCCTACATGAAATTAGTTGATTCTCCCCAGTCCATTTTGTTTAAGGTAAACTTACTATTGTAAGTGATAAACCCTGCTTAAGTCCCTCGAAACCATCCGAAACCCTACGTTAACTGCACGCAAAAGAAATATACTGACACCTTAATAGCTAAACTAGGACTAATGCAAATTGCCTTCTTAAATTCGATCCTGACTTACACTTCTCGCTGCACCTTTCAGGTGTTCCATGGACAAGTTTAACCATCACGAGGACATATAAATAAGCAAATGCTGTCTAAATAACTCAGAATCTACCACAGATCAATGAACCTGCCACTGATTTAAATAACTTGATTTACAACTACACGTACGAACAGTCAATCTACCATCGTTTCTTCTTTTTAATCCATTTCACTCCTTAGTTTGATTTTAAACGTTACCCTCAAGCAGCAGTATGCTTCCTCGTAAATTCGTTGAGAGAATTTTGTGTCAGATCAGTATTCTCTGTGTTGATAAGTTTATCTATTCTCATTGGCTATTCGCTGGATTTTGTAAGAACCAAACCATGTTTTAAAGGTAGAGCACATGGTAAGTGATCAATATTGAGCTATCTCAGTGGGGTCCAATTTTCGCATCACCATAATTGAGAGATATAGGAAAAGAGGGAATTTTCCAACAATCTTGATCGTGGTTGCAAATAAAAAACTGGTAAAAACTTATTTAGAAGTAAAAAAAATATAAACATCATTGAGTACTTTTCCATATTTGGAAGATTAGCACTGTGCACAAAGCTTTAAATATTAAACATTTTCAAAAAGGTACATTACATGTTAACTGATCAATTTTGAGCTATCTTGGTGGGGTCCAATTTTGACGTCACCAACATTGAGGAGTATAGGAAAGGGGGAATTTTCCAACAATTTTGACCGTGGTTGCAAATACAAAATCTGTGGGAATTTATTGAGAAGTAAACAAGATATAAATACCATTGTGTACTGTTCCTATGTTTGAAAGACTAGAACCATGCACAAAGCTTTAAATAGCCATTGTTACTAAATCAAATAACATCCATTTTACATATCAAAATATGAGTTATTGCACACTCAGTGTTTCTTAAATACAATAAATAGTTAAAAAAAGTCCATGAACGATCTCAAACGGCTGGCATCAACTAAAAGTATGCTACGCAAGTTCTACATTTTGGCAAATATTATTCAAGTTCAAATTCGTGACGGTGCTACAAAAAAAGAAAAAAAATACATATGTATATAAAAAAAACAGCAGCAACAACAACTTTCCAGTTCCTAGAGTTCATTGTGTTGCGACAAAGGTGCATTTAAACTTCTTCTCCTCCTTCTCCTATTGTTCGGGAACGTGATTACAAAACGATTCTTGTCGACGGAGCTCTAAGAAACAAAACAAGTTAACAGTGCGTTTTCCATTAAGTGAAGGTCAGTTTGAAATTGAGCAACACGAGCAGCAACCTATTAATCATATATCATACTGCGCGATATCCCGGGTTTTGAGTGCCACAAAAGAGATTCGCGAGATTCGTGGTGCCGGGAAGTCACAGTACGACGTTTAATCACTAAACGAGAGCTCATATCCTTCAAAATTTGCCATGCTTTAGTTGCTCAAAGGGTCATGTGATCCAGTCTTAATAGGTTCCTAGGACTAGTCATTTTGGCAACCAAAATACCATGACAGGAACAGTTCTTAACTATAGCAGATCACGAGCCATCAAACACGTCACTCACCGCGACGAAACTTGCTCCACCCATTAGATTTCCATGGTAACCATTTCCCGCTTGATCAAGAATGACTGAATCAGAAGTCTCGTCCATGTTGAAATGCGCTCTGACCACGCCCTTGTGGATGGGTAACAATAGGCCAGCAGTTTTCATGTAATCGGCAATCTCCGCATCTTCGACGTACACCCCCCACAGAGTCAACTGTAGGAAATTAATAAAGGGACAAGTTTATAAGTGCTTAAGTCCCAACTTAAGTTGAAATAGGCCGTTAGGCATCGAGTTTGTCGCACACGACATAGGTTGGCTAGACGATCAAACATTTGCTCATGACGCAGAACGTTAAGAAGAAAAGTTTGATCAAAAACATTTAAAAAATCAAACGGGCTCTTCCATCAAGATGGTGGAAAAAAATGTTTGATTTCTTAGCCAGAGCCTTTCCTTACCTAAGAGGTCTAATAACGTAAATCTACAACATCCAATAAATTCTTCAGTTGATGAGCAATAGAGAATTATATTGAAAAGAATCGCTTACCTTGCGCTATGCAATAATTCAGTTGTTTTTCTCAAGAGTGTCGAAAGTATACACAACATAATTTTAATTCCACCTTACTCGCTTGACTCTACTAGCTTGCCGCAGACAACAATCGACATCTGTTCCGGCGGGCGCACGTGCGGTATTTCGAATGAATAATTATTGATACGGGTACATATCGATCAGCCGTATGGATACTAACGGACGCAAACTGGGTACGAATTGTCTGAATTTTGGTACGAATCGACTGGGTACGAGACGACCGTGGGTGCGAAGCGACCGTGGTTCGAAACGACTGGATACCGATTGTTACATAGTTGGAGTAATAAGTTGTCCTGCGTAGACATCTACGATAACTCATGCACACTAACGACTCCATTCGAATAAATCGGAGCCATGGCTTTATTGACATCATTCAAGCTGTTGCAAAGTCCTACTCATTGGAAGTAACTACTCATCAACCGTGATAAATTTTCTCCGAAAACTCAGAGGGTAAATGAAAACAAAAGCAACCGGACGAGTTACACTTACGTCATCCACAGTTCCATTCAGGTAGTTACTATTGTCACGCCCAACATATAGAAGATCACTAGAAGACTGAAAGAGAGAGAAAATATATTTCTAACTTCTACAAAGTCAAGGAGAGGAGAGAGAGACTAAATACGTAAATTTACAACAGAGAAAAATTTTACCCTGTGTTATTTTTTTAGTTTAATAGCTTCAATTTATTCCTTTTATCCCACTCGACTACAACGGAAATACCCTAATTTTTGAAAAAATGTGTGTTCTTCTCTAACCCTTAATCCTAATATCAGTATGCACATTCTCCATACTGTTCTCTATACATTTCCTAAGGCGCTCAAGAAGACAATTTGTTTCAACAATGGAGAACTTCTTTAGTTGGCGATCATTTCCTCTATTATAGTGACCTTAAGTGTGATTCCGGAGTGATATTGTAAGGACAAATTAGGTGCTTGTCACTCCCCATGAGTTGGTCAGGTCCGAGGCTGACAGCTCGCCGTCGTACACAGAAGTCCGACCCTCTTTGTTTGAGTTATACAGGCAGGAGTCTTTCCTTCATTTTTTTATCGCGTAACCTTAAGAAACATTAGAGATGAGCAAAAGTTACAAAGAGACCTACCCAGGTGTGTGGCAATACATCGCTTTGTGATCCAACGGATGAACCGTTCACAAAAAGCTTAAGTTCGTAGGCTGAAATTGAAAAGTGAGGGATTATTTTCTTTTTTAAGAATTACTTCATGCTAAACAATTTCAAAATATAACGTTTCGCTTCTCGTAGATCAGTATGCAAGTCAACCGTTCTTCCAAAGTAAGTATGAATAATACTAAAAGACATTAGCCTCTCAGATCAGCTTTCATCTATTACTGCGTCCGATGCATTCGTCTGTCCATCAGTCCATCTGTGTATTTGACAAATTAAGTGACTTATAAACTGATAGAGAGAAAGAATGAGTGACTCACACATGTAAAGACTGGTAACTAACTGATTGCCTAACTTTCTGACTGACTGGCTAACTGACTGACTGACTAGCCGACTGTCTGCCTGATTGACTCGATGGCTGACTGATTGGCCCACTAGTTAGTTAGTAGGCTTTTTGACAGATTGAATAGCCACTTTTTTGACTCGCTAGCTAAGTTACTGAGTGAACAGCTGAGGGAGCGAATGACTGTCTAATTGACAAACTGACTGGCTGTCTGACTCACAGGCTACCGGACTGAATTATATACTGGATGACTGGCTCCCTGCCTGCCTATCTAACAGTCATTTCAATTCATTAAACGAACAATAAGGTCTGTTAATCAAATGGTGTACTTACTCTGGGCGTCATATCTGTAGGCCAGGTGATGCCATTCTTCGGGCTCAATAACTTCCGACCCTTGAACGACAGACGATCCCATGTTCCCATAGACTTGTCTGGACAGCAGATGCAACGGAATTATGATTAGTTTTCTCTGAATAAATTGTCTTTGAGTATACAGAACAACAAACAAATAAAAATCACACATTATACCTGTTTTTTAAGTACAAGCATAGTTTGGCATCCAGACTACACACGATGGGCATGTCAGTATTGGGATAATCCGCTGCCATCCAAACCCAAGTACTGATCGTAAAACTGCAATCAGATAATTCCAAACTGTAAGGTTAAAAGAAAATGCTGACCCCTTCCCCTCGTCACCCATGATTCGACTTGCGTTATTTTAAATTTTAAATTCTTACTGCAATTCAAATTTCAGTCGCTAGTTTAGTGGAGGAGAGAGTCTTTACGTGTAAGAATAGAGACCAATGACGAGGAAATGTTAAACATGAAGGTAAATTTAAACTGTGAATGCAAGTACCTGTCTGTTAAACCAAGATTATGGATAGATGGAAGGGTTACGTGATCATCAACTCCATCAAAGTGCAAAGCTTGATTTACCCTGATACAACAACAACAACAACAAAAATGATTTTTCTCCAGGTTAGAGAATGTATCTTTTCTCACAGATTGCTTATTCGGCCACAGCGTCCATCTGACTTATATCTGGACAACGACATGTTTACTGGTTTGTGTAAATGGCTGTTTCCAAATCTTTTCATAAATAATAACAGATAATTGCCGAAACAAAATGCATTGGCGCGATGGTACCGATTGCGAAGTCAAAACTATCAGACTGGACAAAATACGAAGTCCTCATTAAAAGAAATTACTTATGTAAGAGCCACGGTGGCTGAGCGGTTAGGGCCGAGTTCGAGGCCTGGCCGAATCTTGCTGAAGTGTTCTTGGACGAGAAACTTTACTAACACATTGCCCCTGACTGGTACCGGCGATGAAATGCTGGGCAAGAAATGTGCGCGTCCTATCCGGCTGGATAGACTACCCGGCCCGTGTGTATACATTTTTTTATACTTCAAGCAATCACCTATAGTTGGTTTCGAAAACACAATAATTATTTACGAGAACGAGCATCCGTAAAAACACAACCTTACTGATGCAGTATGGATGATGACGGGCAATGACCTATCTACTAACCTGTCAATACACCTAGCTTCTAGTCTGGACCAGATAACATCCTGCTGGCCGAAAACCATCATACCCAGTCTTCCTCCGGTGATCGTTGTATCATACACATCACCTGATTCAGTCAGCACTTTCTCGCCTTGTTTAACTTGTACTCTGAAATAAAGAATCACACGATGTGTTCTCCTCTCATTAACTATTTTTTTCACATACTCGCTGTCATTAATCAATACTAAAAGATTTAAGAACTCAATTATTATACACTATGCAGCCAAGGCAACTTGATACTTCAAATTTCATAATTATATTTATCGTATGTAAATAGATTATCCATTTTTGTTTTAAAACATGTAATTCAGTCTCACGATGGCCAGATATTATTTTAATAAACGACGACTTATCTCACGACTTACATATATGCCTATCATTATCATCGGAAATTACTCTGCTCATATACCTATTATTTTACCTTAAATCATCGTTCATAACATTCGAAGACTTAGGCTAGTATCTACGCAAGTTTTCGAAATCAATTTCCTTTAGAAGAAACGAAATTCCTTAAAAAGATCTTTTTACCTTATTAGACCGATGGAGGGTCTGTGAAACACGTGGAAGGCGTAAGAGGTTTTATATTTCCATCCTTCCATTTTAGGGTCTTGCCATAGAAGCTTCACCTGAGAGAAAAGATAGATGTTTCTCATAACGTTTATCATACTATACAGTGCCATATGTTGGATTTTGTCTTCAACAGAGGAGAGTTCGTTTACCTGGTTATTAGTATCTCCAGAATGCCACAGCGCTTGCGCCAACAAATCTCCAGGCCCCGTGTTTGAATCGACAAGCTGTGAAATCAAAAGGGATTATATGACACGCCAATCATTTGCTAATGAGCTAAATCCCTCTAGAATGCACTTACCTTCAACTGGATTCCTTTGATTCCTGCTCTATCGTTCAGGTCCTTAAAATTACTGTTCTCTCTTCTCCACATTACCACATAGAATCTGCGGTTTGATTGATAACCAAACACCACTCCGGTATAATCGGATGAATCACTCTCCTTCACATAAAGTACTCCACTAAAGTCAACGGGACCATATCGGGATTGACCTACAGGAACACGAAGGAATATACATAGAAAGGGAATAGATAATCCTACGTGGGAACAATCATCATAATAATCCATGATATTTAGTATACAGTGGCGGTTCGTGTAAAATTTCGCATGATGAATGAAGAGTGGATATGGCTTTATTTAACCCTTTATACCTGAACAACAGCATGCATATTTTCCATACTCTTCTCTATACATTTGTGCATAAAATTGAGAGAATATTTAGAAGATGATCATTTCCTTAATTCCCATGACCTTACTGTGTGATGCAGGGGTTATACTGTTGGAAGAAATTACATGCTAGTCACTCTCAGGAGTTAAAGAGTTAAGAGATCACTTAAGCCACCTATATGTATTCGTCTTTGTCGCCTTTCCAAATAAACTGCAGGATTTAACTCATTTAAATTACTATGAATTCTGAAAATCAAACATCTTGGTCACGGAATTTCCTGTGGCACAACTGAGGCTCTCTTATTAATGTGACATTGTCCGAGAGATCTGGAAGTCAGTACTCGTCTTATCGCTTAGAGTTGCCTCAAGCAACAATGCATATTGCGCAAAAGTTTCAAGTGCTTCATTGCCAACAAAAAAAGAGACTTCGACGTTTTACAACCTTTAAATCTTTTACGTTATAAAGATCATAACACAACATAGCCTTCATCGGAAATTTTCAGGTATCCTCCTCTAGAGATTGTAACGAAAAAAGCTCAGTGAAAATGAATTTTTGGGTACAACACTTTCAGGTTCAGAAGCTCAATTTGTGATTTTGCTTCTAATCTTCACCACAAAAAGAAATACTGACAAACATGAACACAAACCGATAAGCATTGCAGGGTGCTTTGATGAGGTGTTAGTAATTTCTTCAACGTCAATACCCTGGGAAGGAAAACACAAATGTCAATAAACTAAAGTAGAGTATGGTAAACAAAAAAGGCGAGGGGTGGCGAACAATATAACGGATTGACTTGCAAACACCATGATGGACAAACCATGGATACAGGATACGAGCATGGAAAAACCATAGTGATTAGGATTGACGAACAATGGTGAACGTCCTTCCAACATGGCATAAAGTACAGGATGACAATGCTATTGGTTATTACAGTCAACAGCCCATAAATCTTTTTGTACACAATATCAACTTCTGCCTATGGAAGCCCAGATTAACCAATCACAGAAGATAATTGTAATAAGCATAAACTTATGTCCTATTGCTATTTAGAAAAGCATTATCGAGCAAGACATACCTTTTTAGCCACTCTCCAGACAGGAAGTTCATCCGAGTGTCCAGGATACAGGTCTACAGTGAAATGGTCTGTGAAGCTTGTCTTACTGAGATGCTTCACATATGGGCAGTGGTCATCGTTATCATGGACACCATCTCCATCAAAATCATCGACACAAGCATCTCCAACTGGTCTTGCTACAAACAAATAACAAGCACAAGCCATCTAAGTTGACCGGCTCATGTGACGAAGTATACATTAACCAAAAAAGAAAACTGATTTGTGGTTTTTCTTTAAGAAAAATAACCTTAAAATAATGCATTCGCGTAAAAAGCCCATGCCACACTGAAACGCTGGAAATATCAACATTGTATGAGATAATGTTCTGTCCGATTTATGTTGATCTACGCGGATGCCCTTATAGAAAAAAACTTGCTGATCGACAACAAAACATCTGAGAAAATAAAAAAGAGCCACACTGAAACACAACGTTTTCGTGACGAAATCCCACCAGCAAATGCAAATAATCAAGGGTTGGTGCCGATGTGAATAAAAATTAAAATGTGTAGAGTCAATAAAGTTATGGAAAAAAGGAATACACCACTAGATTAAAAAAAAAAAACATTGGCTTGAGTGCAGTCTGTTTGACTGTCCAGAGTCAGATTCTTGAATTGTGTTCATTTTGCCTGCAAGTCGTTTTCTTAAGGTGTTGAGTTAGTCGCCTAGAATTGTCCGCTTTGGTAGAGGTAATATTTCAATACCCAAAACTCATGTTATCGCATCGCCTATTTTATTCCTAAATTGCTCACGAAATCATCGGTACTTCTACCTACATGGTAACATGGTATTTACCTTTCGCGTCGTAATTCAAATTAACATGTTCTTGACCAGCGTTGCTCACTAAACGGCAGTTATCATCATTATTACCAACATTGTCACCGTCCTGATCACCATCACAAGCATCTCCTAAAAATTCGTTCAAAGAAGAGAATTTATACTCACATGACTCTGTAAAGCTGTAAATATTAGTTAAAACAATTGGTAAAACAAATATTAGTTGGCACCGTTTTTCTACAATCGCACAATAAAGCACGTCCTACACTGTGCCGTTGGTCTTCTCGTCTGTATTTTACATCGTACCTACGCTGTCGTCATCAGCGTCTGCCTGTTCGCCATTTGGGAGATCAACACACTTGTCAAAACCATCTGGTACGCCATCGCCATCCCTGGAAACCAATCAATCAGATTAAAGATGGGAATGTAATGCATGGAAAAAGGTATCTTAGCGTTCATCTGATAAATGGTAAAACTACTGAGTAGTGAAAGATGATATTATTCAGAGAATTACAGAGGCACACTCGGAGAAAAAAAATATCTCCAAGTGTATGGTATTCGTCCCAAGAATCAACTTTCAGATTTTAAGAGGGAAGTGGTCGACTCACTTGTCTTTTCCAGGTCCGAAACATGCATCGCCATATCCGCTTTGATAGGCGTCAGTCTACAGGAGAAAAAAAAAGTTATCGAACTTGCTGCATTTATCACTTTCCACAACTCACAACTAAAAGAGGGGCTAACGCTCGAAACGTCAGCTTAGAAAGTCCTTATGGTGGCCAATTTAGTTTTTGATAAAACAAATTGTGTGATCGTAGGATGGATTATTTCAACCCTAATTTCTCGTACGTTGCTGCGATAAGGGTTTGATACAATTTCACTCTCACCGTTAAACAATTCATATTCTTTTTCCAGATCTTACTTTAGTAACAATTAAGCCAGTTAAGTCTAGAAACACACCTAGAGACTGGAAATTGGGCTTTTGTTTGTACCATTCTCGAAGAGAGCAAATTGAAGTAGTACTGAGCTACCATCGAACAGGTGTTTTCAAAAACACGCAAAAAAAAACTGGGTCGCTTGAGGTCATTTCAATGTCAACAGCGAATCTTAAAATGTTTTGGATGCTTATTCTGCAACGTGTCGATTAGTACTCTCATGAAATAGATGAGACGTACCTGAGCTCTATTACTCACTGAAGGGCAGTTATCACAGGCATCACCAACACCGTCAGAGTCTGTATCGCTCTGGGCTGGATTACTGACTAATGGGCAGTTATCAGCAGATACTCCTGCAAAAAGAATGATAAATTAATCAGTTAATTAACAAATTAACAAACAAACAAAAACAGTAAAACAGCTAAAGAGATATCTAGAAAAACATCTAAATGCATGTTTAAAGTTTGCAGAAAATAAAAGAAAATCGTTTATACAGCTTACTGCTTAGATTTTGTAGCTATTTTGATTTTGCAGTTAACACCTCTAAAACCAAGTTTCCCTGGTACTCACTCATAGAAAAAAAATTGATAAAAGTGGCAATTATGCTTACCTTTCGTTCGCTTTATCAGCCAAGAATTCAAATAAAATCTCACATAAATTACCTACTTTTACAGGTACAAAAGCTCAGAGAATTCCCCAAAGAGTTCTAACTCTTGCTAACCAGTTGCATGAGCTATATCACAGTCAAGCTCTTATTACGCAATCATCCCATCCCTCAAGCTACGGAATAATCTGAACGTGTGTGATATTGTGTGCCAATGCTTAACTCTTACCATCGCCGTCAGGATCCGTTGTATTACATGCATCCCCAACTCCATTTCCGTCACTGTCCAGTTGGTCAGGATTTTGTTGATTGATGCAGTTATCACATGCGTCACCTACTCCGTCTCCATCCGAATCGGACTGGTCCTGATTCTTCACAAATTGACAGTTGTCCTGGAAACAACACCACATATATCAACAAAGGCGTTCGTAAGATCACCTCTGTTTGAAAGGTTTAAAAAGGCTGGATGAACTCAGACATGTCGTGTAGTCTGATCGTCCGTCTGATTGTCCAGATGGAAGGAGTGTTGTCGGTAATAGTGACTGAAATTTAGACAAGCTTGGCGAAAGCATCAGTAAAGTCGACTGGGATGATAACTTACGCCATGGTCGTCGAAACGTCCGTCACTTTTATCTATAACAATCATTCAGGGCCAGGTTGTTCAAAGTCGGGTTAAGATAACCCAAGGTTTATGTGAATTTTGATTTCAGATCTGAGGGCTTTAAAAGAAAAAGGAATTTGATTCTTTTTGTGTACAAGTTGATGACTAAACGTTCTATAGAAAATTAGGAAAATTATCCCAAAACAGCTTTTAAAGAGTGAAATATAGGAAACTGTATTTAATATTTTACCGTGGGTTAGCACTAATCAGCCTTTGAACAACCGGGCCCAGGACTTTTCTCAACCCCACGATCAGACGAGGTTAAACGTTTTACTATCTGTCGAAAAGTAAATCACTTCTATCGAAAACAGTCCCTCAGAACTACTCTCAACCTGACGATCAGAAAACACGTTCTATTAATACTCCAGGGTTCGAAACCCTTTACTATACGAAACCTTCGACAAAGAATAAATAAAAAATTATAAATAACGGAAAAATAAAAATGAGGTTACACTCACCAATTTGTCGACTATCAAATCATTGTCGTCATCTTCATCACAAGCATCCCCGTCTGTATCACCGTCGGTGTCCTCTTGACCCGTATTAGGTACAGTTGGACAGTTATCCTGCAGTGCAATGTAGCATTAATGGATAAAAAAATTCGAGACTTTTGCGTAGCACCAAACTGGCACATGATCCTCAATGAAAGGGTTAAGCCTGCCCCTTAAACCATTGAAAAAACAAAAATACCTCGATATCCCTGTTTAGATAATATTTGATTTTGTCTTGGTTTTAATAGAGTGAGCATTAGCTGAATCACTGAAGTTAAAAAAAGTTTGGAGGCTAAATGATTAAGCGAAGAAAAGTCCTGATTCTTTTAATCGCATGAAGATTCCAACGCGGTGTGGCGATGTCAGTTGTAACTGCTATGTTAATAAACGGAATGAAAAGAGCCAAACAACAATACAGTCTTGATTTACATGTATTTCTAAAACAAATATTTAAAATTTCATCATCTCCATATCGCTTTCAACTCCCATAAAATTGCTAATAAAACAACTTACTAAACAGGATCGAGAGAGATTTGCGTTGTGCGTCGTCTTGCATTTTAAGTATTAAGTCAGCAAACTAATGGCGTTACGCCCTAAGAGCCTCTTTACATGGATGGGGAGGACCTTAAGTACGTGAGGTAACCCGCCTAGCTGAGGTTGAAAAATAGCCCGCGTTTACATACAATCTTACAACCCCAAGATCCCGGGGTGAAGTTTCTAGAGGTTGTTGGCGCACTTACGAATGTGACATGAACGCGACCCCGGCTGACAGGGTTACCTACCTGGTAGACTGGGAAACGCACCTGGGCGGGCTACCCCACCTATCATGTAAACGTGATCAACATAAAGTGAGAGATCCTAAGGCCAGACGGGTTACCCCACCTAAGGAGGTTACCTCACATACCTGGGATTACCAACCTCCTTGCAGACAGGCCTGAATGTTTGGTTTGTTATTTATGAAACAGTTAATTCACTCCCGATTGCTGGACCGAAGATAAGTTTATAGAATTATGTGTTGTACTTACTTTGAAGCAATTTGGCAAGGTGCAACTTAAACCTACGGAGGGAATTCCATCAAGGTCTGGATCGATTTCGCACTCCTCTCCATCACCACCGTACCCATCCTTACACTAGGAAGAAGACATGGTAAACTCATTAACTTACACATATTTCATACATTCTCCCTAAATGAGAGAAATAAGATCCACCATTTATGACATCGCAAGGATATAAGATCTCACGTGAGATATTTCAACTTGAAAGCAGTCTCTGATTGATCGAATGAAATCGTGTTGCAAAATTCGGTGTGGAGTAAATTGTACGATATGAATGGATGGCTGTACTAAAGTGACAAATGAACTAAATGAGGTGGAGTTTTGGCCTGAAACATGCTCGAGCTTTTAAATTGAACTCGTATCGTGTGCTTGTTCGACTTTGACACCCCTTTAACTTCGGTCGCCATTTCTGGTTGAGGTGTATTTAAGCACAGACTTCGTTTTTATTACGCTACGTGACGAAGGCCAACTTGAATGAAAAAAATTCAGACTATTGATCTGAGCTGAAATGAAAAAAAAACCAACCTCTCCTTCGGACAATTTTTTTGTTTTTCAAGTGCAAAAAAGTAGAAAGTTTAACCTACCCTGCACTTGAATCTTCCAGCGCCAGTCTGGGTGCACTGAGCATTTTCATGGCAAGTGTGTGAGCCATTGGTGCACAGGTCACCAGGGTTACAACCTAAGTAGCCATCACCAATGAAACCAGGATGGCAAGGGCCACACGTGAAGCTTCCCTGTGAATCAATACATATATTGATAAGTTGAAAAATGCAATAAAGCTTACATAAACCAGTACTTCTACTTCTTACAGTACTCGTTTCGTAAAAATTTCGTCTATCGGATTTATTCTCATGCAACATTGACATGAAACTGCGTACATGCGGACGGACGGACCGTAATGTAGTCGCGATCAACATTGTGTCTTATTACTATGCTACTCTAAAGTGATTAAACCACAGAAGCTCCGCAATTGTGATTCGAACATAATTACGGAGATCCTACAAGTGTACCGAATAAAATTTGCGCTTCCAAATGCAGAGTATTCAGTTAATTTTAAGAGCGTTTTCATAAAAACCCAAAACACACTTAAAATTCCTAATTTTCGTCTACAGCAATTAATAGACGGATTTTCCTTTTTTCCGCTTTATCTTCAAAAATTAGACTAAGTTTATAGAAGGCGTTGTAGTTGCGTTTTTTTCCCTTTTCAATGAAAGAGGAGATATTCTAGTCACAAAGATAAACTATAATATCGGTATACACACGACTCACATTTGTGTTGATACATTGTGAATTTGGATCACAGCTGCTGATCCCCTCTTTGCACTCGTCAATCTCCTCACAGACTTGCTTGGAATTCTGAGCGTCTTCCAAACCGACACCCGATGGAGCGTTCCCTCTGTATCCGTCGGGACAGGCGTTACACTGGTAACCAGGGACGAGATTTTGGCATTTATCACTCTCATAACAAGGGCTGGCACGGGTGCACTGTGGAAAAATGACGATTCGTTGATACTTGAACACCCAGGAGAACGAGCATCCCATATTAACAAATTTGACATACTAGCGATCAACAGCATAAAACCAGAAAATCAAGAAACACGGTTTTCTTTTGTTTTTGGGACAATATCACTGCGCCTGAATATCGTTTCGTTCTCGACCCATTACAGCCCCTACATAATGGTGATGATTCAACCATTAGATCAATGATTTTCTGCTAACGTGTCCCTATGAATACTTTAAAAGGTCTCTGTCTGCTTTTCCACTGTTTGTTTGATTGTTTGTGATTTTTTTTTGTTTTGCTCTTTTCTTCGATGTTACATGTAAAAGTACTGCGTGCTTTGTCATTCAGGCGGGATACGACGTCTGGTTAAAAACAACAAAAACAACAACAACAAAACAAACGAAACACATACAAAAAATAAACAAACAAACAAGCAAACGAAACAACTTCAAACAAACAAACAAAAACACAGCTTAAGTTGTGCCAGTGACACCCTTCCTACCTCGTTAATGTCGGTACAAGTCCTTCCATCACCCTCATAACCTTTAGGACACGGACCACATTTTGACTGACCAACTCCGACATTAAGACAGCTTACACCAGGAAAACAAGTACCGTTGGACAAACATGGACCTTGCGGATTTCAATTGAAACTTCTAGTCTTATGATTAAGCTAGCTAATACAGTCATGTTATTTTTTCGCTAATTTTACAAACTGTGACCAAGAGTAAAGGCAATATTATGAATAGAACACAGGCGAAAGGCGAAATTTGGAGATCGATGGAACAGATTTAACGAGAATAACAAATATAACCAAAGGCATCGCAGAAACTAGGCGAACCTGCTTTTTAGAAGAGTAAAAGATGCTAGCTCACAGTCACTTTTCTGGGATAAAACGAGTTAGTGACCCCAAAGATATCATAACCCTTTTTTTGGTTTTTGTTTCTTTTTTCGATTATACAGCTGTATACGTCAACACTGTGTACAGGTCTTGTTCGCCACAGGTCAAAGCTCGAAATCGCATTTTAATGAAGAATGCTCCTGCACATTGTAGTTTGCACTGAGTCGTGCATAACTTTGGCTCCGCGATATATCGCTTTAAGTCCGTCACATCTCGTAATTAATCAAGAAATATCAAAACAGCCCGGCGAACTAACAAACAAAGAGTCACACTCACAGTCCTCAGAATTAAAACAAGTCTGACACATGGAACAGTTTGGGAAGCTTCCATGTTTTGCCCACTCGTTGGCAGGACATGGCCGACAACTGGTCTTCATATATGTGCTGGTGTAACCATCCTCGCAACACTCACAGGTTTGTGCACGAGTCGCGTTGTTGAAGCTACCGGGAGGGCAAAGCGTGCATGGAAATCCTGAAGAGAGAAAGGGAATTCGTTCCGGTAGTGTGTAAGCTATCTGTGCAAGCTGCTACTGTTAGTTCGCTAACATTTTCGCGCCGACATTCCCATCGTTTAAAATTTCCCATAATTATACATCACATGAATCAATTTGACGCGCAGACGATACGAGACGAACTGAGCCTCTCAATTCTAGCCGTATTCAGATTTAAAGACTTGGACGTTTTCATCAGTTTTTGACAAAAAATGAACGGCCTTGATCATTTTCTTCTTGAAAGGGAGACGTTTGCAAAATCTACTAAGCAATTTTTGGAGACTTGAAAAATGTCATGATTGTGGGCTCTCTTCGAAAACTCCCACCACGAGATCGAACCAACCTTTTCCATCACTGTATCGTCCTGGTGTACAGTCTTGCTTCCTTCCCTCAAAGCAAACTGTGCCAGGTTCACAATCAAAGCAATTTTCGGGGCACCACTACCAAGAAAAGAGAAACAATTTTTATTTAATTAGAAACTAAAATCCGTAGACCAGACTAAGTAGTAGCCGCTGAATTGAGACGAGGTTCATCGCAATGAAGCAAATGGCGTATAAAGACTCCCTCGCCAGGATTGGGTTGAATTTTTGCTGGTTTCCATAACAGTTATCTTTTGTTTACTCCTGTCACACAGACATTATTTGAAAGTAAAGTATCTTGTTCAAGAACATGATGCAACGAAACCGGTTAGGCTAGAGCTCAGTTCTGAGTTTAGCACGATGAACAATCCACTGCTGAGCTCACCACAAGAAGTTCAACCAAATATTCACCGCATTCGATGTTCGCAAGCAATTTTGACCCTGGTTAGTTTGTTTGATGCCATCCATTGACTTCGCAATGGTAAAAACAGTACTTCATAGAATACCCACCGTCGAATTGCACTTGACATGTGTACTTTCTGGACAGGGGAGTGCGGTACCATTCACACAAAGCTGAAAAAAGGACGCACAATTCATGTAATATATGGTGCTTCGATCTGACGAAGGGCAAACGCTTGAAACGTCAGCTTTGAAACTCTTTACGGTGGTCAATTTACGTTACCAACTCAGTTGATAAAACCAAATTACCTTAATATTTGTTGCTCTCGATTATCGAGCAACGAAGTATTGCGACACTTCACCTTTCAACTTAACGTTCCTCCTGGTATTCTTATCGGGTTTTTGAGAAAATCGTGGGTGCTTTTAGAATTAAATAAGCTTTTGAAAAATCAAAGGTTTTGGTCGAAACAGGATAAAGAACCCACTCCAAAACCCTCCCACTCATCCCCAGAGATAAGTACACTACACCACTCGACCCGCTTACCCATCCCTCGGGACAAGGTGAACAAGTCGCTGCGGAACCAAAGGAGAATTCTGTTGGTGAAGCGAGTCCACATCTTTCTTCAGTTCCATCTCCAACACAGAAATACCCATGAGTGCAGCCGCGACATCTCGGCTTATCCGTGGAGTTTAAAGCTAAACGTTGAATATAAAAGAAAAAAAAATATATATTTATATACAGATGTCATAATTGCCGCGTAACAGCAAAATTTAATAAAAACATATTTCCATTCCGCTGTCTGCTGAAAATGCGGTGGCTATGTAGGTTTGTAAAGGAGCTAAATATGGTTTAGGTTTGAACAACTAACCCTTAACTTTGGCTAACTTTCGTTTAAGGTCACGCTAAGATGCTGTATGCTACTAAATCTGCTACATAGAGATCATTGGCAAGATAGGCCACTGAGCCACATATTCATATAACGGCAAACAGTTGACCGTGAAACATAGTCATTCCTGGTTTTTTAACGATCTACAGGCCGCGCCAGCTGAGCTCATATAACAAGGATCACAATTACAGCCGTTTTTTGGCAGGTTAAACAGAGCGTTTATTCGCAATGTTTGTGGTAGATTTTGGGTATTTGGAATCTAAATTAGGACAAAAGTAATGGAAAAAAAAATTAAATTTGCACTTTTTGAATAAAATATAATTGAAGCCATTTAGCATCCAATATCTGGCGCGCATTGATAGAACAATTGTTAATAATAACACTTATTGTGAGGTACTTACGGTATTTAGATCCTGTGAGCCCAGGCGCTCTGAAGAACACCTCACCGGTGACTGGATCAGCTACCACAGCTCCGGTCGCTTCGCAAGTAGCATCAAATGTGATATTCAAAGGGATACTATCACCGCGTTTTGGCGAACCTCCATCCACAGCAAATATCAAGTACTTGTAGGTCCACTTCACAGTCTTATTGCTCCACACCACCTCGGTACCATTATTGACATAAAACTTCGTGGAATTGATGTGAGGACTGTTATATAAGGCAATGATTTAGGAATAGAAAAAGAAAAACATACAAAGAGAAGAGAAGAAAAAAAAAGAAAATTAATGAAACGAAAAATTGAAATCTTTACAACTTAATTTCCAAAATTAACACAATATCATTTGACAGGTTATGCGAAAGCCGTTACAATGTGTCTTCTAACCGTGGAGTCGAAGTGACGAAATGACGGGGGTGGAGAGGAAGGGGGGAGAGAGAAGGGGAGGGAGGGGGGTAGGGAGGGGGGTAGGGAGAGATCTGGGGTTGATCCCATCAAAAGGAATAGTCGCTTCATACCACTTAAACTGTAATAAGGTTTGTCAGAATTTCCAACTTCAACAATGGTACAAGAAAATATATAAAAGCTATTTGGAGGCACCGCAAGGAACACATTTGGAGTAAGATTGTTGAAGAAAACCTCTCTACTTAACTTACAATCTTCGATAAAACGCTACGTCAACAAGGTATGTGACCATACCTAATGACAAGCCAAATTTCTTAACTTTGCCTTGCAGTAAAATTAATTTCCAAGAAAGATTTCCCTTTTTTCTATACCTTAACGAAGTTTAACACCTAAAAATTATAGTGAGGCAGCTTCGACTTTGTAGCGATCCCAGTAGAAGCCTTAAAAGAGAGTTTAAAACTAGTCTGCCGTGTCTGTATAAAAGACTTCAGTATCTAGGCTACACTGTACGTACATTCTCTCTGGTTCGCTGACGTTGTATGTAATCCGAGCGTTCACACCACTGTCTTTATCAGTGGCTATAGCAGTAAAGAACGCTTCTTTACGAAGCGGTGGAATCGGCTCCAAGTCCAAATCTATGTTGACTTCTTTCAAGAATGGACAGTGATCATTGTAGTCTTCAACAAAAACCTGCAGAAGCACAGAACACAAGAGATCCAGAACCAGGGTTTTTATTCGAAGCCGGGTCCCAGGTACCGGCACCCGTCTACTTTGAACAGAGTAACCGGCTACTCAAAGTGCGAAATTTAATATTAAATCTTCCCTGTACGATTAAAACCATTTTTCAGCACAAATTTACCAATAACTTGCCATCAGATCGTGGAAATAAAATTTACTTTGACGAGAAGGCGTTGCGCGACAGTCGCGTGCTTCCTGATAACGCATTTTGTTGGCTATCAAAGCTTAAATATTCCGAGCAAGTGAAAGAAACTTGAAAGAAACTTTTTTCCAATTTCATTTTCTTTCAAGATTAAGCCAAGAAATGCATTCAAAAACATATCAAAAGTTTCAAACGTGAAAATCCGCTTCGGTCTGTACTGTCGCTGAAAATTTGCCAGTTACACTCTTTATCAGTTTACAAGTTTAAGTTAGCTTGTTACTGTTAGAAAAGAGGAGGCTCTAAGAACAACAGCAGTGTTTGATGTAGCTATAGCTGTATAGTGAAATAAAAAAACATTTTCCCAGAGTATCATTCTTTTTTACTATAATTAGAATAAGTATGCGTCATAGCAAGATTTCTTTTCCAGATTGCAGGAAAATACGCTTCTGGGAGACTTACGTTTTAAAAATTTCCCGAGGGAGCACGCCCCCAGACCCCCCCAGAGGTTCGGGCCTTCGGCCCTCAATTTTACAGGGTACCCGTCTATTCACGAGGCAGTGCCCTTCTACTTCAAAAGTTAATGAAAACCCTGCAGAACAATGATCTAATTTTCTTGAATGATTTCAAAGCGTGACAGACCAGGAAGGATAAAAAAATGACAACATACACAAATATATCCATGAGCTAATCCCGAACTCCATTCAGAAAAAATATTCTAGTACAATACTGGGATGGCGTTCACTCTCCTCCTTTAACAACTTCTTTTTTTTTTCGTTTTTTAAAATTATTATCATAATCATCATAATCATCATCATCGCTATACTGCTATGATTATTATCATTATAATTATCTCTAAAATTATTAATATAATCATTATATCTGCTTAAATAAATGATCAGATTTCCTTAATGGTTTTGGTCTACAACAAGTTGTTTTTCTCTGCTGTTTGCCTTGAAAGTTTCGGAGTTGCGAGCTCATGACACAAGAAATCAAGGAAAGGTGGAGGTTACACGAATGTAATGAGTCACCGTAGGTTAAAAGTTTTCCTGACAAATACAACGACAAAAAAAACAAAAAAAACCAATAACTTACCTTGATTGAAATGTTGCCTGTCCATCCCTTAACAGTATCAGTAATCCTCAGATATAAAAAATAAGATGAAGTGTACTCGAAATCCAAAAGTTTCTTTAGTGCTAACTTAGCTGTAGATGTGGTTATGGAGGTGAATGACTGAATTCCTGTTAAATCAAAGGGAAAGAGATAAATACCAGTTTTGCCCAGCAGTTATGAAGTGATATAAGAAGGAAAAAAAGGAATCAGAATGAAGCCCAGAATACTATTTTTTAGAACGTTTCTCCGATATTTTCAGACACGTTAGCATGATCTTTAACCTTAATCAGTGGGTTTAAAAAAATAAATGTTAAACCTCGAAGTAAACTGTCTCCACCTACACTTCATTTTGCTTTCAATTGTTTGTAATAAAACGACAGGTGCACATATCGCGTAGTCACCCTCTCTGAAATATCCCGTAACAGTAAGCACAACATTAACTTGGTCAGTATATATCAAGCACGCTTTGATACAGATCTGGTTTTATTATTGCGTTTTACCTGAATTTACAGAAGGAATTGGATCCACTGGATCATCTGTAGCGTTCGGACACAATACAACTGACTCTCCGTTAAGGATAAACGTGGGTGGAGAAGGGGTGGTGGGTGCAGACGGTGCTGTGTAAGCCCCATTTTCAACTTCAAATCGGTCTTGCTCATTTCCTTCCAAAATGTCTACGTTGTAAGGTCCAGACGAAAAAGCATCTCCAATGTAAAAGTCCTAAGCAAGATGCAAAGAAATCAGAGGATGAGCGATAATAGACACGAGTCATTCGTGGAGCTTACACCTGTGTTGATGTTGGTTTTCAGTTTTTACGGCGTCATTGAGAAGATAAACTGCTCGATTACCATTGAATTTCGACTTCTCGTCGTTAGTATCCCGTATAGTTCAAATTCGCTTTGCGGTATGAAGTACACAAGTTTGAAACTAAAGAAGTTCCCAATTCTTGTTCTTTAAACTGATATTTAAAACAAATAACAGTGATAAAAGTCGCAAACTGACCCTCCACTAACTCACATCAAAGTCAGTAAGAGAAACCCTTCAAGGTCATGGGTTCTAATCTCGCACAGGCCTGCATTTTTTTCAGGCCTTATTTACACTACTGCTTTAGAAGTGTTCATTACTGCCAAGATCACTTTCATATTCATACTCATACCATTTTCTGACTATTTCTTCGTATGTTTGGGTAGATACAAATAACAAACAAAAAAATTTTACCTGCACAATAAAGCCAACATGTGCGTTCTCGCTGATAGCAGCCAAATAGTCAAGAGGCCGAAGGTCATCCGTTAGAAATGAAACGCCACTTGACTGGAATAAAATGCGCGAGTTGCAGCGGAATCTCTCAGCGATGAATACATCTAAACGGTATGGCTCATTTACCTTCATGGAAAGCAACAAAACCCTAACACTTAGAATGAAATCTTTAAAGAGGTTTGTTTTGAAATAAATGGAAAAAATTAATCGCTCGTACCTTTTTAAACTAGATTACATAAGAAGAAGCAATGAAATCGTGGTCAGTGGCTTTATCTCAACATTCTCATAATTTTATCGTCTCTTACTCTCAGCTATATCGCAAATTGTACGTTAGCCCTCACCAGCTTTGCTCTTCCATGAAGACTAAATTGTTCTTGCTAGGGTAAGGTAGCACTAGACAGGATTGAATGTCTAAACAGGGATTGACTAATCGAGACTAGACTAGACCAGAATAAACCAAACTGGGTGAAAGGGAACACTTCAACAAACATAAATTAACTTGGACCATAACGGACCTGACCAGACCAGTTTAAGGCAGGTAAGATCAGAGCAGACCAAACCAACCAGCACTGGACTAGTCCTAAATAGACCAAACTTAACTAAGCGTATCTTGACTAAACTTGACTGCCATAGATCTACCTATCTGGTTCTCTCTTGATCAAACCAAATCAAATGAGTACAGGGGGTAAGTTTCTAACGAAACCGTGGTGCTGGTTCGGTGGGAGAGTATAAAATGGTAATTATTAACTGAGTTTATAACGTAAATTGGCCACCGTTTTGAGTTTTAAAGCTCACGTTCCCAGCGTTAGCCCTTCGTCAGAGCGAATGAGTTAATTTCTCCGACTAGACAGGAACCGATTGGAACGGACCAAGTTAGACTAAACTTGACTAAACCAGTCCATTGGTTTAGTTGTAACGAGACACATCAAGTCAAGCTATACTATACCAGATAAGACTATAGCAGACTCGACTAATTTAGACTTGACAAGACTAGACTAGAAAAGACTAGACAAGCCTGAACTAGACCAAAACAGAACATTAGACTGGACGAGTAGAACAGATCGCACAAAAACTCTACAAATAAAGCATGAAGAGAACAAGAAAGGGAAGTACAACATTTCTAAATCATGGTATTACCTTAAGAGATAAGCTAACGTTCTCGGCTTGTAAAGCCCCCGTGACTTGGCATTTTCCACCGATTACTGTACCACCTTGAGGAATGACAGACCCAGTACTAGCTGCAAGATCAGCGACAGAAACTCATACCACATACGACTATATGAGATATCACTGTGAGTTAACAAGTAAGACATGGTTAAAACTCGCCTGTACCGAAATTCTAAAATAATGCGGCTGGATTTCGAGCGCATCATAAGTAAATGCATCTCTAGTTGCGTTTTCCAAAGATTTTGCCGATCTATGGATCATTTTCATGCAAGAGGAAAAACACTAATGCTTCTAATTTGCTTCCAGAAAGCATGACAATCATCACAAACTTTGTGTCGTACCAGCATTAGCTAAACTGATAGAACGGCACGGAACATCAGTTTCCGATGGATCAGCAAATATCTGCACCACCAGTGTCTTGTCAACGAATACCCACAGTTCTTCGCCGCCAGAGAAGGCCAACATCTCTTCACCAGAAAAGTTGAATGCTGTGCGTATTGCAGCAGTAAAACTGAAAAATTCAAATTAAATGATACAGTACTTGTTACTATTTCTTTGTAACACATTTATTATGTTCATTCCGTTCTTTCCGATCTTTGGGCAACTCTATACATCCTATAAGGTTTCTTATATCTTCGACTCCGTTTGAGTCTCCTTCCATCCTATCCGCCTAAGTTTTTAGGTCTCTTTGAGCTCTTAGGCCTACAGGTTTACTTGGAATAAAAAAGTCAGCGAGGTGAGCTGCAAACTGAAAAGGAACATGGCTGGTTAAGAGAATGGGCATATTTCTTCGCATCTCAACCTGAAAGAAAATCTTTAAGCCAAGAAACAAACAAACAGACGAAAAAAAGATAATTGAGCCAAAAATCATCCGTACCCATAATTCCTAAGTGCATTAGTGAAGCAGTCCCTTTGTCCTTCTGCACCCCATCCACGGCCATCGACCGGGAAGAACTTGTCGTTATAATGTCGGAATACAGTATTCCCATTCGTATCCGTCTCCAGCTGTTTTCCTAGCTCTAATTTTTCTTCATAGTGAATGTTCCGGCTGGAAAAACTTCTAAACCAGTGAGAGAAACTATCAGAAGTAGGGCTGTTTGATGTGGCCAACCAGCTTCCAAAGGGGCTGTGAACATATTGAGGATTTCGATAAAGGTCATCTCTGAATGCACCAAGACCAGTGAAATCAACATCGGAAAACCTGAACGCAATTACAGATATGTTAACTCATGTGAAAATGCAACAAATATCAAACCCTTGGAGGGTTTTGAGGTTCTAGTTCGAGAAAACGTGGTAAGATGTTTCTAAAGGAAAAGTTAGCCGAAGATAAGCTAGTTTGTCATGTAGCTGATAGTTTGCAAGAAAAGACCATTTTTCTCACTGAAAAAAAAAAGTTAACAGCACTCAGATTAACCAAAATAGCAAACACGACTACAGTAAAATGAAGTCAAAACGTGGTTATAGCGTCTTAGGTACCTCAACTCATGAGTACCAAAAAGTAAATTGCATATTCCTACAAGGCAGTGCAGATCCGTTTCTTCTCAGCTGCATTTCAAATAGACAAAAGACTACAAAGAACATCAATTTCAGTCGCGATCCACCCCGCTAAGCACTTTCATGAACTACATCAACTTACTGAAAATCGTAGTAGGTAATGTCCAAGTAGTAATTGGAACTGTTTAGTGATGCATTGGTCACAGGAGCTGATTAAAAAAATATATATATTGGTGAGTTGAACACTCACTTTAGTCAAACCTAAAAGGCCATTTGCGAGTTCATAACAGCCTCATTTTGAAATTGAGGCCAGTAAGGATTGATTTCCAACACGAAGGCTACTCATTTAGCTTTGTTTTAGAGTAGGCTTTGAACCTCCGGGAAATGGCTTATTCACAACGTTTTGAGAGCTTTTTCGCTGTTGTTGCCGTCATTTTCCATTGAGGAACTTTCCACTGAACTGAACCAACAAATTGGCCGCACAAGCCCATCAGTATATCAAGATAATAATTATTTGGACTGCCTCAGGCATTGAGATTTGGATGCAATAAAAGCATTAGGCCATTTTTTCTTCCTATACTCCCCTTTTCGGATATCTCAGGAGAGAGGCACGTTCCATGAACGCGTGCAATTAGTATAACGTCAATACCGATACCAGATGGAGGGAATCCTATTCATTGTGTAACCGTTTCAAGCATATACCTACCTTTTCCTTCCAACGTAGTGACAGTTGCTTCCTCACTTTTTGGGGAGGTCTGAGTTTCAATTTCGCCTTGGGTATTGTTGTCTAAGTTTGTCCCATTATAGGCTGTCACTGTCATGGTTACGTAGCATACATAGTCAATCCCTGCTTGGACACCATCGGCTTGGACAAACAAGATAAACTCGCTTTGCGTTGACTTAGAGAACGAAGGAGCGTCTGCACTGTCGCACGTTGAGTTGTAGTCCACATCTATGACCTATGAGAAGTGTAACGAAATCCAATGATATCAAGAGCGCTTTGATCTTAAATAATAGTACGACTACGAAACATCAAAACTACTTGTCAAAGGTCCAAGGGCACCTATTGAGCTAAACAATTTCCACCATTTGGTAATATTTTCGCGACAGTTCGCCTGTGCTTATGCCTCTCTCCTCGGCACAGAGAGGCACCAAAAGGGTAAAATGTATAGTATAGAAAACTTTACAATGACCCGACCAGGACTCACACCCAGACCTCTCGATTTGAAGGACAGAGTGTTATGTACTAAGCCACCGCCTTGTTCATGATCGTGATAAGGTAGATTAGCATTGTAGCTATTTGCAGGACATGAAGTTTTGTAAACCTTATATTTCTTTAAATAAATACATATCAAACATAAGGGTGAATAACAGTGGCCAAAATTTCCCATGTTAACAGATATGACATTCTCCGAGTTCAATATTAACATGATAAAGCGGGAAAGGAAGAAAGGACTGCGAAGCCAGAAAGGAATTGTGTGCTGATCCTTGGCGGAATTTTCCCGAAATATTGATGCTGCATTGTAGCCAATTGTGGGTCTTGATTTCTTTTCTTTGACTAACGGTCATCAGCAAGCTAAGCTCATTCAATATCAAAACTAATAGAATTTCCATTTCAAGAGGAAAGCCTTTTCGGTGCTTTGTGATCAGGACGAAGTCCCCCTTTACTGTACGAAAAGAATACATCTTAAATTGTGTCCTCATCCATTCTCTCTACAAATACAACTTCAGCTAGTTGTATCTACAATCTAAGTAAAAAAGAGGACACTTACAGTCGTAATATTCCACGTATCCACATAAGTAGTGTTTGCATCCACTATGACTGGCGGATAAAGGGAGGAGGGTCGTGACCAGTCCACTCTCAGCTGGAAATCTCCCGGGGCTGTTGCAGAAATATTCACTGGTGCTAGAGAACGAAGAGATAATCGTTAAAGGAGCCACGCTTCCGATTGTGTATTTAGAAACATAATTACGACTGTTCAAGCGTATAGCCAATGGACAGAATTCTTGGGTAAAGGGAATCAAGGAATTTAATAAAATACGTACAGCATGTGAAATCCTGAACAGGTTGTTTTTCATAAGATCCTCCAGGATAAAATTCTACCCCAGCGACACGAGATGGAGTAGCACAAGTCGCAGCCCTACTCGCGGTTAGAGCTGTTATGACAGCGACAATGGAGTTATAGACATTGCAGTCGCAAGCGAAATTGTTGCCATTTAGATTTCTGCAAAACGAAAGAAGGTGTACGCAAACAATACGTACATTCATACATTTCAGTGGAAGTGGTGAGCCATGTTCACAAATAGAAATCCACGCAAAATTTGGGCATTTAAAAAAACGAAGAAATTGGATTTCTTGGAAAATGTTTTCAATCGCTTTCCGGGACTCTCCCTTTTTTCGTTTACATAGGCCTTTTTATATTTCCATTACCTTGCAATTTTCAGCAGTTTTAAAGCTGCATATGCTTGTCAGTACATCATTGTCACGGTTCTCAGTTGTATCTTAAATGGCTACTTACAAAGTGCCTAGATTTGGGAGTCCTCCAAAACAATCTTGACCAACATTCTCTATCAAGTTATTCTTTAGGTTGCTAAAAATAAGGAAATTGACGAAAAATCAGTCGAAGCAAAAACTTTTACTATGAATAACAAAAACTAACATATAACTTCTACCACTGTTTGGTGGAGAAAAAAATTCACCAGAGAAATGTTAGTGGGAATTTCCAGATCCTAGTAACAGATTTAGTTTTCCTTCACATAAACTGCAACACCACCACTACTGCTCAGAAGATATAGCTCAACTGTATGATACTTACAGAGTACCAAGAGTGTTCAGTGTTGGAAAAGTGGGCAAAAAGACAACTTTATTTTCCTGCAAATATCTATAAAAAAAGGGAAAAGCACAGTGCATATAACTTATGGAGACTTTTGATTTCTTGTGTGAGGTCAAATCAAAAATAAACTATGCGACAGTCATTACCATCCTGAAATTGGTAATCCACTTAAAGGCAAAGACGAAACTCCTAACTTCTGGAAATTGCCCTCATGACAAAATGACTTGCAGGGTCAAAAAAAAAGTTACGGATGCTCGGATTATCCATTACTATGCATATTTTAGAGTAAATGAACGATTGTCTTCTAATGTGGGTGTAGCTTCCCTTCTTTATTGGCTTGGTTAACGCTCTCACTATCTGGTTAAACTATGGAAATCTCCGTTCTAGCAGTCATAAAATGTCCTTCAACCAAAAAACAACTCTTTAATCGATAAATTTGTCTTCTTTCGGATTATGTAACGAAATTGAGTGACAGTATAAGTTAATCACTTCTAGTATTTTAAAAAAATGAAGATCAACAATTTTATCTCGGTCATTACTGATGCGTCACTATAAAACGTAACCAAAAGCAAGCAAGACATCGCATGAATGAGCATTAAAGTCACTTAATTATTCCCGCATTTGCTCTTGATAAATACTTACATCTTTTGGATGCGTCCCAAGTTATTAAAAGCACCACTTTGAATCACACCAATGGCATTGTTCATCAGGTTTCTGTACGACAACAAGATTCATGGGAGTCAATTTTCTTAAAACGTTATGCAGGAGGGTACAAGGTTTAACATCGATTTGAAAAATAACGAGTTCTCCATCCGCGCTGTAAAAGACAAATCGTTATGCCTTCTACTTAATTGAAACTATTCATTCCCAGACACACATTTGTTACGACACATAAAGCACCCCCCTCCCCGAAACCCTCTCAGTGTTGGTTTGCAAGATGACGTAAACGATTAACAACACTGCAGGGAAAGAGGGGCGAATGAACATCACAAAAGTTGCTGTGAAAAAGTGTCTCAGGTAAATTATGGCTAGGAGCGTGAGTCTACACCGAACTTATGAAATAGTTGCGGAGTGTAACTATTTCTTATGACCTGAGATCGCTTTGCGTTTTAATGACTTTTTTCCCATTACTCGTTGAAGAGAGCCAAAAACGCAGGATTCCAACCTTGCCATGGCATCTTCAATACTTACAGTTCTTCTAAATTCGTCTGATATTGAAACAAATTGGCGCCCAACTCTGTTATGTTGTTGTGTTCAAGTATGCTACGGAAAAAATGAATCGTCAGTGACTTTACACGTCGGTTAAAAAAGTCTCAGATTTGTCTTGCTTTACACTTAAAAAAAAAAGAAAGAATTCACGAGACTCTATTGAGACTAAACTGAAAAGACAGCTGCAAAAATAACAAATATTATTCTTAATGTTTATTTATTGAACAGTATTAATATTAGTTACAATACTCACAATACTGCTTACAAAAACTTACAATACTTACAATACTTACTCTACATAACACAGGACTACTTATATTACTTACGATTACATACAGTACTAACATTACTTGGAAAAGAAAACACAATTTACAGTATTTACTCTACTAACAAAGCTTACTCTACTTACAATTACTTACACTATTTACACTACTTACAATTACATACAATACTGACATTACTTGCGTTACAGGAAAAGTGATCAATAGGTTTAAAACTATGAAATAATTGACTAGATTTTTGGACGATATTTTTTAATGAGAAAAAAAAAACAAACCTAACATGTTGTCTATTTTCTGATGGCAAGAATCGTAAGCACGGCACCATGATTATACATTACCCTCATTTCAAGATGGATGAGGTATAAAAATCAACCAATAATTGGAAGCTCAATGTTTGGATGAAGAACTGTTGCCGTGACAATTTAAATGATGAGTAACGAGTCATAAAAATAAGGCTAAATCACTTCAATTACTAAAAATCCACTTATTCTCAGTGTAAAATGTAATATCTAATAGCAGAAGCTTATGCCCTAGGTTCATAAGCTTATGTCAATAAAAATAATCGTAATTACGAAGAAATACTTACAGCTTCCGAAGATTAGTGAATTTATCCAGCTCTCCAGGTAATATGGTCGGAATATTATTGTTAGTCATATCACTGGCAACAAAATGAGCACGAACATGTCACCACGGTTACCAAGGAATCAATGCCAAAACCACTCTCCGATTAAAATTGATTAAAAAAAGGCTGCATGGACATTTCACGTTGAAAATATATAATTATTGAGTGCAAAGTCTCCCCCAATTATTTTGAAGTTACCATCAAATAATTTATCATTATAAGCAAACATTCTCCAATATCAGATAATTTAAGGATAAAATTAACTTTAAATTTAGACTCACAGTTCAGATGGATTCTGATTCCTCAAAGTTCGCGAAGGAAATGTAACCAGTTTGTTGTTCATCAATTTGCTGAAAAATAAGAAAAAAATATTGAACATCGCAGACACTCCATACGTCAACGGGTGTTTTCCAAATCGTTTTAACTACAACACCATCAAAGTTATAAATAGGTTTCAATTATATTTCTCTGGAGTAGCAAGTAAATTCCTCCTTAACAAATGTAAAATCTGTAAAAAAAGGTTTTGTCCTGAACTTTTTTCTCAATTGAATTCGCATGCTCACGAAAAAAAAAATGTATCTGGAGTAACGAATAGACTCCTCTTTTATAAATACAAAATCTTTGAAAACGTTTTGTATCTGAACTTAATTCTCAACTCATTTGCATGCTCACGAAAAAAAAATTGGACTTACATTGCGTCGATTGATACTCCTTTCAAAGCATCTTCGTGCAAAGACTGTATCTGGTTATTGGAAAGATCCCTTGGGCAGACATACACAACAATACCAACATTAAAACACACATACTATATTGCGCTAGTGATGGCAGTAACACGCCACTACACCTTTTCAACTAACAATCTCATATTCAAGTGTGCTCTATAAAATTTTAATTTCGTCCATAGTACATTATGCAACTTTTCCTCTAGCGTCCCATTCTCAGTTGAAATGGTTAGAGAAAGGACGTTTCGTTAGACATATTGCAACAACACAGCAATTGCAAAGGAATGCCAAAAAAGCTAAACATCTGGGGAAAATTTTCCCTTTCATTAACGCCTACACTTAAAAATAAGCCTGACTCGTGACAGTTTCTTGTTTCTTTTTTGTTTGTTGCAATGCATTTTTTTATTTTTTCCTTCTTTGCTAAATAATATACACATAGAGGGGTATAAAATTAGAGATAAACAAATACATTACATCTCTCATTTGCTTAACACCATATCATAGTCAGCGATTAAAAGTTTGACAAAATTATATTTACAGCGTCTTTACAGTTGATCCAGAATCGCCGAACAACTTTCCTGTTACAGCTTCGATCACATTGTCCTGAAGTTCTCTGGGATAGGAAGTGAAAAAAAACAAAACAAAACAAAGCAAAACTGGTAAAAAAATGTATCAAGTTTAAAGGCCCTAGTGTAACCAGCCATTCTTTATAACTCTATAATTCTTTTAAGTATGATTTTTTAAGCTCAAAAGCCTGGAAATCCTCACAACCTAGCAATACGAACCAGTGTCACGCATTCAAATATCCATCCAATTCATTAGAAGATAATCTCCTTCTCCCCAAAGGCAAAACCCTGGAGTCTCTAATTAGTATTATTATTACTTTCATTACCATTATTATTATTATTATTATCATTACCAATGTTTTTATTATTATTACTACTATTATTGTTATTGTTTTTTTGGGGGGGATGGGGTGGAGAAGTTACGTTGCATTCAAAACGACACGCTTCAAAGGCGACTAGCCCAGCTGCATATAAGATTAGCGATAATGATAATGATAATGGAAAGTAAGGATATGGAGTTCAACTTCCCAATTTAAATATTCGCTGATAGTCTGTTTCATGGAAAACAGGTGTAGCTAGTAGTAACAGTGGTTAGTGGTCTGAATATGTGTGTTCTTGTACCGGCCAGAATAGGCTTTGCTTTTTTCTTTTATTTTACAGTAGTAGCAAAATTATACTAATGAGAGTAGTTTGTATGCACTTAATGCACTTACAGTGCTCCATTGGTCACTGTGAGAGATACAAAGGGGTTTTCCTTAAAAGCAGTGATCTTACTGTCATACATCTCTCTGGAGAGGAGAAACAAAGGATTAGGTCTAGATTAGGTCTATCAGGAGACAAAATCTCTAATTGTAAAAAGGACTCAAGCAAACCGTGCCCTGTTCCCACGCATAAAAAGAGTACAACCCTTGGTAACAGGAGCAAATATTCACTGTTGGTTTGTGAAATGTTTTGTGCCATCTTAAGCGATATCTGTCGCTTGTACCATGAAATATGACGCCTGCCCTACTTTGTCTAGACAATGAGAGAACAACATTCTACTTACAAATCCCATGTTATTGTCACATCATAAAACGCCTCGGTGGATATTGTCGTGAGCTCGGCCCCATACAGCTCGCTAAATGTATTAATACATTTAATAATGAATATAAATAAACGCGAAATTAACTTCTTAATATGTAGTCTTCAAGATATTTGTGTCAGATAAACAGTAGTGAACATTTTGAATTCAGAGTAGCAGCTGATCACGTGGTGCGATCTTCCCGATTAAAATAGCCCCAAATACGACTGTGAGAGTGACTGGCCTTTCCACAGACTGAATGGAAGTCCTAATAGCGGCACAGTATAAAAATGTGTCCCTGCGGTGCATGTACGCGGAAAATGCATCATCTTGAAGTTAGCGCATCCATTGTTGATCCGATACCTATTGCAGGTCAGTTTGATAACTGACATAAAGGGCTTTTTGCTTTTTTTTCAATTCTACCCCCATTGCATTTCAAAACGACAATAAAAGCTATAGATGGGTATCTTTTCTTGAAAGGAAATATCAAATTGCAGAAAAAGCAGTAGCCGGTGTTAAGGAGCACGTCCAACACATGTTTAATCCCTCTGAGATTTTGACAATTTTTTCATTAAAGAACCAACGAGTTACTTAAGTATCCCTTGATTTAGACCACCCATATACACACTACGTGCCCTTTAGGCTCGATTGAAAAAGCAATATCACGTATGCATCTATGGTCGTACTAAATTTGTAAGTAAACATGTCAGAATATCTTAGTAGATGGACTTACATGTAGCACATCTCCACTTTATCAAAAGCACGGGAACCAATTATTTTCAACACATTCCCTGTGAAACGCCTGAAAGGAAGAAAAAAGGTTCTCAATACTGCTTTTTCACGTAATTTGAGGTTAACTTCAAAAGGAATGACACTGGCAGAATATTCCGTGTCGATAACTTCCTCGTCACTCCTTCACTCTAGTAGCAGTTATCTGATGTACTCTGTAAATTTGGAACCGAAGAGTTTTCAGTTGGGTCAAACTTGACGTACTATCAAAACTCTCTTTAAAAGAGAGGTTGTGTCAATTGTGAACAACATCGCTTAAATAGCAGAGTGCAACTGTTTGAAATGATCACAGGGCTTCTACTTTGATAATCAATTTAAGATCAGACATTAGTACGTACAACGTGCAACCAGGTCCTTGCACATTTTGGAAAGCTCCAGATTCGATGGAAGAAATTCTGTTACCTTCAAAATTCCTATAAGAAAAAGGCAACATGAAACCAAACTTAGTGCATTATATGGCCAAGGCGAAAAAAAAAAAGATCTGTCCAAAAAATAACGAAGCACCATACGAGAGAACAAAAAGGTGACCAACCATTTGCTATGCGTTTGGTTTTTTTGCACTATTTTTGAAAGCAGGTTAAAATTCGGCGACGATTTGTCAATCTGGAATTTCCCACAAAACACAACCGAACTGTGTGAGTTCTTTTAACATTCCCAAATGACCACAGTTGTTTAAATACTGTTCAATGAGCTAATGGTTTATGGTCCATATCTAACAAGCAAAGAATGTTTGACCATTTTCAGACGTTATTACAAATGCGGCACATTTGCCTTGGTCACATAAAGGCCCTGAATGGTGTTCCAGTGTGAGGCTCAAGGTTGGATACCTACTTGATCAGTAGGGCAACCCAGGAAGTCCTCAGATGAATTTGAAGGGAAAATTCATAAATGAAACTCCCTCTATATTTCTCCCCATCATCCTCACTGAATTGTTCTCGAACATTACTTACCAAACCGTATTCCGTGAGGTCTCACTACACCCTCCAGAACATGTGGTCCCAACAAAGGTACCATTTCTAATAGAAGTGATTCTATTGTTTCTGATGTCTCTAAAAAGGGATAGATTAAGTTTTTGTTGCCTTGCAGTTAATGATTTGAGCTCAGAATTAACAGCTGATTCAGAATTTTCGCCGTTCAGGTGAAAGAAGTCTCGAAATGAATTGATGACGGTGGCATTTACGCCTGTTCGGAGTCACTTGATTCCAATGATTGACTCCGCACAGGAAACCAAAAATATCGAACGCTGTCACCAATAATATACCTTTTCAGGACTTCTCTTATCCTGACGATCAGTCACACATTTAATAATCGCTGCCTTCTCTTGTTGTAATCTTTTCAAGACAAAAAATGTAGAGAACAAAAGAAAAACAGAGAATGGGTATACCCCAGACAAGAGAAAAATGATCTTGAGAGTTCCATTGAAGAACATTAAACAGGTGTTCGAAATAAGTCGGGAAAATAATACTAGATACTCCTTACAAGCAGTACACTTTCTGTGACTTACATTCTGTTCATCTGTTTACCGTGAAAATCTCCACCAACAGGAAGTGTGGTTAACTGATTACTTTCAAGGTATCTGAAAACCAAAGAGCAATTTAAGCACTTTATATAGGGCTTTTACGGATAAACAATGTACTGAAAGTAAACCAATGATTGTTGTTGGACTGTTTGCAAGTGATTCCTCTGTCTCTAGCATGCTCTTTTGCTGAGGTCAGTTATTTCTTTGTTTTAATTCAATTATTTGACTTTCGAAGTAACTAGGCATTCAACTTGAGATGATGCACATTTTTGGTTCATTTCGGTAACATTTTGTGTCAGATACGGTACGAAAATATCACGATTGGCAATAACCATGTGTCGTTACTAAATCTTGGATAACATAGTGCATATCGAGCAAATCAGCCAATCACCGATTAATATTAGAGCAGAAAAAAAAAGAGTGCGCTGCTTACAAAAAGTTGAATGACGGCATCACGGTTAGAGTTCCGTCCTCAATAAAGGCAATATCATTGTATGACAGATCTCTGAAAGTACAAAAAGCAACAATTTATTCAAAAGAACCAAAGACCCTAACAATTGTCTCTAAGAAATGGAGCGAGGGGTCAATCTGCAAAGATAATCAAATAACTGCAAACTGTTAATAAATTTTTCTTTTTCAATGAGTTGATAATGTAATTTGCCCACGAACAAGAATTTCTATAGTTGACGTTTCGGGCGTTTGCCCTTCGTCCATGTGATTTGTCGTGATTGCTTTAGAAACGATAAACTCTTGAAAAAAGGGTACGCAATTGCGTACTTGTTATATTCCATGATCGAACTCTTCGTAACGCGGGCGAACTGGTAAGGCCAGACTTATAAGAGGGCAAAAGTTCCATCAACCATAGAATATCAATTGAAGGGTTGATAAGTACGACATTACTGTTGCTAACGACCCACAGTTTGCTGATCGAAATAGCAATGGCAATAATAGTAGTAATTACCACTCGAGTAGATAACAACAATCGCAACCGCTATCAAGACAATCATACACTCAGTTTTAATTCAATTTACTTACAGGCTAGTCAATGCAGTTAAATCCTTTAACATGACTTTCAGAATCCTGCCAATCTGGTTGTTTCGCAAGTTCCTACAGAACATATACAGAAAATTAGCTGTCTTGAAGTTGCACTGTGAATCAGTGAAAAGAAAAACTTGTGCAAGAAAGAGAATCCAAGCGCAACCAATTTGATGTCAAGCTTACAAAGTTCTTAACGCTGTCAGTCCATGGAAAGCAGTATTTGGTATGAAGGTGATGAGGTTATTCGACAGAGTCCTTTTGAATACAAAAACAATTATCAGAATTAATAAAAATAAACAATAGTGTACAACTGATACATTCGCTTAAGCACATCAGTGATAACGAGCCACATACATCCCTGTCTACCTACATAAACCATACAGACCTAAAAAATTTGGCATAAAACAGTTTTGCAGACCCACATTATCAAAGCACATCAGTGATAGCGAGCCACATACATCCCTGTCTATCTACATAAACCATACAGACCTAAAAAATTTGGCATAAAACAGTTCTGCAGACCCACGTAATCAAAGCACATCAGTGATTGCGAGCCACATACATCCCTGTCTATCTACATAAACCATACAGACCTAAAAAATTTGGCTTAAAACTTAGTCCTACGGACCCACATGATCATAGACGTACAACAGGAATTGTTAGTAATGTACAGCAAATGTAGAATGAGGACCTGGTAAACCCTGATAATTACATGGGAGCTCTTGATAATGACTATTGATCAACAATAATTAAGTGAAGAAGTATTTATGGAACGAACGAAAGAACGAACCAAGGAATCTAACTACATTGTATAGGACTTGAAACTGTGTTTACTTACAGAGAAGTAAGTGATAGATTGGAAAACTGGTTCTCGTGTTTGAAGTTGAATTTGTTGTCCCTCATGTCACTGTAGGAATAAAAATATGACAGCCAAACAATGAGGGCGCCATGAAATATGAACAGTAGCGATACTAAGCAAGGAAAAGTACACTGAAAGAATAACATCTTCATCACATTTTTTCCAAGAATTGTATCTGCCTGCTGAAGCTTTCGTGACGAGGTTATGAGAAACGTGATAGTTCCAGGCACATGATGTGCACTACCCAATGGTAAAAAGCACATGTGCCACTATCTAGTTAGTGAAACGTTAAGCAACAATCGAGCCCTTATTGTTTGAGATCAATTGTCAATAAATATGAAATTTATTTACGCCCTGGTTGCTCAAAAGCATCAGCCATTGTCATAAGAGTATCGAAAATAAAAAAAATGTGGCTGGCTTATCGACTTTACGATCCTTTAACTGCTTCTTTGTGCAAAATGAGACACATTTCTGAAATGGCTGCCATTTAGATTCGCAAAACGTACAGACGTCACCAAGTCAAATTTCATGAATTAAAAAATCGGTTCATACTCACGTATAATACATACTTACATCGTTGTTATACCAGAAGGAAAGGCACCATTCTCCACAGCAACAATGTCATTCTTATTAAGATAACTGCCGGAGAGACCAAACAACAACATTAACCGTTTACACTTTACTGGGGTACACGTTTCGTTTGGCTCTGTTAAGTGATTTTCACTTGATTTTTTTTCTTCTAACTTATTTTGTTCTTTCAGAAGGAAGGAAGGTTCGATTCTTTTTCGTTGCTGCCGATTTGGTTGATTTGGTTTTCTTATCTTTGGTTCAGATTAAAAATCACATTTTGATCAGGTCTGATAAAGATCAACGCATTTTGGGGGTGCTTCTTGTGGTTCATTTGTGAAATAACTACCTGAGTAAATCAGTGAAGCGTTTTACACAGGCGAGTCGAACAACTTAAAAGATTCATTGACAGTCTTTCCAGTTAACTCAAATAAGGCATACAGCACATCTGAAGAAACAAAGGTGGATTACTTTCGGTCACATGAGGAAAATTGGGGAGCGATTTTTATCAAATTTGACTTGTTTTTTGTGAGATTTCATTCGATTGATTAAATGTTACCTACCGCTCACCCAGTTTGAGCTTAAGGACCATAACTACAGAGGATGAACATGATTTTGTCCTGTTACACTGTTATTATATCTCAACTGTTAATATTACTATTATTATTATTATTATTATTATTCGTGTACATGTAGCACGGGAAATAAATGAGATAAATCTCTTGTGAGTATATAAAGTTACTGCAACAAAAGGAATGGTCCCTATTCCTTTCACAATATATTTAAGGAGTGTATCAGGGATTAGTAAATACGTTAGACTTACAGGGAACGCAATGTATCAAGATCTGTGAAAGTTCCTTTCAGGATGTACGTCAGAGAGTTGTCGTACAAACTTCTAACGGAGTAAAAATAGATGAATAAGTAGTTTATCACCTGGACTAAAAAGCTTCAGCTATGTAAGTTTTAAAAACCAATATGCAAGAATACCATGAATGGGTTTCTTGTAACATAATAGTGTGACTGTATGTCACACTTGTCATGTGGGAGAAAAGAATGACGCACTGTATGACATAGACAAAGAAATTATCTTCGCAGGTGGACAACTGCAGAAGAGAATACATTTTTTTTTTAAATTGTTGATGTCTTTTTTCATTTGTATTTGCATTTTTTTATTCCTTTCTTGTTATGTTTTTACCAGCTATTATTTTCGCTTTTGTGCGCGCTGTTTCTTTTAAACACTGACTCTTTTTACCAAGGGCCCGTTATGATTGAAACTTAAAGGAAAAAATAATGAAAAATAAATCTTGATTAATACAGGTAAAAGTCACAAATGCCTTCCAGCATTTTGCGGTGGGGTGTTTCCAAAGCAAAAGTCATCACAGCAGCCAATTAGAGCGTTTGAGGCAACTTCGCAAAGGGCCCTTGAGAGCTACTATGCACATTTAATAAAAAAGTGATTGATTGCTTCTAGTTACAGATCTATTTGACTGGGAGAATCACACGGCTTTTCTAGACCACCTATATATGTGGAAAGACAAATTAAACCAATGCACTTGCGAGTTGCTTTCGAAACAAAATTGAAAATTACTCAATCAATTAGGCTACGTACAATTCATTGATGACTGGAAGATGACTCTTCCCTTGAACAGCAGTTGGAACATAATGGAACTTGTTGCTGTCTAAATCCCTGGAATGATGACAGGAAATATGAGCTTTGAGATGGCCATTTCCGTTTTCCACCACAATGATTATAATCTTTTAACCAATTAAAGAAATGAATTCCATTTTGCCATATTTTTACGTCCTCAAAACAGCTTTCGACTTCAAAACTCAAATGTTTTAATCATCAGTTAACATTTTTTTTATTCCAGAAAAGTTCCTAATCTGCGAACATTCATATCAGAATCTAAAGAGAATTTCTTGGAAGTTAGGAATGAACACGTCTTTGCTTCATCACGCCGTAAGTTATTCATCCTAAATGCTGAAATTGATTTCAAAGGCAACCTTGACTGCAAATTTGTCCCATTTTCAGTTTCATACAAATCATTTCTTTGGTTGTAACTACTATCAATATCCTGAATCAGGAGTAAAATCTCACATGCGGTAGAATGAAGTTGCAAAACACCCACAAAACACCATGATTTACAACAACTGAATGGTTTCTTACAGTCTTGTTAAACTGGTTAGATTCCTGAATGCTTCAACATGTACTGTAGAATTAGAAAGCCGATTTCCTGACAGGTAGCTGCAAACAGACATAAAAAATTAACCAAAGTAGATTTCGTCTCTGTACAAAGAAACTAAATGTTTTTCTATAGAATATCAAACTGCACAGCAAATTTATACAATTCCCAACAAGAGTTCATCTACTTACAGCTGCTGAACATTACTGAGGTACCAAAGATCTTCCTCTTCAATGCTGGATATTTGATTCCCGTGAACATATCTAAAATTTCAAAAAGAGTTAAAAGTTTAATTGAGTTTCAAATTAAGATTTCAGATGCAAAATGTACAGTAACACACCCAAACTGCCTCATTCGAGAACCTCATCACGCCCTCCGAAAAAAATGGTAAAGGGCTTCAAAATAGAATTGGATTTTCAATTCACAAGCAATCGCCTCTATTTTATTCATCAAATTTTTGTTAAAAGTTAAAATGGCTCGGCCAACAGGTTGTGAACAAAAGAACATAATAATCTTTACTGTCGGAAAATGTGTATGTTTAAGCTATCAAACTTTCCAGCTCTGGGGAGAGAACAAAAAGCATGTTTTACAGGGCTTCAAGCATATATGAAGCGTTGTGTAAAAATTGAATTCTACCTAGATTATATCATATTATTATCAATAAAGCTTCATCAAAATATACACTTGGGAATCTTACAATCTCTGCAGAGTCGAAAGTCTTTCAAATGCCTTGTGGACACTCTTCTGACTCCTACAAGATAAGTGTCAACATATGAGGTGATATGTCTTTATCAAGAGTGGGGGTAAAAGCTTGTTAGCCCTTGCTATTTAACAATTTCAGCAAATGATCATGAATATAGAACACACCGAGGGATATTTTTTAACAAATTGTAAGTTTTAACATAGGAATAAACACCCGCTATTAACAATATCATTTCATGAAAAAAGGAACACTTAATTATACCCAAAATATTCTGGGCCTATTTATTTGTTTAATTTGTTCGGCCATCAAGTAAAACCGCAGAGCAATGAGGCTATGCATCCTTATGGGAAAAGAAATGATTTACGATAAGCTACTTTGTAAACGCATTTTAATTGGCTCTTACCAACTTATGAGCTATTGGAGGCAGATGAATAAATGACGTCACCATGAGCAGCGTTATAATTTTTCATCAGATAAAACAAATCGTTTTTATGTTGCCGAGGATTTGTATTGTAATCGATCACAGAAGACGTCAAAATGTGGTAAGAACATCTGTGACAGACAAGGCTATGTTTTGTGTGCTAATTTTCTTTTCTTATCACATTTTGACGCAATCTGTGATTTATCACTGGAGAGATGTATGTCATCTATTTGTACATAAGCCATGTTATATTTTTAACTACAATACGTACGCATGGAAGTCTTGAAGAAAAGGTGAAAAATCTGTACTGGCAAAACTTGACAATGAATTGATGTTGTTATTTTCCAGATGCCTTATAACGAATAAAATACCAATGTCAGCTCAAAACTTAAAAAGTAATTTGAATGTGGCCATAAATATCTGTTTGGAACAAGAACATGGGCATGAACATGATGTGGACTTGAAAGTTGACATTGTTATAGAAACAAAGTACACCAAGATCATGAATTCACACAGGAATGGAGGAGTGGACAAAGACAACCTTGGACATGTTTGAATAAACACAAAATTCTGGCCAAAGTTACAGCTCAAGTTCAGATAGGGTCATTGTGTTGAAATGAAATTTAAAAAAACCAAGCTAGTTCAGATATGGACTTGATTTTAAAGTAAGGATGGATGTAGATATCCATAAGGATGAGGAAAACTCCTAACCGACAATATTAAAGGAATCTCCTCCACAATGGAGTTCTCCCTATAAGCCATGACTGTGCAATTTACGGTTATATCCTGCACATAAATCAAGCTATCTCAGGTCAGCTATACCCAAAGGTTTTTTGACTGCAATTCACAGGACAACAGTCTCTATGGGCCACATGAAGATGCACAAAGCCATACATGGAAAAACGTTTTCATGTAAAAGCCCTATTTAAGCTCTGGTAAATACAGAAAATAAACATAGATGGGAATTGAAAAAACATACTTACAAATAAATAAGGGATGGTAATGGTTGTGACGTCTGCGACAAAGCTGGATGGGGAAAGTTGCTCAAGAGGTTGTCGTTCAACCATCTGAAATATTCAAATAATGAGAGGATATTGGTCAAAATGTTACTTCCTTAGTTCCACTCAGTGGGATGTGAGTTTTTCACAGGAAGAGGGTATATTGGTTTTCCATTTTTTTTTCGCTCACTTAGTGTAATTTCAAAATAAAAAGGTGACACAAATAGAAAAATATCGAGTCAGGTTCATTTATACTACTTTGAAAAAAATAGCTTTTTCTTTGTACATAGTAAACGTTGTATTTTCTGGTTAAAAAATTTATACACATTTTGTTCTTCATTATTGTGCAAAACACTCTAAAGTTTGTCCAGCAGGTGCTATGCAGTGAACAGTTTCAGTATCTACCATCTAAATGTACAATTTGTAATCTTATTGCAAGTGTGAAGTGGTATTTAAGTTTTTATTTTTCCCTTACAAATCTTCCAGAGCGGGGAGGTCCTTGAAGGCATTGAACATAACATGCTCAGTTTGGTAAGAACTTTCCTGCTGCATCAGAATTCTGAAATAAAATGATACACATATACAGAAACCAGTTGTGAATTGAAAGTTGTTTTTAATGATATCTTGGAGAACATTGAAAGAGTTTCCTTCGTGGTGCTTAGAGCGTTTAGCAAACAAGAAAATTTAGACTTATTCTCGAAGTGCTGACAGACTAAATGTACGAATTAGCAAATGTGTAATTTTCAGACACGTTCAAACAATACCATCCACAAAGTAAGCCTTTTTTCTCTGAAAATGATGTCATGAAACCAATGTGTCAGTTCTTTTCAGAAGTAGAACACTTGTTTAATTATCTTGCTCAGTAGATTCTATCAAACCTTGACAGAGTGCAATTTTTCCTGTCCTACATATGTCATCCAGATAGCAGATCTATTTAAGTCAAACTATTTACGACTTGTGATCAGTTTCTGCTTCATTTCTGTAACTGTTTCTTTTGTATCTTAATTTCAGTTTAAGTTTACTTACAACACTTTCAGTTTTGGAAGACTCTCAAATGGACTGCTGTAGCCTTCAGCTGTGATAGTTTTCAGTCTGTTCCCCCTGAGATCACTACAAAGAATTACATGCAACAGAAACCATAGACAGCATTATTTCTCTTGTAAGGGTTTTCCTATCACGAGCTAATTTGCAACTTGCAAACAGATCTCACAAATATTTCAGGGATATACCAGAGATGTCCATACTGGTTGAAATAGAACCAAACCTGGTCTATCCACAGTAAGGATCTCCACGGTGATTAAAAATGTAGGTCCCAAAGATTTATTTCCCATATTTTTACATCAGGTTCTGATACAAACCTCACATAAGAGTGCGCTCTAGTGAATTATTGTGCCCAAGAGAAAAAAAAAGGTTTTCACGGCTAAATGCAAAAAAGTCATAGATGCACAAGAAAACCAACAAATGGGCTTGCTAAAAACAACTGTGAAGTTGCAAAAATAATTGTTCTTTGCCAAAGGAGTGGAGTATTGAGAAAAATCAGAAGGCTATTAAAAATAATTTTTTAAAAAAAGGGAGTCTTCCAGACGAAAAAGAAAGCTTGTAGTCTCAGCCTCCTTTCAAAATTTTCTGTCCCAGAGAATGAACACTCACAGATGCAGCAACTCTGGTATTTCATAGAAGACCTTAGCGGCAATGATTTCCAGGTGATTCATATGTAACTCACTAAAAGAAAGAAATTGCAACATAATATTATTTATTTCCAAAACAAGGAAAGGCAGTGCACGCATGAGAGACTGAAGACTACAACTATGCATCATACAGTTTTCAGCGAATCTACCCAAGAGCTCAAATTCTCAAGCTTTTGAACATTTCTTTAAAAAATTTTGATTACCAAGTATTCTAATTCACTTCAGTTTCAAAATATAAAACTGTGGATTACAGTTCATTGCTTTGCATACTACACAGGTGCCAATGTAGATAAGACTGAATGTAATACTCTGGTTTCCACCAATTGGACACCTTTAAAAGACTTTTGAAATACTTCAGTTGTTTTCTTCCCTTTCACCTATTCAAAGATACTTGGTGACAATTTCAAAGTATCTCTCTATCTATGGTATTTTGTGGTTTAAGTCCTGTGTATCTTCCTCATGTTCTATTTAGTGAAACTTTTTGCAGGAAGGCCTCAATCTTCACGTCATCATAGGTGAGCATTTGTTAAAATTGTCTCTGTCCCTGGCATAGAATGCTGCATACCACTTATATTTTAGAGCTTTAGAAGAGGGGGCAATCAAAGCAAACAACTATATACTTACAGAACTTTAAGGTGGATCAAGTTAGAGAATGTCCCAGTTGTTACAGAAGAGATTTGATTGTTGCTCACATTCCTAAAACAAATTTATAGAAACATCAGACAGTGACTTACTATATTTTCAGGTTTCTATTTTAATTCCGTCAAGCATTAATAGTAGTTGATTCCTTTGTCTAATTAGATCAATGATCAATAAAAGTAATCCATAGTTGCATGTTACATTAGAGATGGGGGGGGGGGGAAGGTGTGAGACTAGAGAAGGATATAGGTGGTAAAGAAGACAGATGGCAGAGTAATTCAATAACATTATGAAAGCCAATTCTCTCTCACACCATCTAAAAGACTACGAGGCACACTAAATCTTGCATCCTCCCATACAGTTCACTAAACTTTCCTGACAAAAGCTGATTTAACTGTTTCCTCTCTACAGGAGGGGGAATCAATTGTTTTTCAATTTCATTTACACTATGTGGTGCATTTTTTTTTTGAGGGATGGCTGTAGGAAAATTTTTGTGAACTTTTTCATTTTTCATTTAATTTTGGATTATAAATACAAACTATGTGCGTTTGAGAAGAGACGGGAACAAATAAGTAAACTGAGAAATTGCTAAGATGTACTTACACTGATTAATTATTTCAATTGGGGATTATGTTATCTATAAGTTGAATCTCTTTTTACAAAATCAGTTTTACAAACAAATAATACTATCCTCAAGATAGTGGAGAGCTGTATAGAACTTTTGAAGAACACTTCCAGAAGGCTTTACTTGCATTAAAATAATTCAAAAGTTACATAATTAACTTAAAATATACACAAATTTAACCCTTTAGCCCTGAGATCCAGAATTTATTGCTGTTTTAAGAGAACTTAAATTGCATGGTAAGTCTTATAAAAGACTGGCTTTAAGAAACCTACAGATGAACAAGTGCAGAGTCATTTCCAAAGAAGGGTTGCATGTTTGGAACCGTAAGACTGCCAATTTCATTCTGATCAACTGACCTGCCAACAAAAATACACATGAACATTAAGGTAACTTAAAAAAATCAATGAGAAGAAGACATTTAAACTTTTAGTATTCCAAACAAATAATACTCACAGGTACAGCAGTGAGCGGCAGTTTATGAAGGAAGCTGAAGGAAACTTTTTCAACTTGTTCTTGCTTAACGCACTGTCATGAGTGCAATATAAATACAAATTAATCATCAATTGCTTGCAAATATGATATAACATGTGGTTAGATTTATTTTCATACATATTAAATGCCGTAAAATGCCATTAAACATGAAGCATTATCAACTATGAGAATCATCATAGCTAAGTATAGCTGGTAGATAACCAAATGCAATGAATTGTAAATTGCAGGATGACAAACAAACATCACCCAGCCTTTAAAAATTTATTGGAAGATGGTTCTTAGACATTGGTACGTCTTGTGAAATGAAAGCAATTATTTTACTAATAGATATACTTACAGGTATTCAAGGTTTGGCAAATTGAACCATTCATTGGGAATCCAGTCTATCTCATTGTCAATCATAATACTGAAAAGAAAAACAAAAGACAAACCAATGAAAGTGAACTTGATTATAACTCACAGTTTTATTCAAGAAAAATTGCAGCTGCATCTAAGATGAGTCCGAAACAAATTTATCAAAAGAAAAGTGAGCAGGTAGCTTCTAGCTTCATGTTGCAACCTCTGTATGTCACATGTAACCATGACTATGCCTTATTGGTATCTTTGTTCTTCCAACTTCTGTCACTAATCATGAATCCTTGTTAACCCTACCAGTACTTACATTCTTTTCAAGGCCTTTGGCAGACTGGTGAAGTTGTGGCTGAACAACTGAATTTTATTTGCATACAAATCACTATTAAAGGAGTAGAAACAAAAGGATAGTAAAAGAAACATTAAATTCTCTTGTTTTGGTTAAAGATAAGAAAATGTTCTGCTATACATACAAAAGAAAAAGAGAAGCACTTGAAAGGAATAGAACCACATAAAATGTCAAAAGTTCTCTAAAGGCCTATTTACACGGCACGACTTTGTCGCATGCGACAAGCTTACGACAGGCCTACGACATGACTTAAGAGTCGTAAGCGAGTTGTAGGTTTGATTTACACGAAACAATTCGTGTCGTAAGCCTGTCGTAAGCTTGTCGCATGCGACAAAGTTGTACCATGTAAATAGGCCCTAAGCCATTGATCTCCATAAATACTGGAAGAATACAACTTTCCACCTTACACTCTAAAAATTGTATGACGGTTTTAACCACAAGTATAGATCAATTCAAGAATGAAAACAAACATATCCACAAGTATTCTAAGCTATCATTGTTTACCATGAGAACAGAAACTGACAATCACGATTATAACAAAATTTGACTGGCCTTTTTTTTCAGTCATCAGAAGGAGGCTGTTGTCAAGTGCTTAATGCAGATGATGACACTCTAAAAGTGACTTACAGATCTTCCAGGAGAGAATTCTTGGATATATCTGGAAAGTCAGTTAGTCCATTCTGTGCCAAATTCCTGAGGAGCAATTAAATAGTCATGTACATGTGCTGATGAGCGTCCTAGCTGAAAGAATTCTAAGTTGCACACATTGGTGATCTGGGGGTTTCTCACATTCTTTTTTTTTTCTACTTTTAAGGTCCAAGTCAGTCAGTGAGTAAATTTTGTTGATTAGTTTGTTTTATTGTTAATATTAATCATTTTTTCTCTGGGGAGGGGGTGGTGTGGGGAGGTGGGGTTGAGAAATAGGTGCATTTGCTCATTCCTGCTGTTGTCTATCTGGGATCAATATCAATATCTGGGCAACTGCCCACCTACCCCTCCCCTAACTCAACAACAGTCAATTGACAAGTTAAGGTTAATGTTGGGTTAGGGGAGGGGTAGGTGGGCAGTTGCCTAGATACTGGTATTGATCCTCTATCTGATTATTTGTGTATTGAATAAATGAACAATGTTGTTAAGATTGCTCAAATTACCAACTGAAGATAACATACCACTCTCTTGTCACAGATTAGTCCTTGAACAATTCTAATGTTCAACTCTGCTAATACCAGTGATTCTGAGAAATGTGGTTTTAGTGTGTTTTATCAATAAAGTCAGTTTAATAACTACCTAATGATATGCTGATAAGATATCTTGCCCAGAAACTTAAAGCACCAACTTTTTTTTAAAATGGGTGCAACTAAATTGAAAAGAATCCATGAAAATTGTGGTATACTTACAGTTCTTTTAGGCCTGTCAGATTGTGGAAAGCTGTGGCATTTACATACTCTAAGCCAGACTTGAAAATTTTACTGCAAAGAGTAGAAACACACTTTTTAATGAAGACAGGTTAAATTTACCCTTCACAATGTCTACTTTATTTGACCATCACTCTGCATGTGGTGGATTCTTTCTCCATCTTCAGATCGGCCACATCAATTTTTATGACTCAGTTATTTTAAGATATTGTCCCTTTAAAAATTGATGCCCATAATTCAATATACAAAGGAAACATAATATTTAAACATTTCTCTGCCCACAAAAATTTGAGTCAATTTACAATAATCAGAGTTCTCTCATATTTTGGCCACCTCTTACCATGTACAAAATTTTTCCTGACTAAAGAGTCTTATCTAACTCTACATAGTAGCACACTTACATTTCTGTAATTCCAACATTAAGATCCTCTGGATTTAACTTTAGTACTGCCCTATTCCTAATGTTCCTGATGACAAAAAGGTACAAAACATGATGTAATCACTTTAAAACAAAACTCAGAACCTATCAATCAACAGGTATTAGAACCTATCAATCATTTGGTGAATATTAATTTATAGATATTACATGTACCTTGAGATAATTAATAAGCTTAGGATGATTGGACTGATTGTGGTGTAATTTGCTCTGAAATCACATATGTGATTTTAAAATCAAACATTTGTACAATCCACCATGATAATATTGTAAGTTGCTAACAACCAGTGGCTTACTACCAAAATAAGCACTCCATAACCTTTTCAAAAACAAGGGATATACATTTCTCAGATATAAATTAATGCACAGCAGAAAATATATCACTGCAGAAAATATGCCTTATGCAGACAGAGAGCTCACTTAGGTGCTGGCCAATGGCTTCAAAGCTAAGAAATCAAGCCTTTGCTATGCTTAGTATGATATAAAATGTGACAGTTCAGTTTGAATAACAAAGTAACTGATGGATAAAGCAGCATATTAAGAAGAGATGTTACAGATTCTCATGAAGGGCTAGATGTCACCACTAGAGAGGCTGATTACCAGATGCATCTAACTTAAAATTCTCAGTGAGAAACTTGATTGTATCACTTTTTTTGTTATGAATTCTTTAAAGGTTTCTGGAGTTAGATACCCACTGATTTTTGAGAAAAGAGCCCTTCTAAGCTCTCACTCACATCAGAGGCATTAGTTTAATTTATGAAGGGGCTTAATATTATCAGATGAGCAAGCCCCTCTGACAAAAGTCTTTCCACCTAAAGTTCTTGTAAGGCACACAGATCTCTGCTCCATCAACAAAAGCAAATTGTATTCCTGGTTGTGAAAACAGAACCCAGTCCTGGACCCAGGTCAATGATGACACCAGGGTTTAACAAGGGCACAAACAGATAGACAGCCACAGTCAGGCAATTTATCAGTCAGTTGATATGTCCACTGATAGTTTTTCAATTTGGGGGCTAAAAGTAAATTGATAGTAGGTTGATCATTGTAGAAAATTGCCTTATGTCAGATAGACATTAAGTATCTTGATGCCCTCATATCCTGACAGTTAATACCTAAAGTGATACAACTGTTATCAATCTGCTGTTTGATAAATATCTAGTTGCCTGCTATAGATCGACCAAATACTTTTCAAACATTGGTCAAGTGTTAATCTCCTATGGACTACATGCAACCATCAGCTAAATACCAGTATTAGCTAATGTAGCCCACACAAAGTTCATTATCCGAAAAACTTCAGTCTTTCATTGATTTGTGGTCACCATGACCTGTCACCACAGACCAAATCATCATTATTATAAGAGTTAGAGCCACTCCAACAAGCTCTCGTAAAATTCAAGCATGAGCAGGAACCCTTTCTACCCTTGAAGGACTGCGACAGCAATGCCCATGAACACTAAATTGCAGTTTCACTGGGAGCCTGTTACAACAAAATCTCAGGAACCCTGTGAACTCTGACTGGGAGGCAAGCCAAAGAACACTGTACATCCTCACTCAGTAAGCTAGAAGTTTTTGGGGGGAATTTGGTTAATATTTCTGAATGCTGGGTATGACCATGTCTGAATGTCAGAAATATTTACCCCATTCCCCCCAAAACCTAATGAGAGACATTCAATGTTTGTCTAGAAATGCCAAGTGATCCAACGATTACAATCGTTTTTAATCCTCTGACCCCTAATAGGAAAGACTAGCATGTAATTTATCTGCACAATTTCACCCTTTATTACACCCATTTTGAAATCACTGGTGGTCCCTGTAATCTGATTGGCTCTAATTGGTGCAATTTATTCACAAATTGCACCATTTTTTGCTTTATGAGGAGGCTACACTAAAAACAAAACAACCAATCAGACTTCAAGGCTTGTTTAAAGTAACCGATCAAATTGCAGGAAGATGTAAGATATGAAGTGTCATGTGGCAAATTTTACAACTTTTGTTTCCAAAACTCGGCTTATTTTTTTCCTCCCAAAAAATGGATGAATTTAATTTGAAACTGGCTCAGTATTGTAGTAACAAAATATTTGAAGTCCTGTATTTGGGCGATTTCAAAATGGATGTGATAAAGCGGTAATTGAACTTTGTGTTGTGCAATTTTGGTCTGAAATCATACTTGTGATTTCAGCCCAAATTGCACTCCACTCATTCAATTACCATTATAAATCCTCATTAAGGTCAAAGAAATAAAGGGAATGATCACCAACCAAAGTAAATTTTGATTATTAAACAAATTAACTTTTTCAGCACCTTAGGTAATATAAGTAGACAGTATAGAGAATATGTATACTAATGCTAGAGTATAGGTCAATGTTTAACAGGACGAATGTTCCGAGCTTGTGCATTACATAAACTTGATATGTTGGAAAAGTTCTATAAGTAATACCTTGCGATCTAAAGATAATTACACAAGTACGGAAAATTCGCCCACTAAAAACCAAAACAGTTTTTGGAATTTTTTGACAATTCTTATTAGACATCAGATACTCTTAAGAACTTAAAAAAAAAACTCTCAGAACCGAACATTTAGTCACAGCGTTTCAAATCTTTACAGATTCAGATCAAGAGATCGTTTGGCATAAGTTGTAAAATTTTTCTCGCCCCAGATATCAATTGAACACCACCCACCTCTTCTAATTCTCAGACAAATGTAGTAATTCTGAAACATCTAAAAAAAACATTTTGTCGAAATCGTGCGAATAAATAAAACATTTCTCCCTTTTGTTTGTGTTGCTCTTTTCAATCGGATCGAAGTTTTTTACATAGCGCTGATAAAAATCCGTTGAAGAGGCAATAAAAGAACTTCAAACAAAACAATGCAGGTATTAAACTCAATAAAGATAAAAAAACAAGAAAGAGTAATATCAAACTTGAAACAAGATACTTACACGCTCGGGCCAGTACAAGTGGCTGTACGTTCTTGGTTGTTGCAGGAACAACCTCCGCAAGATTGTCCGCTCGTCTCGGAGTTTTGACGATTATACATAGTTCTCCCGCTGTTGCCATTGTTCCAGAAACCATTCCAATCCGTATAGCCCATGGAATAGCGATTATTCCAGTATTCATAGCCAAGAAAGGTCTGACTGCCGTGGTTCGGTATGGTTCGAGCTTCTTTCGCGAGAAACAAAAGTAAACAGTAAACAAACTCAGCTCGCCAAATTTTTGCGCAGTGATAGCGAGCCATTTACAGACCATCCAAGAGATATCAGCTGTGATCTTAATGACTTGATGGATTGCAATGAGACTCAATTCAGAAATTTTTTAGTAGCAGGATTCTTTCGTTGCCAAAGTCAACCAGAATACGTCGTCACGTCAACGACATTTCAATCGACACGACTCTCGAACTTTTTTTTTTCTAATTTCCCGCCAATGACAGCAGACCGAAGGTCATTCAATGGTTTCAGATTGCAATATTCGTCGTTTCGGGTGTTCGAAAACAGAAATCGAACGTTTCTACAAGAACTGTGACACTCGAAGTTACAATTCTTCGATAATCCAGTTAACATTTATAAATATTCAACAAAAATATGCTAATTTCACGGAAACCTATTGTATTTTAGGTTCGACTCTTCGTTATATGAAGTAGTGATTACAATTCAGCGCAACGCACGATGGTATATATTGTAATGGCGGTGGGGTAATTTCGGAAGTGACCTCTGCAGAAAGTACATCGTAAATTATTCATTTTTCGTCCGTTTTCTCTAAATTTCGGATGCTTTCTTGCATAACCTGAACAGGATGTATTCACGTTGATGTTTAGTTGAATTTAACCTCCTGTGGTTAAGAGCCATGTAGCATCGGAGACAGGATCAATTCGTTAATCTGGTCTTTTCTCTGAGGAGACACAATCAACATTTTAGAAAGTGATCTTGAGGGACGTCTTTCGTAGGAGCCGTAAGATCTACAGTGAACTTCTGGTTCAAGTAACAGAGGTGTTGAATTAACTAGCAGGAGTTTCTGAAAGGAAGTCCGTGGACTGAGCGGAATTCGAACAAGTGTACGCTGCTTTCGAAGAGGTGTGGAATTTTCATTCCTCTCCATTGTTTAAAGCTTTTATGCTCAAATCGAGTTACAAATAGAAGACAAATATCAGGGTGGAAAATGGACGATGTAACAGAGCACACTGCATCTAATCCTGATGAATTTTTAAGCAGATCCCCTGACTTTACTCTTGGTGCGGAAAACTCAGATGATGATCAGACCGAAACGCAAAGTTCTGTCGGAATTGTCGAGAGCTCGGGAGAAACGCTCGACGATGGAGACGCTCCTCAAGTGAATAACGTAGCGACAAACAACGAAGATGCAAGGTTAGGTGAAAAAAATTCGTTGCCTCAAGATGAAGGGGGTGACCGTTTAGAATCAACCGAACAGGGCGAAATATCAACTGAAGATGGTGAAATGGGCAGTCAAGGCGAGGAAAAACATGTGAACATTACACTGCCAAGACCTGTTGGAGTGGAACACGACTCGGATACGACACAGGAGAACTTTCAGGTATCAGGACACGAAAACAGCACTCCTGAGATTTCTGAAGACTCTAAGACCGAGGAATCTAAGAGCGCCGATTTGCCAACGGAAAACGATTTAAGTGCGGTTCATTCGAACATCAGTGAAACAACGAATGACTCAACTTCAGAACTCCATCCGAACGCATCCGAACACCAGAGTTCTGAGTTGACAGAGAGTTCCCAGAGTGAGGCTCAAACTGGAGATAAAATACAAACTCAAGAGGAACAGGCGTTGGAGTCGATATATCATATTAAGTGGATAAAATGGAAAGGTATTAACACGCCCATAATCACACAGAATGAAAATGGCCCCTGTCCTCTTCTAGCAATTGTTAATGTGCTTCTTCTGCAGAGAAGAATCACTCTTCCACCACAGCAAGAGTTTGTGACATCAGGGCAGCTCATGGAGTATATTGGAGACTGCATCTTAGAAGAAGCACCCAAGGTTTGAAGATGAATTTGCAATTATTATCAACAATAAGTGTGGTTAATAGTATAAGGAAGTTGACAAGAAAATTTCATTGTCATTCTGAGCTATACACAGCCACAAATTTGTAGATTTACAGTACTGACCTCAAATGACAGAATATCAAGAGTAGTTGCAGTTGCTGCATTCTGAACACACATCTCAGAGTGACATAGGATTCTAAAGAGTGAACTAAGATTGTGATTTGTTAACCTAACCCTTTGAAAAGTGTCAACTAGGGACACTGCTGTTAAAATGCTAAAAACCTCTTTGAATAACTCTTTCTCTCCCAAGATCTCACTAGTTATTCTATTCATTGTGTGCCATACAATTATTACACTTTTTGTGTGGAGAATTTGGTATTGGATTAGCCAATAATTAAACCCCCTTTTCGACAGTTATCTGTATTCTCATTACTTGTCTGCTTGATATTGTATTTGTTGATATTGTTGGGAAAAATTCTGTCTTGCTCACTCGTAGGAGTTAAAGGGTTAGGAAAACAAATTTTTGAGATAATGTTCAAGCTATACATTGTCTCCTAAAATCCTAATGTGCCTTTGAATCCTCAACAGCGCTTACCCGAAGGAGCCCAGCTAAACTATGAACAAAACATGCATGATGCCATTGCAATCATGAACAAATTACAGACAGGACTAGATGTAAATGTAAAGTTCACTGGGTAAGTGTAGCAGATCAGGAATATTTTGAGACTGTCACTCTCAAGATCTGAGAGATAAAAGACTAAATAAGGAGAGGGTCAACTATATTTGATCTTCAAAACATTGATAAAAAAAAATTTGTCAAGGTCAGACTTTGCTCTGTGTGTAACTTTTATTGCAAAATTATCATCCAGTTGTGCTTGCTTATCTCTAGCTGTAAGTTTGAATATTTTTTCTTTCCTCATTTTTTTCCATTTCTTTATTTTTGGCTGTGATGACTGCCTGTAAATGTTAGTGATTCTTGCAATGAAGACAAATTTATGTTTAAGTCTAAAAAATATGAATATTACTTTAAATTTTAGGGTTAAAGACTTTGAGTTCACTCCAGAATGTATTGTATTTGATCTTCTATCAATTGGACTGTACCATGGATGGCTTATCGATCCACAGAATACTGAGATTGCCTCTGCAGTCAGTGGACTCAGTTACAATCAGCTGGTGGAGAAAATCATTGCCAGTAAACAGGATGGTGCAGAGAGTCAGCTGGTCTCTGAAGGTATGTAAGTCAAATTTTGACTTGAGCAGATCAAGGGGGAACCTATGAAGAATAACTGGTGCTATATTCACCCGGTATCTCCCTAGAATTCACTATGAGACTACTGTTATTGTAGTCACTTCTCACCTATCCTGTTAACCCTTTCAGTCCCTAGATCTCATTAGTAATTCTCCTTAGTCTTTGCAATACAATTCTTATGTGGTGACTACAGAGAATTTGGTATTGGATCAACTACATGTAACAATTGCCTATAATTTATATTTTTTTTAGTTTATTCTCATTTCTCATCTGGTGATATTGTATTGATTTTGTAAGGAGAAATTCTGTCCTGGTCACTCATGGGAGGTTAAACATTCCAAGATGTATTACTTGTTTCATTGCTTTCCTTTATACCCTTGAGGGGTGGGAAGGGGGAGGGGGGGGGGGCAGCTTACAAACCTCTCAGTACTCCCAGTCAAGCTATATGTTTGTCCTTGATATAGCAGTGTGCCATGAGATATCATAATCCACATAGTGAGTGACTAGTTATTGAGTCTCTTCATATACTTTAATTTGTGTTTCCTCAATTTCTTTGTTTAGGTTTGATAAGTGAATCTTTCCTTGAGCATACAGCCAGCCAGTTGACTTACCATGGTTTGTGTGAACTGAATGGTACACTGCAGGATGATCAACTCTGTGTGTTCTTCAGAAATAATCACTTTAGTACCTTTCACAAGCACAAGGTAAGAGATTCTTGCAGCAATTCTGGTTGTTGGGTCACCAGGTAAAACCAGATAGCAATCATTGTGACATTGATAGCAGATTATTGAGGTAAACAGGTTCACAGCAGGCAGGTTTACAAATTAAAAGAGTAAGTTCATTACATGTTAACCCTTGAAATCCTAGGAGTGACTGGCATCAAATTTCTCCTCACACAATCACCCTGGAATCACACATAAGGGTCGTGAGAATAAGGGAAATGATCACTAACTAAAGAAGCTCTTGATTGTCAAACAAATTCTCCTTGTCAACACCTTAATAAATGTATAGAGAACAGTATGGAGAATATGCATACTGCTATTAGGGTGTAAAGGGATAAGTACATTCACAAAGAGAAACAGAGGCTAGCTTAGAGGTATTTGAAGTGAAAACTACAATGCTTTGAAGCATGACCAGAAGATGAAAATGATGTATCAACGTAACGGACATCTGACAGGCAGTGGAGCAAATGCTGGGCTGTTGGAAAGGTTAATTCTGAAACGCACCTGAAATTATTATTCTGGAAATGATGTGACAAGATACAATGTGATATGATTCAATATATATTTAACATGGAGTTTATGCTCAGCTTAATCAGTTAGTTTACAGGTAATCTGTGGTCTAAGTATGTACTGAAATTTGTAAACTAAGGAAATGTACAATAACTCAATACCATTTCCTTTCAAAATAGCTTCTTGTTGCTAACTATGTTGTTATTATTATCTCCAGGATGAGCTCTTCTTACTTGTGACAGATCAAGGTTTTCTAACTGAAGATCGTGTTATCTGGGAATCATTGAGAAATGTTGAAGGTGATGGTTTCTTTGTGGATGCTGAATTTAAATCTTTTCCAATGGAACACAGGAGTGTAGCACAACCAGCAGCTTTGCCTCCCACTCAGCAGCTTACACAGGAAGACCAAGAGTAAGGACATAAGTAATTTAAGCTCAATACTTATTTAAAAATAACCTTCTGACACCTAAGAGTGACAAGCATCTATGTTCTCCTTAAAATTTGACCACCAACTAAAAAAGCCCTGATTATTGAACAAATTCTCTTTGTCAGCACATTGGGAAGGAAATGTAAAGAGAACAGTATGGGGAATATGCTTACTGAAGAAGCTCTTCCATTTTTAAACAAGTTCTCCTTGTCGGCACATTAGGAAAAATATAGAGAACAGTATGGAGAATATGCATTATGATGTTGTGCTGTAAAGGGTTAATCTAACATCAGTAGGACTGAGTGGAATCCAAAGGGACACCTTACAACCAAACATCAATATAAATATTCTCCTTACTTTTTCTGCATACCTTTTTTAAGGTGCTACCCATGAACAACACTGATTTGACTGTTTACAGTTGTTTACATTTGACAATGTACAGTTTACCAGTAGGCTGGTAAACTGTACATTTATGCTTTCTTGGACCACACTCAAGACCAAAGCCACTGTTTTTTACAAGACAAACCTTACACAGGCAAAATCATAGTATTTCACAGTACCTCTTTCTACCAGTGGTTATGAATGGGTCCTAAGAACCATGAGAGGTTACCTGTAATGGAGCAAAATTCACTCCAGGAGGACTCCCAATACACTTCATGTAGAGGAATTAAATATTCAACCTTTGGCAGTTAGAAGCACTTGATTTGTAAAACCCTAACCTTAAACCCTTCAGCTTCCAAGATCTGATTCTTAATTCTCTTTTCTAGCTTCAACCCATTCCCTTGTACATTAGTGAAAAGAATTTGGTGTTGGATCAAGATAACAACTTCAACCTGAAAAGTTTTGAGATTCTCATTACCTTCTTGCTGGATATTGTATGGAAATTGTAGTTAGAAGTTACTTGTTAATCATTTCTGTTAGTTGAAGGATTAAACTTGTCTTTAATTCCATGTGTTATTGTGCCTTGCAGTTATTTAGTAGCATTAAGTCTTCAGGAGGAACAAGAAAATGCTGCACGAAGGCCTCAGACACATCCTGAAGGGGTGTCTCCAACCCAAGTGGATGCCAGGGATGGGCCTGCTCATCAAACTACTCAGTCCAATCAAGAGTGGTCCGAGTAAGTCCTTGAAATTTTTAATTTCTTGGATACTGTATATGGTGGTTTTAATTTTCCCTTGATCAAAGTATTTCAAACTAGTTTGATTTTTCTCTCCCTTTTCTTAGATTATGAATTTGTAGTGAAAACTAGAAAAAGGAAAACAAAGTTCAAACTGGTTTGGAAATTTATGACCTGAAAAAAAAAAACCTGAACCACAACATATTCACCTACCATCAAGCCAAAAGTCAACATAAGATCTTTGTATTGTGGCTTTCAGTTAAGAGTTGATTATAAGTAACATACAACAAGTATATTTGATGCAAAGTGAAATAGCAATCAAAAATAAAGATAAGAATAAATGTGAGGTTTTCTCTATTGAAGTTAATTTTGGTTGTTTTTATTCTTCACAAGGGTTGATCCCTATTATCAGTATATGCTTATCTCCATCTCTTCCCTTTACATTCCCAAAGTACTGACAAGGACTCTAGTCAGCCCTTTTAATAAATTACCAAATGAATGTTTTTAAAATAGCAAAAAGCAACTCAACAAAGTTATCAATTTCTTAGTCTTCAGCTAGCAATACAGCTGCAACAAGAAGAGGAACGAAGGCAACAACAGCAGCAGCCGCAAAGAACTCAAACCAGACCACAACCATCAGGGACATCTCCTGCAAGATTGGCTCTTCTTCCACAGCCCCAGCAAAGAAGCAGTAATGCCACTCAACAGAGACAGGAGTCCAGTGTAAGGACATAACAACATTTTTTAGAGTTTATCATCATTATTAGATCATTATTATTATCATTATTATTATCATTATCATCATCATCATCATTATTGTTATTAATATTATTATTATTATCATCATCATCATCATTATTATTATTATTATTATTATTATTATTATTATTATTATTATTATTATTATTATTATTATTCAGTGTGCTCCTAACTTGCAACCGTTTAATTGCTGCCCTTCTCGCAGACGACCTAAGCCTGAGCTATGAAAGGCTTAGGGTAGCTAGCAAGTCCTTGGGGGGAAGTTCCAAAGTTCCACTCCTGTCAAGGATCGTGGAGAATTTTTCTCTGAATTTTCGTTTCCCTCATACTTACCAAGAGGAATATTCCACTCGAATCAGTTGACGTAAACATCGTCATTTCCAATAAAGTTAGTCGTGTTCCTTAAGTCACAGTGTCCAACTGTTTATGTTTCCATTTTTCTTTTGCAGGACAGATGTGTCATCTTATAGATTAGTATTCAAAGAAACTCATAAGACTATCTCAAGGCTCAAGCCTTATCCCCTCGCTATAAATTCTAGACATGTTCGAGTTATGTCATTGTCAATTTGTGAATTAAGTGACTCATCAGAGATTTTAATGTAAGCTGTAAGACATTTAGGGACATGATTGTAATGGATGTCAAGTTTACACCTAGATGTGCCTTCACCATCGAAGTAAACAGGAGAGCATATAATGTTCATAATTTTTCAATCAGGAGGCCAAAAACTTACGCAAACCAGCTATTTAATGGCAGGCCCTTTTTTTTTCCCCTCTTTTTGTCAGAAAAATGTTAACATGTAATTTTTGTGTGCCAATACCCTAGGAAAACGTCTCAGAATAATAGATGAGGTAAAGCGAATCAAATAGTTTATTTTGTGTCTTCACGGACTTCACTTCACATCTCATGAAAATTCTGTTTTGATCCCTTGGAAACAATTTATATGTTTCGCGAGAGATCTCCTCTACGACTTACGATAACATACAGCGCATTTTCAACGGTTTATCCCTAACTGTATCGTTTGCATGCTACTGAAAAGTGCATTCACCGTCATAATTGAGTGGGTTAGTAAGTCGAGGTTTTTCTTTGTGCTCGTCTTCGGTACTTCTATGTTTTGATTGGCCTAAGTAGTTGCTTTGATTCTGATTTGTTCAATATCGCAATAAATGAAAAAGACTCGCAAGAAATTAAGTTAACAAGGGTAAAGATGTTGGGGTGCAACTGTGGAGGTAGAAGAGCTTTCCCTGGACAAAACCATTGAACAAATCCACTGGCAATTATGAAATACTAGAGCCTTGAAATATTGATGTTTCTCTGTTCGGGTGCAACTGTGGAGGAAGAAGAAGAGCTTTCCCTGGACAAAACCGTTGAACAAATCCACTGGCAATTATTAAATACTAGAGCCTTGAAATATTGATGTTTCTCTCAAACAAACCTAAACATAATACCCACCCTCGCTATTAGCCCCTTGGAAGTTAATCTGGTGAAGACGGGGAACAAAAGTATGTCATGTCTGTTCTAAACAATCCATTCAATACAACAGAGGTAGTATCCTTGGAGACCCAAGAGCAAGTAAGGTCAAGTAAGCGAGTGAGAAGAAAATAAAACGGCAATTTCAGTTTCTCCTTTTGCTAAATAGGTGAGTAATAACTCTCTCGCCCGCCTGATAAAGTTGCGCATCCACCGGTGCACCAATTGTTCACATTTCATTCCCCTCTCTCCCGGTTATTTGCCCCTGAGTCTCCAAGGAAGGGAAAAAAAAGTGGGCTAAGAGAGATATCAAGGAAGGTCTTCTCGCAAAGCCTCTCAACTCAGTTCGTTTGGGTTTCTCAATAGATTTTCCCAGCAGTTATAAGACTATCAGGATAACCAATACTATAGTAATCTAAACAACATGAAGAATTTAGGGATCAGTCAGTTTTTATCGCCTGGAAGGGATGGAGGAATTTTTTTTTTTTTTTTTTTGGAGGGGAGAAAGGAAGAGGAAATCACATTCTTTCCAGGAAAAGTGAGAAAAAATCCGTTGCTAACAGAGTATAAAAGGAGAGACTTAAGAAATTGACAGCCATTTAACTGCCAATGTAAGAGCGTCGTAAGAATATTACAGAGCCTTACAAGTGGATCAGGTGAATTTTATTGTCACAGAACCAAAATCTTCCGACTCTTCTCCCCCTCCAGGCAAAAAATAATAACAGGTCCCTGAGTATTACAAATCTAGATGGAACTCAAATTCAATACTTCCACGTAGAATTTTCCGGGTGTTTCATCTTACTTAAGCTGTATTCGATCTATGTTTTGTTTTTTTCACTGTGTCTGGCAGATATCTACTCAAAACATTGATAAATTCATCAAACTATTCGAAGGTTGGAAGATCTCCAACACTCTTCAATTTTGTTCAGTTACAAATTATCTGTAGGGTAGTCTATCTTATTCTTCTGGCTTCCCTTCGTCGCACTTCAAGTCTTCTTCACGGTAAATACAATCTTCATGGCTGGGCGAACTTCCCTCGACCAGTTCGCGCACAACTTCGTTATCTTTAGCCATTTCGGCATTACCAAAAAGCGACTCTTCACGGGAGAGTCGAGAGGATTTTCGTTTCGAGATCGCTGAGGTGTTCTTTCGTAGCCTACCTCGGAGAAAATATGGTTTTGAAACCCTTCCCGCCGCGAAACCAGCACGAACAATTTGAGAAAGCACCGCAAAAATGACAGCGATGATTAATGCCAGCGGCAGCAGCAGTACGATAATCGACTGGATCCAGTTAAGGATATTGACATATGTTTTGATTGGGCCCCTGAGGCGCACCCCTGCTGAGATGAAGGTGGCGTGCACAGTGTTAAACAGACCAAAAACGATTATTACCACTAATGACACGGTTTCTAACATGTTCACGTTGTTGTCCTTGTAAGGGTGGTACAGAACGTGGTGAATTGCAATGACAACGCAAACAATTGTGGACAAAAGAAGCCGAAGGCTTGCCATGTTGATAAACGCGAAGATAGTGATAAGGATCAGTCTTCGTGCGATCAAGACGCTCTCCCAGTAAAGCGTACCTTTTTGGTTAGCGTCTGGCGGTCGGAAAGGCCCGTAAAGAACATTCATCACAGCCAAACGCTCCTCAGTCTGTTGAGATCTTTCACGGTAAAGACAAGCGCGCTTGTTCTTCCATATTGCCCAGTATAACAAGAACGGCAGTGGAAGGACGCATGCCATAAAAAACTCACGCGCTGTAATTCGTTTCTCGCTTAGCCAGCTGGCACCCCAATAGAGGAGGCCAACAAATGGTATGACGTAAATGATGACGTAAACAAGTAAAACGCATTGCCACCACGTGAAAAATATGATGTTGCCATCAAAGAACGAGCGAATTTCAATATCGTTTCCAGACCTCATCATCACGATTGTCAGAAGCTTAAACGCACTGGTTGCTAGGGACGTGTATCCGAGTAGTGCGATGTGGGTCGCCGCGGAGAGATGCGGAGCGAACGAGGGTTGGCGGGAACTACGCGCTTTCGCCCAGATTTGTCGAGCACCATAAATTATAAAAACGCAAAACAGCAAAGTAAATACCACAAATGTGTAAAAGAGCTCCTTAGTGATGACGCTAAGTCCTGCGAACGGACAACCAAGGCCGATCGAGGAAGAATGGGTTCGAAAGTTGAAAATTCCCTTGACTAATGGAGTTAAAGAAGCCGATTTTACTGTTTGCCCAGTTGTGCCAAAGATAAGAAGACCTACAGCCTGGTAAAAGTAAAACACGACATCTAGAAGCCCAGACCTAGAATTCCCCGCACCTTTTCTACTGTTCTGCCGTTCATTGGAATTTTCGTTGGTCGCGGACTTTCCTTCTTCGCTTGTCGCCCGTCTAAACCAAAATATGTGCTTTACCAGGAAGGGTACGATTGGAGGATCCGTTATGAAAAAAATAGCAACAGCAACACAGTAGATTAAAATCACTGGCCAAAGCCAGTAATCGTTACAATCTTCGTCGCGCCTGCATGTAGTAGAGAACAAATCCTCGCTATATCCCTCTGCGCATGCTCCACACAATACACCTGAGCGGTTTCCATGACAACCATCGTAGATCGATGACTTGGTATCCTTTGGTGCCTCGCAATAATCTAGAGGGCACATGTAGAACTGTAGAGTCGGAGGGTTTTCTTTTACCACGGAGCCCCAAAAATGATCATGATTCACAATGTTATCAGTGCAGTTTCCTCCGAAGGGACAGAGAAGACATTGGAAACCTTCGAGGACTCGGGTACCATATGCTTTCCCCCTCTGTAGACTGTAGAACCCTACAGGGCAACGTTCACAGTAAACGCTGTAGATCTTTACATTAAGAGGGCATCTTCTGTCCAAACCATTTTCTGGAAAAGTTGCAACAATGCCATGGGTGTAGTTATCAAACCATAGCTTACTTCCTACGGGGCACAGCATGGAAGAATTGTAGTCAATGGTCACATTTCCTCCATCTACGATCTCTAGAAGCGTCCCTTTACTTACATGGGTGAAATCCAAAATCGTATCTTCGATCATCAACATTCCAGAACTGCTGCTGTAAATAAAAGAGTTATTAGACTTTAGCATCGAGGGTACGTCACGCGGAGCTCCCCTTGTTTGTTGGAACGTGCTGTTGTAAATTTCCACAGCGCCCGATCCGGCAGCAATAGTTAGGTGACCCGCTCGAATGAACGCAAAATTATTTACAAAAGTACAGTTCCGAAAAATCGTCAGGCCGTTAGATAGCATCACCGCTCCTGTGTACTGTCCACTATTTTCTTGAAAAACACAGTTCCTAAATTCGATTATATTAGTGTAGTGATATGTAGGAAATCCTTTAGCGCCTGTGTCGTACTTGTTATGCTTACAGCCTCTGGATGTCATTAAGTCGCCCTCATTCTCTATGATTATCGCGCCAACTCCACTCTCGATGTTGCTGTTGTGCTTAAAAGCTGAGTCGAGAATCTGGAGGTTGTTATGTCCTTTGTACAATGAGATATAAACCGCAGAGGCCCTAAAACTATCATCACTTAATATTGCACTTTTTTCAACGGTTATGTTCTCTATCGTAGCTACAGAGGACGAAGAAAGTTCTAGAATTAGAGCTATTTCTCTCGAGTATCTGTAAATTATGGTATTTTTCACGTAAAGCGAAGTAATTGAACTTCCGATGACTTTAAGACTGCCCCAGTTGTCCATAAAGACACAGCTGTCTACAATGACTCGAGCGTACCGGGAAGGGAAAAGTGTTGCCGCCCCTGCTTTATTGTCATAGAACTTACAGTTCGTTAAGTCAATGACGTCTGATCCATTCACCCTGATTGTGGCGTTCTTTCCAAAATCGCTATCTGAGATCGTCAAATTTACCGTCGAATGGAAGTTCAAAACTCCATCGCTCGCGTTACTCGTTTGGTTTTCTGCCATACCCGCCACGGAGACGCTGGTGAAAACGCTTCTCTTGATGACAACAGAGCCATGATAGAACGAGATCGGCGTCGAGTAAAATTTCACATCGTAAAAACTCACCTCCGTGTATCTTCCAATGAAAAAGATACCGTCTGGACAGAATATGTGCGCCGGAGAATTTTGTCCAACGACAGACAGGCTCATATTAAAATAAACAGGAAAACCACGATATTGTGACGTCATGTGCACGCATGTGTACGGATTATGTTCGGTTTTTGTACCATCGAGGTAAAACCTGTCGTCCCAGGCTACCAAAGGTATCACATCAGCCAGCGACTGGCAAGGTGACTGAGGAGAATTGCAGTCAGTAGTTTGAGTGCCAGAGGCTTTGGAAATGTACCAGTTGTTTGATGCATTACTGAAAGCTAGGAAATAATGAACACGGAGAAAAAAAAAGTTAGCCTCTTTTTCAGAACCGTTGGGCACCGAAGAAAACCTTCCTTAATCCCGGGACTATTTCAGAAAAAAAAGGTCACTCCCTGACCCTGCGAGATCTCTCTCTTCCACCCTCAACTCTCTTTAATTCTTCACTGGCTAACAACTCGATCTCTTTTGGTTCTTTAAGTCATTTGAGCACTAAAGATGGTGCTGATTTCAATTCTATTTATTGAAAGTCGATTTTAACCTAAGAATGGCCATTACAAGAATGAGGGCAATCTGCGAGGACTGTAAGTTATCTACATTAGGCGTGCAAAGGTGCGTAAAAAAAATAAAACATTGCACCCCCTACGGAGAAAAACAAAATCCTCTTCCTAACCACACCCTCATCACCATGTTGCCGAAGGTGAGTGCACACGTCGTTGTTTCAGTTTAACCCTTTGCACCCTAACATGAGTATGTTCATATTCTCCACACTGTTCTCTTTACATTTCGTAAGATACTGTCAAGGAGAATTTGACTGACAATCAGGATCTTCTAAAATTGGTGATATTTTCTTTAGTCTCATGCCCTTTGTAGGTGACTCAGGGGTGACATTGTGAGGAGAAATTAGAAGCCAGTCATCCCTAGGGGTTAAAAAAAGGATTAGAAACCATTTGATTTTCTTTATATTACGTTGTGTTGAGGAGACGAGGAGTTCTTGCGAAATGAACGATACGACTCGGATAATAGATTAGTTAATCAAAAAACTGGATTGAGTGTGCATTACACTTTCGTGAGGTGAAGGGGAAGGTGGAACGTTATGAGCCTGGCGCAGGTCAGTGAAATCGAAAGTAGGACATTGACGTTAAATATTATGCTAATAAATAATTTCAAATAACTTAGATTGGAAATATCACTACTAACGAGGCGATTCTGACCACTTTCCGACCAGTTCGTGTATAACTTTGCTGGAATAATTTCCGCTCGCCAGCCGTAAACGAAATCAATCTACATTTCTTCAGGAGACGATTACATGAATTCCAACTCTTTCAGGATACGTTGCAACGTGCCTTTTCTTAAGTATACAATGAATGTAAAAAAAAAAATAGATCAATACAACTGAACAAACCTGCTCGGAACCTTTTTAATCAAGTCAGTTTTTCGAACAGAGTTCTGTTAGTCGGCAAAAGGGCTGTGTTATATTTAGCCGCAGGTTGCTTTCTCAATTATCGCGAGTGTAGTCTGTCCGGCCAATTCATTGTGTCTTAATTTCTCTTCTTTACCTGATCTTCTCGGGTAAATTTGACATTGCAACACCAACAGCGGAATCCATTCTGACATTTAGTTCAGATAACATAAACATAACGTGAAGTTCATCTCCTATTTAAACTTTACAAACTTACCATTTGCAGTCGTAAGGATAAGAAAAAGAGAGCGTAAAGCATGAGCTAAAGTCATCATTGACCTCCCACTTCTTCTTTCGAATTCACGCGACTGAAAAGGTCACGCCATCTTATTAGGCGAGTAACGCAATTTAAACGCTTAACGTACAGAAGCAACCCTTTAGCCCCCAGATGTGATTTACATGGAACTTCTTCCTATAAAATCCATAAATTATCCAGTAAACAGGTAATAATCAAATTAGTAATTAGGTAGAAGTTGCTGTTTGGAACTAATTCTGGTAACTGATTTACAGCTAGAATTTTAGCAGCTAGAGGGGAGACAGCATTCAAACTAAAAACTAAATTCGAGTATATGGGAGTTAATAACTGAGAAAGTCAATGCGCTCAAGGTTACCAAAAGAAGTATCATGGAGGTGAAGGAAAAGTGCAGAGAAATGGTGAGTGGAGCAAAGAATGAACGTAGCAAATGTTCCACTGAAAGAAAGAAGACCGGGGATGGAAAGAAACCTACCTCGTTCCCAGGGTCTCTCTTATGCTCCGGAGGAGGGGAAGACGAGAGAACCTGGGAATAAGGAATGTGCTTGAGGAGCTAAAGAGGTGCACTTGACATACATTCACCTTCAACTACCCCTCAAGACATCTTTAAAAGCGCGAGCGAAGAAAGAGAGTTAGCGAACGCAAGGGATTGGGGCAGATATCACGATTAAAGAAAAAACAAAAAACTTCTCTCATATCCAATGTGGCACTGGTACTCTGTGCTTGCTCAATTCACGCGCCGTCGTTCAGCTCCGAACCGGTAATCGAGTTGCTTTCGTTGCCTAGAACCTGAAATCAGGCGAGGAACATGGCACCCTAAGGTTTTTGGAATTCGCTTGTAGAGGAGCCAATGGGCTATTCACATGTAAAAGAATGATCTTAATTTTGTTGAACATTTATCACGGAAAAGTGATAAAAAATGCCAAAAATACTTGAAGATTGCGAAATAACTTTATATTTTATTACAGTTATCATAACATAGCAATGTGCCGATCCATTCGAAGCTTTTTCATCAACACCCCATCCCCTTTCCCCGAGAAACCCATGGGCATTTGACCATAGTCCGTGGGGGGTGGAGAATTTGACCCTTGCCTGGCTGGGGTGCGGAAAGTAAATCGAAATTGTGTTTTCTGCGGAAGACAACAGTTATATCTGAAATTATCGAGGTGTTTATACTTAAGTTAACAGTTCGCTTTCGCGAGCGAGCGGCTCAGATGAAAAGGACTACAAGATCTAGGATTTAAAGCTTGGTCTTGGTCGCGGTCGGTAATATTGCCTTTAACGAAAAAAATTTAGTGGGGCATTTGGACGCCATCTTTTGACCTTGGAGCTGGAATTTAAAGAAGTCATTTCTCAAAAGTTCAAACGCCCAAGTTGGGTGGAGTAAGGGGGGCACTACCCGAGGGGATGTTGAAGCATCGAATCGATCGACGACTTAAATCATTAATGAAAGCTGCTTAAAGCGAAGTTACTGAATTTTTTTGGTGGGTCTGGTTTTTTTTTTTTTTGCTCCGAAGGTCTTCAGAGTGTCCGCTTTGCTTCCACATGGTCACAAAACAAAAACAAAATTTTATCAAAATACACAACTAGTTCATTTATCACTTAAAACACAACAAAAATATTGTTCAGAACAATCTATTCAATTGCAACTTACATTGCAGTCCATGACTGCTCTAAAAGAGACCTTTCAGATTGTAAAACATAAAATCATATTTTTTCCTTCATGTGACATAAAAAATCAGAGGGCTTGTAGCCCGTTTTTTTTGGAAGAATATCCTCTCGACTAAATAGGAAAGATTTCTCTAACGTTAGTACAAATGAGTAAAATCCCTTAATACTGGAAAGTTATAACAGTAATGATTAATTGGTAGAGACATTTTCTGGTATATTTTTCAACTCATAAAAAAGTTGTTAATAAATCAAAAATCGAGGCGATGAAACAAACATTTTTTTTTGCTTTCTCGCAAAAAGCCCTCTTCCCCCACCTCCTAATAGCTCTGCACTTGTGCCTCTTCGCTAAGAGGATTCATGTCAAAAAAGGGTGTGGATTGGCTGCCAGAAAACAAAACAAGACATAAAACAAAAGCCAGAACAAAGAAAAAAAAAAGAATCATTTCAATTGTGGAAGGCCTTGACTGATACAGCTCTCATTGACTTCAAACTTGTGGATTGTCTTTAGCTTGTTGTACTGTGTTCTGGTCTCTTCAAAAATTCCTCCCAGAGGAAGTTTTGTATTTGTAGGAGGAGGCAACGTACAGGAACACCAGGAAATTTAGCATCATCAGCCCAGCCAACAGAAAGAAGAAGTACTCAAAGTGACCATGGTTTGGGTCGTCCACTGGATACCAATCACCATTGCTAGCTACCTTGACGATGACGACAAGAAGGTTTGCAACATAATTTCCAAGACCACTTGTAACAAGGAAAACCCCCATCAAAACTCCTTGAAGACGACTGGGAGCTTGTGAATATGCAAACTCAAGTCCTGTACAGAAAAATTGACAAGAAACAGTCACAACACAAATCCAATGAGAGGTTCAGCTTAAATTATCTAAATTTATATCGGAGAGAAACTTATTTCAAAGGGGGGAGGTACTTATCCAAGGATTAAAATGTTACTTTGGGAGATTCAGTTAACTAAAATGTAATAAGCCAAACCCTGGATTAGGGGATCCCTCCCTTATTAATAATGACCCAAACCTTATTGCTTAACCCTTTTAATGAACCTTTTAACTCCAATATCAAATTTGTAATTCTCCTTACTGTCAACCATATGATTCTTATAACGTTAGTTAAGAGAATTTAGTATTGAATCAACTAATTATCTCCAAATTGATATTTTCCTTTATTCTCATTACTTATTTGGTTGATATTGTATTGATTTTGTAAGGAGAAAGTCTGTCTTGGTCACTTGTGGTAGTTAAAGGGTTAACTCCCAGAAATGATTAACATTCAACTTCTCCTTGAGATATCGAAACATTTTGCAGCTAACAGGAAATGAGCATACTCAAACTTATTAATGACTAGTAAAAGTTGTTATTTAGATCTAACACCAAATTCTTAGAATTCTTTAACAAGGAAATGTTAAGCAGCTAGAGGGGAGGAATAAAAGGGTTAAAGTGCAGTAGGGAAAAAGCAATTAACTCAGACTGTGTTGAATGTGGGCTGAGTTAAGGATCATTTAACATACTCTTCTTACAAGCAATCAACAAGTACAACTGCAGTCAATCACACTTATCATTAATACTATAATACTTTATGAAGAAAAGGGTTTACTCCAGTTTGTAAGCTGATGATTGTGAATTGGCTTGGGTTTTAGGCATCGATCAGTTTGAATCGTTGACACCCTCCTCCCACCCCCCCTCCCCCCCCCCCACTCCTAGATTGGTTTGCTCAAATTCGCACCCACCTAGCAAAAAAAAGGTGTTCAAATGCCACACACCCAATTTTTTTGGAATTTTTGGCACTTTTTTATACAAATTAGCCAAGCTTTAAAACGCAGACATTGTAGACCTTTTCTTCTTAGCCATTCTCTTAGCAAACTTACCTATTTACCTCCTAGAACACCTCGATATTTAAAGATACAAATGTATAACGCTTGCTTCCTGCTGGCAATTTATAAATTAGCAAAATGTTCTCCTGGTTTGAATCAATTTTTGAGGGTAAAGTTTCAATGTATTGGGTGAAAAGTTTGAAAATTTAGGATCACAATAGATTACTACCAAGATTTAACAGGAACATAATAATTACATTTAGTCATGATTTGAATAAAATGCCAGCAATATGCTCCAAATTAATTAAAGGAAGATCTCTTATTGGTCAAGGTGAGAAATATTTCTTATCACATCATAGGAATTGAGGAGTTTAGTACAACCTTGGTTAAAAGAAATTCTTTTAAAACTTTTTAAAGACTGTTTGCTTCCCTGTGTGGCTTCTGCATACCTGTGACACTTGTAAAAACTTCACTGACACCAATCAATACAAACTGGGGGACTTGCCAAAATATACTTAAACATGAAGCACTGCGGTAATCATCCAAAACTTTTTGCCGACAAATGCCACCATGAAGCCATTCATTCCTTCGTTGTATTTCAATCACTCCTGCTACTGCCACGGAAGCTGCTGCCAGCAACATACCCACACCAATACGTCGCAGAGGAGTGAAGTTAAAGCCAAGGTAGCGCACAAAAGGATACAAAATGTTATCCATGAGAGGAATAAGTGTAAGAACCGCAACAGTACAAAATATGGACAAGGAAGCTGCCGGTACAGTGAAGTTTGACGATTTCAGATTCATGAAGGTACCCTGGATAAGGAACGTAGTCTGCATCTGGGAAAGGCGATAAAATATATGTGTGTATTTAAGTTGAAATTAAAAAGTTCAAGCAAAACAATGATGAAGTTTAACAAAACAATATTAATAGTGTTTTCAAAATTTGTCTAAACAATGATTGCAACTGTCTAATGGAGAGTGTCATTCAATCCTTAAAATGCTATAGAAAATTATGTTGTTCTTTTTGGTTAAGTATATAATAAACGGATGCTTAATTGTTTGTCTCACAACGTAAGATACAAGCTAATCAATCGTGTATTGATAGGGAAGTTTTGACCACTGAACTGCTAGTCTTTGTCAAGAACATGTTGGTCACTTTTGGCAGTTAAAAGCTTAAGAGAGCTTCTTAAAGCAAGTTGATATAGGGAAGGGAAGGGACAGAACAAGAGAGCAGGTACTGGCTAAAGATTCCTCGGTGAGGTTTTTGGGGTGTAACTGGGAGCGGTAATAGACCCTTGCCACACCCAACCCACATGGAATTAAAAGAAACCTAACACCAAAACTTACCTGAGAAGAAATTGTCCAGTAAAGAATAAAGAGAAAGAACACTGCGATGACTCTCAGAAATGACTCGACATCTTCAACCTGAGCATGTGTAAATTTTCCTCCAAACGCGCTCTTTGCTCCATCAAGCCAACCACCAGTGTTCTGTTTGCGATTTCGCCTCGCCTCGCACAATATTTTTGTAATTTCGGTCAGCTGGCTACCTCCAGGTGGCTTTGTTAAGTACTTGTTACGACCCGTAAGAAATGCGAGAACTGTAAGGAACATGGTCCCAGCAGTGATGGCATAGCCGTAGAAAAAATTATTCTGTTGAACCCATACAACAACAGTAAAAGCTATCAACGATCCAACATTGATACACCAGTAAAACCAGTTAAAGAAAGCCTGGACAGCTCTAGGACCATCCTGTTGAATCTGATCTGCCCCAAAAGGTGACACATTGGCTTTGATTCCCCCTGTCCCAAATGCTATCATTACCAGAGCCAACACAAAATACACTAATCTTGCTGCTTTATCATGAGCTGCATTTTTGCCCAGTAGTTCTTTGAGCATGTCATTTTTCAAGGAAACAACAGCCAAAAGTAAAGTTCCCACAACATACAAGAGCAAACTTCCGTAAATGGTGTTGAATCTACCCATGTAGGTATCAGCCAACCATCCTCCTAACAAAGGCACAAGGTAACATGTTCCTAGAGAGTGGCAAAACATCAAGACTAAAATTACATCCATGTTATAAAGAGGAAGAATTATCTCCTCAATACAATGGAAAAAATGTTGAGATTTTTTTCATTCTCCCCATCATCTTTGAAATCGGCCAATCAATTCAAAGTTTCAACATTCCTTCCCCCAAGCAACCCACCGACATTTGACTGTCACCTACATGAATGCCCGGAGGTGGGGAATTTGAACCCTGCCTAGCTGTGGTGGGGAATTTAAGGCAGTAAAGCTAAGTCTTTCCAGAGGAATACAAGTGTTATATGTTAAAACATGGAGATTTTAAAGGTTAATATTTCACTTTTGTGAGGGAATGGCTCAGAAGAAAAGGTCTACGAGGTCAAGGTTTTAAAGCTTGGTCAATGTCTAGAAAGTCATGGTCACTGATTTTGCCTTTTGCAAAGAACTTAGGAGGGGCATTTGAACACAATTTTGCCCTGGAGCAAAGTAATCATACGTACTAGAGATTGATTGCAGTTTATATTATTACCACTACACAACATATCTTATATTTACTATAACATTCTTTCACTTGTGAACTTATGCTTTTACCAGCAGTTAATTTTATTTGGACAGTTTATTCAGATGTACATGTGAAGACTTCCTACTAACCATGAAACAAATAATTAATAGTGGAGGGCCAGGGTGAATTAAGATCTAATTCATTGCTAGCAAATAACAGCAAGTTAGCTGTCAATCCATAAAAGGTCAAACATTCACATAGCTCTGTGACAAGAATGCAGCTGGTGACGAAGAACTTTTGGCGACGTCCCAGCTGACGATTATTAACCAGTGAGTTAGCCCTGTACTCAGTGGAAGCTGAAGGGTTTCTGTTATCACCTGGGATAAGTGGAGAATTCACATCTTCAGCACTTGCTTCCAGCGACATACTGAAGAGTCAGATAAGCGATGACAATATTTCTGAAATATACACAGTAGACTTTAAGTTCCATAACCCTGTAAACCAGAACGTAATTTCTCGTTTAAGATCATAAAGACAAAGAAAATTATTTTCAAGTTTAAAAGCTTTGATTGTTACCCAAATTGTTAGTACCAAAGGAAATGCGTAGAGAAGGGTTAATAGAGAATATAGATACTGATATTAGGATGTATAGGTTTACTATGTAGATCCATCCAAATTTTATAGCCACAATCCATTTTGACAATCTTAACTGTGTTTCAATGTATTCCATTCCTCCTAAGGTTGCACATCTAGTCAACCATTATTATCACTCCACACCGTGCTCGTAGTGCCATATAACCGGGGTATAGATATCACTTTTTCGAGGCTGAATGAGTTACAATGTAGCTATACTTTCTAGAGTTTGCAGTGCTTTGCAGCTAAAAGCTCAGCTGTCCTTGCATATGGCAGACATTTTAAATTTAAAGATGAAAACGTTTCTCCTATATATAGCAGTCTTACATGTAGGTGCATAGGGTAGAGACAGAAACTATGCATAGAATGTGATAGAGGAACAAAGACCTGGGAATGATTATTTTCTTTTTTTAACTTGAATAGGCCGCTTTATGCAAATTGAGGGGTCTTCGCCCTCTAACTCCTAAAAGCAATTAACATGTAACTTCTTCCCATAATATCAAAACATTATCCACCAAACATGTACGAGAATACTGAAACTTATCAAGTAGAAGTTGATATCTGGATCTAACACCAAATTCTTGTAACTTATTAAGAGGGAAATGTGTAGCAGCTGCAAGGGAGGATTAACAATTAGATCTTTGGAGTTAATGGGTGAAAAGAAGAGTGTGTGGATCAAAATATTCATTAACCCATTGGCACTTACGTGTAACGCTTGGCTATCCAAAAGTTAAAGTTTTGGAGAGACCGGAAAAGGAAACACAATGCGCAGTAAATTTTTATAAATCATCTTTTCCCAAAGACAAGCTCCAGTGAAAGAAGACCATTTAAATAACTTACTTTCAACGAAAAAAGTGATAGATGCATATTAAGTTTTTACTCTAAAATTAAGGTAAAAGACAGAAATGGGTAAATTTTTTTCACAGGTGCGCAGACAAATATGCGGATCGGATTTCAAAGTGAATCTTTCTTCATAATGTGGCTAGGCCTCGCTTGAGGTCCGAAAGATCGGTTTTCATTTTACAGCCTCAATTTGCATCACTACAGAAACAGAAAATCCGACTTGAAAATATTGAAAGTCGGCCGCACGGACGCCGATTTTTCATATTAGATCATTTCTTGCTTAGGCATTAAATGGGGTTACGTAATGTTATGTTGTGACTTGGAAGACAAAACAATCATACAGACATGAAATAAGTGTGACGCCTGGAAGCAATGTTGTTATTTTTCTTCATCTTGCCTAATGGGGGCAATCAAATTTTCCGGGGAAGGAAGGGCGTTCAGGAAAAAAAATCTATTAAGTAACTTGTTATGCAGTAATTTTGAGAAAAGAAAAATTCCCACACCTACACGGACGCATTAATATACCAAATAGTAGAAAGGAGCGTAGCTACTTTTCTTGATCTTAATTTAAGAGCAAAGTGTTAATTTCATTGCGTTCAATATGCGCAAATAAAGCTTTTACTTCCTCTTACCAGTGGGTTTACGCGCTGTATAGTAGTGGCTGTTGTTTTGTCTACTTGTGGGTAGATGACAAGATAAAAATCGATAAAACTTTCGCAGATGCGCAGACAAATATGCGGATCGGATTTCAAAGTGAAGATGCAAATTTGTCAGTATGAGGAAGAGGTCTCTGCTCACATGGAATTTATAATTAAGAAGCAGAACGAAACTGACCAAGGAATGTCTCGAGAAGGAAGCGTTATTCAAAACAGTTCTTGATTTTCTATTAGAGGCAAAAAACGTGCTTACGAAACCCACGAAATACAATTCATCATGTTTAGATCGTTGATTACTTGACTATACGACTAGAAAATTGCACGGCGTTGTGTTTGATTAAAATTCTGAGAGTCCTATTGACATAAAGTCTTCGATTAAACATTACTTTTTGGACGTCTTATTACTCAAACAAGATATTTACCGGGCCCTGGAATCTTCAAAATGTGGCTGGGCCTCGCTTGAGGTCCGAAAGATCGTTTTTCATTTTACAGCCTCAATTCGCATCGCTACAGAAACGGAAAATCCGACCTGAAAATATCGAAAGTCGGCCGCGCGGACGCTAATTTTTCATATTAGATCATTTCTTGTGAAGGCATAAAGTGGGGTTCAGTTATGTTATGTAGTAAACAAAACAGTCACACAGACATAAACTAAGTGTGATGCCTGGAAGCAATGTTGTTATTTTTCTTCATCTTGCCTAATGAGGGCAATCAAATTTTCCAGGGAAGGAAGGGCGTTCAGGAAAAAAAGCCATTAAATAATTTGTTATGCAGTAATTTCGTGAAAAGAAAAATTCCTACACTTACACGGACGCATAAATATACTAAATAGTAGAAAGGAGCGTAGCTACTTTTCTTGATCTTAATTTAAGAGCAAAGTGTTAATTTCATTGCATCCGATATGCGCAAATAAAGCTTGCACTTCCTCTTACAAGTGGGTATTACGCACTGTACAGTAGTGGCTGTTGTTTTGTCTACTTGGGGGTAGATAAAAAGATATAAATCGATAAAATTTTCGCAGGTGCGGAGACAAATATGCGAATCGGATTTCAAAGTGAAGATGCAAATTTGTCAGTATGAGGTCTCTGCGCACATGGAATTTATAAGTAAGAAGCAGAACGAAACTGACCAAGGAATGTCTCGAGAAGGAAGCGTTATTCAAAATAGCTCTTGATTTTCTTCTAGAGGCGAAAAACGTGCTTACGAAACCCACGAAATAGAATTGGTTCTTTACCCGGTCAGTATTTTCCCATCTCTGCCCACGGGCCACGGTAACGCTTTCGTGAGTCGCCGAGTACATCCCAACTTTCGTTGTCATTTTTCATAAATATATACCTCGTTTTCCGGTTGGGCAGTATTTTTGAGCAAACACGTCGGTCACTACCTCAAGCCGATAAATAACTTATGAATCCTCTCTTTTCTCTCTATCAAATCACTTTGGTTGACAGAAAAATATTGGTTTCAGAATGAATTTGTATAAACAATAGTGTCATTACGTTGGTTGACAAGCGGCCTAAAAACCTTCTGCAATTAATTTTAATCGTTCATAAATCAATAGTGTCATTTTTACGTTGGTAAATGACAAGCGGGCGATCTGTCACTGTGAAACAATTATACCTTCTGCATTATGGTATGTTAATCAGGCCGGAATTGTCAAAATTCAGGAAATGGCACTTGAGAGAACCTAAATTTGCAAAATTTCCCGGGGACATGCCCCCTGACCCCCCTAGAAGCTCGCGCCTTTGGCACTAATAATTACTCCCTATTTTCCATCACATGGGGTTGGAATCTCTGCAAAAAGTACCCAGAAAGTTGGAACGTGAGGTATTTGGTTACAGTTAAACTGAACGATGGAACTTTCATTCATTTAATATCTGAATTTTCTCGACCAATTTGTTCATAGTGAAAGAGCGAGCGAAGTTTTAATTTAAGTTCTACAACAAATATACGCTCCTGGTGAGTCTTTCCAATTCCGTTCAATTTGGACATTTGTACCTTAAATTGCACAACAGAAATTGAAGGAATTTTTTGAGAAAAGGCCGCATTACATTCCCTTGTGTCTCGTTGGAGTGTGCCGTTCGAATTTAGTTTTTGTGAAGGAAAGATCAGAGTTAAACACGCCATTACAGCAAACAAACGAGCAAACTCTCACAACTTCAAAATAAAAAGATTGAATTTACTCACAATTAATTTCCTCGCCGTTTACTTAATGAACAGAGGTAAATCTTCGTACATGAATGAATCGTCGATGAGAGTGAATAATAGTTTCCGTTAGATCATTAACTGATTTTGAAGAAAACATTGTCGTGACAGTCCTTGCCAAACTAGTTCTGTTGGTTTTCAAATGTTCCTTCGCTTTTCTTTTTCTTGCGCGCTCTCTAATTGACAGGTGTCAGATTGTGACAGATATTTGTAAAAATAATGTTTCAAAGTTTGTTTGGAAGCCTTTTAAATCACCTTTATCGTTACGGAAATGAAAATGTTTCGCTGAGGCATCTCTCTTAAATTTGCATCACCTCTATTTAACTACCATTTCACCACTCAAAAATTTTTCAGTTTATGGAAGATCTTGCCGTATTTACGGCCATAAATCATTCGGGTTCTTTCGGAAAGAATTTCGTCAAGTTTAAAAACAATAAATATGTTATTTACCGGCTAAGGGTCGGTCCGTATGGTGAAAAACTGTGACCTCGGTCTTGAAAATGCTGCCCTCGGCCTACGGCCTCGGGCAGTATTTTCAAGACCTCGGTCACAGTTTTTCACCATACGGACCTCCCAGCCGGCAAATAACATATATGTCTTCTCTTAGCTTACACTTATCGTCCGGCACACCAATTAAAGCATTCCGATATCACTTTGATCGAAAAATGTCAAAACAGATCAAGGATATCAGTTTTCTTACCATGGCGTTCAGGGCACACACAATATTCAACTTCTCACGTACTCCTCCAATGTTCAAAGAGCCGTTGAAGTTGGACTCTCATTGAAAAGTAAGCGTGAGTCGGAGAAAGAAAGGAGAGCTCGACAACTGACATTTAATGCACGTCAGACCCACCAACGCGTGCAAACTGTGGTAGAATTCAGTCTCGTTGCTATTTTAATTGACGCTTTCATGAACGACAACGAATAAGTGCAATATCAGCAGTGAAAAAAGAGGAGAAACTTATCGAATTGGCTCTGTTTTACGGCAAAGCGAAGTGAAGACTATTCCACACAGCGACTACGCCATGTAATGGTTTCGTGTCAGTCTTCACATTGGATGACGTCATGCCCCCAGCAGATCGCTGTTCCATTTGCGGTTTGTATTTTTGGTGGTTTCGGCGAGATGCCTTGGCGGCCATCACCACCAAAAATACAAGGATGTCGTATAGATCAGCAAATACAAAGATGGCTTAAGGATCAGCTGCAGGATAGCATAGCTAATAAAGGAATGGCATGGCCTTCACGTCACGCCACTACAATTCGCCACAACATCGAAATATTTCAAGTAATACTAAGCAATTTAATGTTCAGATAGAGCGTCTGATGTTTTGCAAAGCTATTCGACCTAACGCTACACTATTTGTGTCTACGCTGTACCATTCTACATTACGCTGAGCCATTTCACGCAACGCTACACCATTTGTGTGTACGCTGTGCCATTCGGCATTATGCTAAGCCACTTCACGCAACGCTACACTGTTTGTATGTACGCTGTACCATTCGACATTACGCTAAGCCATTTCACGCAACTCTACACTGTTTGTATGTACGCTGTACCATTCGACATCACGCTGAGCCATTTCACACAACGCTACACTGTTTTTATGTATGCTGTACCATTCGACATTACGCTGAGCCATTTCCCGCGGCGCTACATCATATGTGTGTACGCTGTACCATTCTAAATCACGCTGAGCCATTTGACGCAACGCTACACCGTTTGTGCGTAAGCTGTGCTACTAGACGTTACCCTGAGCCGTTTAACGCAACGCTACACCGTTTGAGTACTGTATTGCAAATGAGTGCTAAGCTATTCGTAATTAAGCTAGTCCATTTCACAATCTCATGTTCCAACTCAACATGGGCTACTAGACCGTTTCTCATTTGGCTAAACTATTCATGTTTAGGGTGATCTGCTTCACGAAGGAAAACTAGACTGTCTATAATTTGACCATGCCATTCCTTTATTAGCTATGCTATCCTGCAGCTGATCCTTACACCATCTTTGTATTTGCTGATCTATTTGACATCCTTGTATTTTTGGTGGTGACGGCCGCCCATATTTGTCCATTAGGGACGTGATCTTTAAGTTCCGCCCAGAACCGCAATGTAGTTAGTTGTCTTGCCTTGGGCTAACGATAAGACGTGTTTATCGAAAAGCCCCCGTTTGCCCACCTTATCTTGAAGTTCGTTTTGGTCAAACTCTTACAAGCGGGACTGTTATGTAAGTGCTTATGTTCCTTTTCTTTGTGCTTGTCTAAACATCTAGTTTGTCGGTAGTTTCGCCCAGTTTTTACACCAGTTTCTTTGCAACCTTGTAACACGTGGCTTACGTTGTTCATGCTTTGTTAGTAACCTGCTAGTTTTTTCCACTCGGTTATTAGTTTTGTTTGAATTCGTTTTCAAGCGGTTCTCCTTTATCCTTTTAAGATGGTCTTTTTGTGAGTTTGTTTTAAAGTTTTAGCTAGTCTTTTAGGATCTTGCCTATATATCGGAATGATTGGAATGTTGGTCCTTATCTTAGAATTTAGCTTAGCTTCTTCCTTATAATTTCATATTTCAGTTTACGATAAGTACTTGGATACCTCGACTACGCTAATAAAACGATTCAAGTCTTTTCCGTAAAATATATCCTCGCTTCTCAGTATGTCTTCGTTAGCGAAACTCATAGCTGTCGTTGAAATTTGCTTTGCTTGTGTCGGCAGTCAACTGTGCGATTACACTGTCCGATTACAACTGTGCAGAATGATTAGTGAAAAATAAAGCAGCTAATGCACCAATCACATTTGAGGAAATTGTGATGGTTATGATTATAGCAGGAAGGCTTATGTTACTTTACTCAGAGCTCTAGCCTTCACGAGAAAAGGGAAAATCTTCTCAAGCTACTACTACCCACGCCCATCATTGCT